TACGTCGAGGGGTTAATGATAACTGGGATAGCGATTAATACTTGTTTTTACAACATAAGACGGAATGTCAGTACAAGTCCTGTAACTTGTCTTTCGCCATATAACATAAATCAGTTGGCGTTTTAGAGATAAATGATTACCAACTCATAAAGCCTAGTCTAATGCACTAGGTATATATGACTGTTATTTTCATACGATATCACTTGTAACACTAACTAATGCGGACAACATTGGCATCACATTTTATCATTAATCGGCAGCATCAACAATTTGATCATTAAATCGGCTCGACCAACATTCGTATCACTTATTGTTTTTGCTTTTCCGGTTACCTGGCATTACTTGACATTAACAGACACTCTCCCCTAATTAAATGAAAGAATGATTTACCGATGGAAAGATCAGTATACGGACTGAAATGATAATTAAAAGTACATGGAATCGTTTTCATCTTTATAACATTTCCATTAACTTCATTTGCATAATAATATTTGATGGTTACGAGATTCTCTCAAAGGAACAGAAATTCTCCATCATTTATAAATCATACACATTACTTGGACTTTCTCCGCCTACCTACTAGGCACACAGACGAGTTTGTCCGCCTAGCTACTAGGCACACAGACAAGTTCGTCCGCCAAGCTACTAGGCACAAAGACGAGTGCGTCCGCCTAGCTACTAGGCACAAAGACATGTGTGTCCGCCTAGCTACTAGGCACAAAGACATGTTCGTCCGCCTAGTTACTGGCACACAGTCAAGTTCGTCCGCCTAGCTACTAGGCACACGGACGAGCTTGTCCGCTTAGCTACTTGGCACACAGACGATCTTGTTCGCCTAGCTACTAGGCACGCAGACGAGTTCGTCCGCCTAGCTACTAGGCACGCAGACGAGTTCGTCCGCCTAGCTACTAGGCACACAGACAAGTTCGTCCGCCTACCTACTAGGACTCGCACAATTCAAATGAGTAAATATACAATAAAATTGGCATAACATTACAAAATTCTCGTCTCGGGCAAGATCCACTGAAATTATTTTTCCCTCACAAAGGTATCTGTAGGCAACCGTGTACTCAGAACATCCCACATCTGGATTGAATGGTTACTGAAAGACGAACAAAACGAAGCAACGTTCATTTGATTACATAGATTAGGGTGGGTAGGTGGGAAGTCCTGTCTAATCGAGGCGAAAACCGACACCTGTTCAGGTCACCACTGTCGAATGTCTACATGTAAAACGTTTACGTAACAACGATAAATATATCTATGTTCTTATTCGATTCTCTCAAACGAATATAAATTGTTTATCATTTATAACTCAAACTCTTTACTAGGAATTGGTCCGGCTAGCTACTAGACACTCAGAACACAAAGAATGGGCAATAGAAAGTTTCAAAACCTGAAATTCGTTACTAATCCCTCAACGTAATCATCCTGATGGGATCCAATCTCTAACGACATTTTGTTTTAAATCGGCGGCAAGATATTCACAAGTAATAGAACAATTGAAGTAAAGTTAAACTGCGCCCCTAGCAAATGGGTTTGACAAAATATTTCTTTATATACGTTTGTAAGAGACATGGTAACAATATATCTATATAGTAAAGTATTGAAAGGGAGACAACCGTAAAACTTGTCATTACTCTAACAAAGAAGATTAGCTGAAGATCACTAGATAGGATTGAAGTATGGGACAGTATGTGTAGAAGAGAACTTCTTTGGCGAATCTGTTTAAACCATAAGTTCTAATGTGGGGCTATTGTGATCTAGGTGTATGAATTATAGCCACCAGCCCTGGTGATAATCCACGGGATAAAATATGTGTATCAAACTGAAATGGGAAAAATAGAACCAAATAGAATTTTAAGGAAATAACATGGAGGGGAATAATACGTACCTATAACACAAGATGATAGAGCAGCACCACAAAGACTTAACAGGCTCAGAATGGTTGCCTTCAGAAGAACAATCTCGTCGAAAGCTCAGTATCCCTACAAAGAAACTCGTCAAAATTTCCGTAGCTTTACATTCAAAGTGGCCTCGATTTTATATCAATAAATTCATCAAAATATTCGTAATTTTTCACCAGCAAGCTCATCATTTAAAGTACTCGTCAAAAACTTACGCTTTGGACAGATGACATGAAGCTTGTGTATATATGACGCCCATTGCTAAGAAGCAGGGTCGAAACTATACGGGATTTGTTTTAAACAACTTTTTTAATTATTTCGTTGTATTTGTACTGAGCAGTAACAAAAATATGGAATTATAAGTTCCCTAGTTCAAGTTCTGATTACCAAATCGACATTGAGAAGTAGATCTAGATCCAAAGGTTAATTAGAAAGTTAGGAAGTTTACCTATCTGTAGAACTCTTTCATTCGTATTCCACTATTTTCATCGAATGTCAATCAGAAAGTTGGCTTGTTCACGGTCGTAAGTTCAGGAGAATCTGCCTACTCCATATAGAAAGATATATTGCTTAATCACCAAGCTTAATTTCACACCAAAAATACCAAATTGAATAGTATGTTTAACAACGAGGGCACCAAATGTGTAAAAATATATATACTCGAGGGATAAAGAAATGCAGTGTAACATTGTTTGCAATATCTTGTGAGCGCGGTATTCAAAAACAATGAAAATCGGTTAAAGAACTATCTAGATTACAGTTCACGCGGTCCTGTGTTGAATTTTGCATTATTATATTGCGTGTCGATGTCTTCCGGGGAAAGCTCGAAACGGGAAAATCTCTTGCACAATAATGTTGTGACACTGAGTTACAGTGCTTACCATGCCATTAGGTAGACCTCATAGAGACACGTCATTTTCCGATATTTTGATTAATTTCTGATAACATTAAACAATGGCACGGCTGACGGACGTTTTTGAGGGGTCAGGCCACTGCGATAATTATGCAAGGTCAAAGGCAAATACAGGTTGTCAGACATTTCGGTGTCCATATTTGCACTATAGACGTATAAGGGAAACTGGGCGGGTTGTTGACAGACCATGCACAAACTGTAAGGACACGATTGCGGGAAGTTGGTCTGCGGGCATGTCACCTGTTTGTAGGTCTGTCCCTTACCGCTGCTCGTCAGCAGTGTCGTTTGGCTTGGGTGGCGGCACATGCACAGGTTCGACGGCGCCAGTCTCCCCCTGATACTCTGGCCCAACTGAGAGCAGTCCTCTTGGAAGAATGGTCCAAACATCCCAATGAGGATGATAAACTCACTCAAGAACTCCATGCCAAGGAGGATCAGGGCTATGGATAGAGCGAATGGGGGACATAGCCGGTATTGACTAGCCAGCTCCAACAATTAGTCCATTTCGATCTCAGATTACCGAGTTCTCTTCCAAATCCCTTAATTTCCTTCTAAATCACTTACCAGATACAAATCGTTGACTTTTTTAGTTGGTACTGTATGGAATAATCTTCATTCTTACATAATATTTATCATTATACTCGAGGCCATGCCTAGAATCATCTTCAAAGTAAATACATCCGTTCACGCGGTTCACTACGTATCTAAATCTAAATAGAATATATATGACCTCTTGTTGCACATATTGAGTGAAATAAGGATATCTTTGAAAATACTTGAATAGAAATGCAAGACTTGGAAGGGATAAAATGTTTATCTTGGAATCGAGCTTGATGTGGAATAGCAGCAACTTCCACGCGTAGAATTCTATTGGCTAAATTGTGGAAAACCAAGTGAAAATCTTGACAGAAAACAACCTCGGTTAAGGACAACTGGTTTTTGGCATTTCATTTTTGTACGTATTGTCTCATCAAATTCTGTACTCACTGACTCACTGGCAAGAGGACGCTGAAGCTAGCACACTGAAAATATCACATTTGTTAGGCTGGCAAGCTTGGATATTTACAAATTCAGTTATCGAACGCTAGGCGAACACAGACACATGTATGTGTCACCACTGTCGACTGTCTGTCTGTCGCACGTGCGACAGTTGCGCCACGTGCAAAACATGTAATGGATCGTCCATGCACTCATTTACGTAACAACGATAAACATATCGATTTGTTGTTATTGCAGTGGGGTTCTATTGACTGCTTAATCCGATGATTTATTAACATCGGGAATAAAAGTACATACCAGGAAAATATAATCGAGAGAGAAACTGGTAATAAATTGCTTTATTTATATAAACATAAAAACCTCTTTCAAAAATCAAGCTAAGTTTCATTTACAATCGTATTGAGAAGTCAATATAACCAATCAGTAAAAAGGGATATAAAAATACATATACACTTATTGAAATAAAAACAAACTTGCAATATTATACGATCATAATAGAAAAATATTACCAACATAACAATAATGTCCATTATAAAAATACAAACAAATTAAAAACCATCATTGATTAATATAATCGTACATTTTCTATGAACAAATGGTCCATAACCTTAAGACAGTCAATACTGTGACGTTGTTCCACTTACATACATGTTATGTATATGTAATACACTCACGTACACACATATATATAATATCAAAATATTTTCGTTCCAAGTAATGAAGCATGATATCCTAGCCAACAGCGCACGTCATTGTATGTAGTAATACTGATAACGGTTATTATGAAGAAACTTTTTATGGGAAACAAGCAAATATCTTGTATATTAGTTGTCCAAACAGGTAAAGTACACAAATATATATATATATATATACAATATTTAACAAATAAAAAACAAAAAACAAAACAAAAAAACAGAAACAGCAGTCACAAATACTGATGTGTAACTTGATCATTACAATAGCATACATGTTTCAAGGTATAGTGGTACTTCCTGAACTGATAATTGTGACTTATGCGAACAGCTGACAGTCTTACTGCTATTCATTTCTATACAAAACTTGGCATCATTCATACAATGAACACTTTAAACAAAGTTCTGGCATTCTAAATGATACAAACAAGGTAACGTCAATTTATGCTTTGTGTTTCAAACTAGGAGACAAATGTGTGATGACTAGAATTATCCGGAGGTTTTACTATACAATGCATTACATGTATTGTACCTTTTATGAAGGCCACGCATAAGTATGATTGTATCTCTAATCAACAGGTAATCACGCTCATTTTGACGGGATACTTTGTATTGTTTGATAATGTCGGTAACATTTAGACCTTGCTCTTCCAGGCCGCAGGGCTGCTCAAGCACGTGAAATTTACACATGACCCCCTTGATCGCATCATGTAGATTCTTCAACTGTTGTTCATAGCTTTCATCATGTTCTTCCTGGATGGTTTCTTCTAGGTAAATCATAACACGAACCAGGTTTTTGTAATCATGTAGCAATGCCGCAGAAATCTGTAACAACAATATATAATTATATAATATAGTTTATTCACTGCTGTAATTTGTTCACAAATTTAACTTCCAAACAACAATGGACTAGGATTTAAAAAGCAAGCATGGTAGTCGAACACATCTAATAATGGAAGCATGATTCATGGGAAAATGCCTTATTTACCTTAACTCAAAGCCGCCATATTAGCGAAACATATCGAAAACTACTTTTGAAGATTAAAACCGAATCCCTTTAAATACGATTAATGAAGAAATGTATGAGCATTGATAAAAACAAAAATGAAATTTCTTGGTTAGGGTACATAATTTATTTTTCATGTTAAACCGACATGCATACTTCCACGAAATGGAATTTTTTAAAAAAGCAAACACATCACAATAACAAAAAATCTTTATGATATTCTGATGGTGTTTGATTTCTACATATAGAAAGATACTGTGTTCAAATCAAACCTATTGGTAAACATAGCATTGGTAATAGAAGAAGAACACTTACATTTGCGCAGATAGCGATGGCGTCGGAACCAACGAAATACGTGCTTAGATCCGGAAATCCGGGAACGTGTAAGTATATATTGTCTAGATTATCCTCAAAGTTGGACACACATGTCTCGTTAGATACTTGACTTGCAACACGATGCAATCTCTGAAACCGAATGTTATATCCATAAGTACCCAAGATATTATAAAATGTACTGTATTATGTAGATCAATATGTTAAACGTTCAAGATTATATTTTTCACATAGTCATTAGCCTTGTTTCATACTGTGAAATAGCAAGTCATATATAACATACCATAGCAAGTATATACACTGTAGAATATTACAGATGACTCTGGAAGATTACTATGTGATGTCTTTACTATAAAGGATGACCAATGATCCACAAATTAAGTATCGCCGAAACATATTGATAGCTTGTATGAATTTGTCTCAGATTAAAGCGAGAAATACTATGTTACATCTACAACGTACAGGTATAACTAAACTTACATATTCATTCTTAATGTCGGTTGCTATGTTTTCTGCTTCATTGAGATTGGTATTGATATCGCTTAAAACCATTGATTTCTCTTGGTTTGTTGTATTGTAGGGTTCAAAAGAAGGTGTGGTGTCTTCGCAAGGATTTCTCCATACCCCCGTGTATCCAGGGGTAGGTGCTGTCTCCACTACGAGCGAGAGAAGACAGACCAGGAAGGAGACAATGACGAGTAAATAACTGAGAGCACTTACTGTAACAGAAAATAGGAAAAAATAGCTGATGGGTTATGTAGTCAATTTCAAAGACAATATATTTATTACGAAGCGAGCTTTGACGATTATGTTAAAAACAGTTACAACTTCTCCAAAAATCAGATAGGAAATTTGCAAAATGGCAGATAGTCCATAAAATGCAGCGGAGAATAAAAAAGAGAGAACATTGATAATATCATGTAACAAAAAATGAAGTAATACTAGGGTATTGTTTCGTCATAATTATACACTGTACTATATCCACTAACTCTTTGTAGAAAATGTGAGTGTTTTATTTGCTTAGCATTATTAAATGTTCAAATAAATATTAATGTTTACGTACAATCCAGTTTTCATATAGTTGTTCGCTTGATATCAAGTGGTATTTGTATCCAGTATATCTACATATGTTAATATACACATGTTACTTTTAAATGATATCTTACCTTGCTTCATATTGTATATTAGTTGCAATTAGTTGCTGAAATGGATCTTGCTTGGACGATCTTCGAAGCGTATTGCTTTGGTTTGCCATTTTGTTAGGTTTATATACCAGTAACTTTGGAAACCGATTATTTTCGATTCTCTGTTTCATGAAAATCTTGTCTTGCAGAAACCCTAGAATACATACAAAACGTTTGGAAACTCTTCTAAAGAGTTGGTTATGCTTCTGTTTGAGAAAGACCAATCAAAAACGACCTGAACAGTATTAGTATATATAGCATCATTACCGATGTGGTTCTGGTTTTCGGATGTCAGCAGCCTTAGTCACGTCGAAATATGTATCAGGGTTTCCCCAACGATGTGACGACACAGATTCAGCTCTACTGCCTGAGCTATATTTAGAACAGGACGCATGATGCTCTGTGTACGAGGTGAGGAGGGAGCAATGTATAAGTGGTCCAGGCCATTGTCGAATCAGAGATAACAAAGAGAGATTAATTCATGAATGGAAGATTGGAGATTCTCACTTGACGAGGGGGTGTCAAGTGGGAGTACTTACTATACACTATCTTAAGATGAGCCGAAACAAGTTACTTATTCGAAGTCTTACAATAAGTGGGAGTATTTGCAAATCTCTTATACGCCGACACTACATTGATCGAGAGGTCTGCACATAGGACAGCCAACGCCTACATATACCGGAAGTATTTTGGTTTAGAATGATGTTGAATCTGAAGCTGTAAGAAGTGATTTGTGTGAATTGCAGCATTTGGCAAGTTTCTGATGACTCCTAAATATAAATTGTTTGTATTATTCACAATGGCTACAATAACTTTAAAAAGTATGAAATTACAAAGTAAATTCTTGAATCACTACTTATAGCAATGCTTCTATAGCAAATTGCTTTAGTTGATGAATGAGATTATGAGATAAAACAAAATGTTTAAATGATTGGTCGAGAAAAATGGTCGTTTTGTTCCTAACCATCGGCAGCGATGACTTGTGTAGTATCTGATGGTTTTTTTTTTAATCAAAATTGTTCTTTTTCAGTGAATATGTATAGTTATATATATAATTATTATCGTTTACATAGTGTTAGTAACACTTCGTAGTACAGTGTCATTTATACGTATACTTTATGCAAAGGCATGTAAGGAACCACTTAAAAGGGACAAGGACACCTTAGGGTTTAAATTGACAACCTATTATCTATCTTTATGTGAACAGGGCAAAGATTACATTATCAATATTTGTTCTTTATCAATTTCAAAGATTTTTTTTAAATGTTGAACTTGATTGGTAGCAATGACAACACATAAGAAACTAGTCTTTCAGTTTATTACAAATAAACAATGAAAACGACAATCAAGAAAAAGTCATATCCGGATCTAGTTTCGTTTCTAGTCAACGTTACGTTATTTGAATGACACTCCTTCCTTTCGACTTAATTATCGATACATCTTAACTCGATGCATCATCTTTAGGACGAAAGGCCGGATGTCTCATATAACAATACATCTATCTGTTTTATCATTAGTCGACGAATTTCGATTTGTAAAAGTGAAATAACACACATCATAAACGTTGAAAATATAAAAAGAAAGCAGATTTTATTTACAATATAATCGATATACATTATGAAAGAGTGAGTAATTGCTGTAATAATCAAACACCTGCCGACAAGTTAAAAATTAACGTACTTAATTTGATAATCAGTCACTCTTCTCTTATTTGAAAAAAAAACCACACTTTGAAACAGTTTCTTGATCTTCTTTTCTTTAAGTTCCTGAGCTTTGCCGTAAACTGCATGCCACGTTTTAATTCATACACATGTACTTGACGTTGTCTTAAAATTATCTGATATAGAAAATTTACGAAATTTATTTCGTTATGGGGCTGCTGCACCTCCATGTCTAGATTTTGACTTTCTTTAGATCACTTTGGAGTTTCCTTAGTCGCCTTCTAGGATTCAAAATCAGGCCCTTTGCATCATTGACGAGTCCTAGAAGGACGAAACAGTTGTGTGATACAGTTTAATTCATTGCTTGGCTCTACTGTATCTAACACTAATTTTTTGAAAGGTGTTATTCACTTGTCCTTTGTACAATCTACTATAATATCCATCGTATTGCGAGGACCTTTCTTTACCAGTTTATCACTAGCTCATTAACAGTTGTTCTACCAACTAAAATGAAATGAAAAGACCGTCAATTTTTACTGAAATGTCCATGGCCTGAAATGTGTATTTTCAGATACGAAAATTATCAGGTTAAGAAGAAATGGTATGATGTTTTGGAAACATGAGCTTGGTAATTGGTCATTGATAAGGCCATCTAATTTGCTGCATGCATAATATATTTTTGAAAAGCTTTGAAATCGATTGGAATTTGGATCATATGAGTGTTTCTTTATACGTAACTTATATACAGTGTAAGTATTATCAATACGACGAGCGTTCATGGTAGCCTTTGGAATGTAATATATGGACTTCAACATAAAGTACTCCATATTGTTTTATAAGTCACATCATTGTAATTTTTTTGAGTAATTAAACAAATTTTAAAAGCTCAGTGGCAGGAGGATTGGAATACCTATACAAATAACAAATTGCACTCCGTTAAACCTGTTATCGGTGAATGGTCTTCAGGCTATAGACAACCACCGAGACGAAGTTGTCCTTGCCGTCTTCGGATGGGTCATACATACCCTACACATTCATATATGTTGAAAGGCGGAGATAATCCTTAGTGCATAGGATGTAATGAGCCATTCACCGTTAGACATTTTTTATTGGACTGCAATGACCTTCTGTCTTCTCGAGAATGTTTTTATCGCAACATTACATGCCTAAAAATCCCTTTTTGAAACTGTTGAGATTTGTGAAATTCTACATTACCTGAAAGATGTTGGTCTATATAATGGACTATGATGTACTATTTTAATATTTTGTATTAACATACCCATTTAAGATTTTTAACATTTGTCTTTTACCTTTTGATTTGTTTAATGTTATTTCCTTTTGGATCGCTGTGTGTTTTACAGTATGATGGCCCTAATGACCTTTTATGTGTCGACGGGCCGTTAAGAATGTAATAATAATAATAAATTTACAATTACTTCTCAAAAATGTGTCATCTATTCGAACGTTTTTAACATTTCCACTTTGTTTCCAGTACAAGATTCGCTGCCAAACCGAAGAAACCGTGTTTTTACGCCATTGAATATGTTTTCCAAGAATTGATGAACCAAGATATACACTCGTGTAGATATATGATAGCATGTTATTATGGAGTCTTTTTCATGGGTTAAAACGATAAAATCTGAAAAAAATTACCCAATATTCACTCAACGAAGCATTACGAGTTTTATTTTCATAGAAAGATGTTTTTGTTGAGAAGTTTGTTTGTGAAGACATAGAAGATGCACTAGACAGACAAAAAAGTACAAAGAAGAAAATCATATCACGTGTTACTATGGGTGAAAAAAATAGGACATCAGGGCTAGTCACAAAGCAATGGTTTTCAATTTACATGTAACGTATTTGTGTCATAAAATAACAGAAGAGGTGTCATTAATACCGTATATTGACCTTTAAGACAAGAATACGGTATGTTTGTCTGATAACTAATGTTAATCAGGATTTTATGGCTACCTCATGTTTTATAAATAAGAATATATATTTAAAGATATAAACGATATATCATAAAATACCGAATTTTCCCTGGAAATAGTGTCATAACCATGTCCAAATCGGACAGAATATACCCTCGTATTTTGGCAAAGAAAAAGGTTTGAAGCTATAGTAAAATCAATAATATAAATTACCAGATGTGTAATATTTACAATAATTTGGAGTTCCCAAAATTACATAATGGTGGGTATATATGTATACTATAAAGATTCTATATCTTTATACATCACCTATCTATGACCGATAGAATCGTTTGTTCGCTTAACGATAACTTTTACTGCTGATAACATGATCACGAGATAATTTAGGGAAAATGTTTATTTATAAAGTGAATGACACTTCAATCAAGAATACGTAAATGAGTTAAAATTGACATGTTTTCCACCCCTTTTAAATCAGCATCATAAGTGAAGTCCCACTTTCCATATGCCATTGTCTTATCTTATCCTGCAGCATTATCGCTATCTTATTATTCAACATCACTGCATTTTATCACATACACTACACAAATATATATATATTGTATATAACTGCCAGGTATTAGATTGATTCTGATTGGCTTGCTTTATCGTGACGTCATAATAGATTGGACAGTGTAATGAAAACATAAAACAACACTTTTTTCCTGATGATTCCCATTTTTTAATAATTACTATAATTATATATCAACTCCATCACAATTCAAACATCAACTGGAATGAACAATGTAACCTAAAGAAAGGTAGTTATTGCGAATTCTGTAACACTTGTTCAACGAACATTTTGTCAAAATACAGTTCAAAGTTTAGTGACAAAGATTAATAGTTGCAACTGTGTGTGAATAGAAAAGCCTAAAGTAGATTAATTTAAATAAAACGTTCTCATCTTTTAGCGTAAATATTTTTTACACCCTTTTACTTAATATGTGCATGTTACCCTTTTTAACACAATTTTGCTGTATTATGCTATTATTTGTAAAGAAAACAAAATATTGAAACAAGTTGAAAGAAAATAAATAGACTGAAATCTTGTACATATCACATACATCATAAAATCATAAACAGTGTATGTAAACTTTCTCTTTTGATCTTACGTCTGTTAAAGTTTGGAGCATACATCAAGGACTCTAACAATCCTGGTTATGGGGTGCAAAAATTCTTGGCTCTTTCAGGAAAACAGCTTTCAACGCCAATACTACATCTAAAATAATTTTTTTAAATCTGTCACAAACACATATTATTATGTCCTTAAGAATTATTCATCACAATAAGTTATCACACATTGCTTTTGTGTATGGCACACAGTTAAACAGTTTACATCCTGAGCATTCTTCTAATGTTTGTACTCTATAGAAAACATAAAACAGAACAAAATACACCAGAAATATGACGGGTCCACCAAGACAAAGGAGGAGGATTCGGCAATGTTTCTGTTGCTGTCTGAAGGACATGAAAGGAAGAAAGAAGACAGAGCAGAAGAAACCTAAGAGGAATCCAGACACAATGCTGTAATTGTCAATGTATGGGAGAGTGCCACACATAAGGAAGATGACTAAAAGTAAAAAAATCTTTGTCAGCTCCACAGCAGGTTTTTGGACAAGGTGCCAGTAGTGTACAAGTTCTGCAGTGATTAACCCAGCCATCCCAAACACAGTCGATGTACCACCTACATGTGGCATATAGGGACTGAATATAGCAGCAGTCTGAAACAGGAAGACAGAACTGGCAAATTCAAAACTTCATTTTGTAGTTGACATTTCATAAAATTTTCATTTAAATTTCAGTAAAGGAAGATTTACAAGGAAGTAAAATAAAAATACATCCACGGATGTATTGTAAGTATTATTGTTACAATTGTTGTGTTTCTGGATACAAAACCTTACAACTTACAGCAGATTAAGGACATATTCTGATTATTGTTGTACCATTTGTTGTGTTTCTGGATACAAAACCTTACTTTAAAACTTACAGTAGATTAAGCATATATCATTAATGATTGAGGTATTTTATTAATAAATGATGCATTGAATATATTAGTAATTGAGGACAGTGGATTTCTGTAAGATGCATAACACTTGTCTAATCATCTGCCCTAAATGTCCGGAGATATTGATATTATCACCAATGTTCGTTTATGAAATAGATAAATATACCAACAACCGTTGTTCTAAACCACACCACAATTAAAGCAGTGACCTGGTATCAATATATAGAGACAATTCAGATTAAGGTAAGGAATCTGACCTTCTCATGAAAGTTTACACAGATGATTAGATAAACTACAGCTAAAGTCCACTGTGGTCAGTTCTATCTATTCAGGAAGTCCCTGATAAAAATATTTATTCAATATTATTATCTGGCTAGTGGTAAAACCAAATTTTAGTCAACAGATAATGCTTACTTAAATGTTCTGACCATTATACAATTTAACTCACCAGCAGCCCACCTAAACCCGTCATAAGATATACAATGATGAGTCGAAGCCAGCCAAGTGTCTGTTCGATCTTCCTAAATAGAAGAATCTGAGCAAGGCTTACAAGGATGGCATGAATCAGCCCATGGTGATAGACTAAAGACAGAGGCAATCTCCACCACTGGATAGGGTCTCTTGGAAGCCATGGGTGTGTGTGGTCAGGCTCAAATCCTCCCATCCCACACACTGAGCTCAAACAATTTACCTTGAACATACAGGAAGCAAAACAATGGGATCCTATGTTAAAAAATATACCAATAAACAAAAGTTTACATTAGAAATATTAATTTCTAGTTTTTGACAAGATGTTAATGGTTTCACATGATTTTAGTACAAATTTTAAATGAATTTCAGCAGTTATTGTAGTGATCAAATAGTAAAGAGAGAACCATAATACTTTGTTTGTTCAGTGTTTTCTCTCCAGCTTAAAATATTCAACATTACCCAAATGTGTTATACAGTCAATGGAGTCAATTAAAGGTCATGCTAATTCTTAATGACATGTCATATCCTGGATATAGTATCAGGACAAATCCACCTAGATATTGACAAGACCAACCAGAAATTAATGAGGAAAAAATGAACAGAGAGTCAGCAATAGGAAACTGTGTGGTTTGAAATTTGTATCAAAAGGTGTTATTTCCCTTCTGGCAGATCCACATATATCATTTTCCCTTCTTTTTTTATTTTGACGTAATTTATTTCAAGAAGTCTAAGATTGTTTTTTGTGTACAGACTAAGGATACTGTTAATTCTTTAATATCCATTTGACACAAACCTTTACGTATCAACATTCAAATTAAGCAATCAAGAAATCAACAAAACAAACAATGTCTAGACATAATTTCTTGTGCATGAAAGTTTGATTCAACAACTGTTTTTATACTTGGCTGCAATGCTCATGCCCATTGACATGAAAGCTTCCCTCCAGAAACTGGCAATGTTTGTGTGACAACAGCTGACACTCTCCTTGGAGTCCTGTACAGCAAGGTTTCAATACATGACCAACGGAGTTCTGTCCTGATGGACGCTCACTACACACAACACCTTCTCTCCACTCTCCTACTCCTGAAACAGTGAATACTCTTATACTGTAAAATCATCAATTTCCTAGGGAAATTTCTTTTCGAAGAGTTTGAAGGCACTCTTAATCCACAATTTAATCAATGTATATAAGAGATCATTTATTGATATGAAAATATTTGACTATTTTCTGAATCTTAATTTTAGATAAGGCAACATTGATAAAATTTTGAATTGAAATGTAATAAACATAGGTATTTGAAGGCCTTGTGACATAGATTACCTGACGTGCATTGAATCTCTAAAGAAATGTATCCCATTTGTTAATAGTGAAATTTGTCACTCAAGTGTAGAACATAATTTGTGTTAAATGTGACCGGCTGGCTTATCAGACAGATAGTTTAATTGCGGTCACCTTAGTGTCAGAATCATGCCGTGAAACATTGGCTGGACATGCTCTCCACCTTTGAGGCATTAACTGTTCACGGTTTAATTGTAGATCAGTAGAAGACACTTTCCCTATCAGAATTAGATTGTAATTACTTTAGGATAAACTGTAAGATCACAGCAAATAGAGTCAGTCCTGGTGTGGCCATGGAAGGAGTAACTTGTTAAGCTCGATACTCAGGCCATACATGTTATCATTGTTGTAACTTGTGTTAATACTCAACATTTGTACTTGAGAACAGTTGTTGCTGGTCTTTTGTATAACATAAGGATAGTACAACATAGAGGGGTAACACAGTTATTCAAAAGAAGATACATGTAACAGATCTTGAGAATATAAAACAGAACACCTTATCAGTATCATTTAACTTTAGTAAGAGAAAATATTTTTGGTTCACTGTGCTGCCAGATATGTACATTAACAAAATATTACGACCATGTTTCTCCTTCCCTATCAGGATACCATTCAAATTATTCAAAAAATGTTTAACAGATGAACAACATGTTCAATTTAAATATTATAATCTAATAATCAAGTTATGTAATTAATCATAAAAGTTGATTTTGTGTTTGGAAAAGTAGTCTGAGTATCTGTCCAGCTATAAATGGGATCATAATCTGATGTCGAGATAGATATATACAATACCCCAAAAGGTAACAATTTCAAGTCTTTTAACGATTGCAAAACCAAGTTATTTCCATAAATTTAGGTTTACATACCGTTAGTGATGTTTACACACTCTGACTGAGTTGTAGTTCCTGCCACATTTCTGCTGGCCACCTCACAACAGCCAAGTATGCTGGTTTTCTTATAGCCTTTTTTACTCAGATCTATCTGGATACCATAGTCTTCTCTCATGCAAGGGGCGTACAGAGCTCCAATACCTATACATGTTCAAATATGCATTGCATGTAAATTTTTTCCAACCATAGAAATAAAAGCAAGAACAATTTCAACACAGAAACTAAAATATGTCTGGGTACATAGAAACACATATTGTTTTTTTTTTTTTTTTTTAGTTTCTCCATTATCAATGCAGTATTACTCCTTTTTATCTTTAAAGTCAATAACCTGTACATGTATGAGTTAAAAAAAATAAAACAGAAATAGTGACTCACTAAATTGCATGGTGTTCAATAATCAGATATATTCTTAATATTTACAAACAAACAAAGTAACAACCATTTGAGAAAACTCAGCTGAACATTTTTAAACTGAAAAATCTTGCAAATGATTTATCATCAGAGGGATTAAGGATATTTTGGATTTAAATTGTTTTCAAAAAATTTTAACTACGACTGGAAACAGAAGTCAGAAGTTATCATATTCAGAGTGGTATGGTATCTTACTGATTAGATATTTCTCAGAGGGCCCAATCCACACATTTGGTGGAATCCATTTGTGGACCATCTCTGTGCCCATAAATGTCTTTACTCCCGTCATTAGCTCCAACTTTGGTTCTAACCCTATGTATGTCAGCTTGCCAAGTATGCATGTCACAATCACTGACACCAGTTGCATCTGTGCAAGTCAAAGGAAAAGAATGGTACATTTTTCTGTCCTATATTGATTTGAACATTCTCTTGTTTTCATATATTTTGATAGCCAATCACAGGATGTGACAATCAGGTTGTACTTGACTGAATAAATAATATAAAAACATGAGATGCACAAAGTGAGAAATTCAATATCTAGGTGGCAAACAAAAGAAGATTTAATCAATTATCCCAATTACAATGATGTATCAAGAATATTACTGCTCTATCATTCAGAGTTAGTGAAAAAGTGATATATTTTCCCAAAATCTACAGAGAAACTAAAATCCAAGAGTTAGCATCTTCTGTTTCATCGAGGACACCCACCATATAAATGTTGGTCAATCTGAATAAGAAATGTCACATTCTCAAGAATAAGGTATACAACAGCTGAATCAACAGGCAATCTAACAAGCATCAAACTGGTCTAGTATTGCACAAAGGAACAGAATATTTGATATATATGATGATAAGATAAGCTGGTAGAAATCTTCATCTTGCAAGTGACATACTGTAATATGATATAATATAGCAGTTATAATGAGAGTCTAAAGATCCACCTACCCTTGTCTTGCTGCATTTCTCACATCCCAAATAAGTGACCAAACACATATAAAGTGTGTGTAAAGCAAAACATTACTAACTGCAATAAGGATATATGTAAAAATTGTCCTGTGTTCATGGAGGGATGCCAGATGAAACTTAATGTCTGTGTTACTCTTGACTGTACTTCTCTTCTCCACTGAAACAGTTTTCTTAAGTTCATGCCACTCAGACACTGCCTTGCTGTTCTTTGGATTCTTGTAGTATTCTACAAAATACCATAATAAAGTCTTAGATATATCAAAATAACAAAAATCCAGGATGCATCCACGTCTTGATCAATGTGAATCAGAAATAGATGTCGATTAGCCTTATTCCTAGCTTTATTTTAAATGGATAAATCATACAAACATTATTATCAACAGACAATGACATAAACCAGGAAAAAATCAATTCATAGCTTTTGTGTGTATCGTCGTTGATGCAGAAGATGCTTACTCTTCCAGAATACCTGGTCTTAACATCCTTTGAGATTTTTTGCCGATATTTTCATGTAAATCTTTCTTTTGTTTAAATTTTGAACTAGTTTTATTGATTTAAAGTTTGGATTATGATTATGTTAACCTGTTGGTATTTTATGTTGTTCTTGACAATTATCTATGACAGTTGTAGACATCATGAATATTTGTTTTGATATTTTTTTTAAATCAGTCAAGATTCACCAGACAAGCTAAAAGTACTAATCATTATATTAAAATTCTGTAGCTGTAATTATGACCCAATATGATTTAAATCCAATGATAGACAAGGAGAATAATTTCAGTGATTTTATATTGAAACAGAATGTTAAAAGAAGTATGACTGAGGTGAGACTTAAATAAGATCTGTAAATATGCGATCAAATGGAAATTTGTAAACTTTGTCAGATTTGTTGGGAGACATAATGTATAAACACTTTGCATTCTACTGATTTCATTTCACCTGTAGCAACACATATAATTTCATCAATTTGTTGAGCTCTCCAATTATAATTCATCTTCAATGCTTCCTTGGCATCCTGTAGTTCATTCACCCGTATATTCTTATCAATCTGAAATTTTACAGGACATAGCAAACTTGATTTTGAAGTATATAGTTGTTTTGGTTTGGAAAGAATTCAAGCTAATACAATAATTGTTGTTAATCAAATATATAAACAATGCAATCAAAACTGCAGTAAAACCTTTTATGGAACCAAATGAAAATTACATGGTTTTTATACATACAAACATTTACCAGCTGTGCAAATCAATATTACCTCTGCATACAATTTGAAATGTTTGTAGCCATCCATTCCAAAAGCTAAGTCCTGCAGTGACAACTTTTCCACAGACTCCTGGAAATATATAAATATTCTTTATTTTGATTTAGCTAACCTGATACAACAATTTTGATTGTAAATAATCAATATTTTTGCTGTACAAATTTTAATATTTCCTTCAGATATTTGTTTTGGTCCAGATTTTTTTTGACATGGACTCTTGTGCAGCATAAATTGTGTTCAATAAAATGCGAATTATGAGTCCTTGATAATTACCAAAACCCTTGCTATAAAAACTGCTAAAAATCATTAACATTTAAATATTATACACATTAAAGTTTAACCAATTTTATTTGAACTGAAATAGCTACTAGTCACAAGGCACTGGTGCCCTATAACAAAACCTTCTTTCTCGTACTTGACCATTGCATGATTTACGAGTAATCATTATTTGTTTGACATCAAGACTGATTGAATGCTTAAAACACTGTTTTATTGACAGAGTTATCCTTTCACTTAACAATGTTATGAATTAGTTCCGACATGATAACAAAGACAGGGATTGAACATATGTTATATTGAAACACAAAATCAATACATCCTCATACTTGATTGAAAGTCATTCAAAAATAAAATTGTAATTATAAATAAAATAAGGATAAAAAGTTCAATTGCTTTCCTTATCAATACAAACTGGTATATAGATGGATTACTATTTCCCTTCAAAATTCCAATATGATTGGCTAACAATTTTCATTGTAGAAGTCTGCTAAAAAGTCTGATAAAAAAGATAAAATGAGGGTATTATTTACTGCAAATAGTTAATGATTCACCTCACTTGTAGAATCTTCAGCAAAAAGTATGTTTTCTTTCACACCATGACAATCACTCCTCACATTATGTTCATCCTCTGTATTTGAATCTTCATCAACTTCAACATTTTTGAAAGAAACTCTGGGAAGTTTTGTAATTTTGTGTTCCTGATTACTCATTTCCTCCTCCAGATCTCTAATCCCTAGATCACTCCTATTTGCTTCAATTTTCTTTTCTTGTGTTTTAGAGTCATTAATTGAAATGGTCTTTTCAACTTCATCTGCACCTTCATTGTCTTTCCTGGGGTGCACAAAAAGTCCACTGATATTTCCAGAAGTTTCATCACTGTCAGTTCTTTTATTCTTTGACTGATTCTCAGCATCTGTGTTCAGCTTTATTCCAATGATGTCACTCTCTTCTTGCAACTGGTATTTGACAGAAGTATCTTCATCCTTTACAATACCTTTAGTAACAACCTTTTGAGAATCCACTCCATTGTCATCAGTGTCGCTTCCAGGTAGGTCAACACATTTTACATCAGTTACTTCCTGTTTCCCACTGTGTTTCAAGTTTGTTTCTTCTTGGTTAGATGAGCTACCATGTCCATTAGCAGAATAGTTTGTATTGACAGAATAACTTGCATCATTTCTAACTTTACTGAGGTCTTTGTCTCCATTGTTATCACTCAGTGCCTTGGGTGTGCTTTTGACATGATCGGCTGATTCAGCTTTTTCATAATCTTCATGTATTATGTCAAAACCTTTAATTTTAGAACGATTATTAACTCTCTTTATGAAGTCATGCTTTCCAGATTTGTGTGATATAAATACTGGCTTATCTAAATCTGTAGCTTTTTCATGGTGGGCTTCACAAGGAGAATCTTGAAACACATTTCTATTGGCAGAATTATTTATAGAAAGTATAACATCCATTACAACTGGAATGGGTACTCCTTGTTGAAGACGACATGTTCCAGCCGCTACAATTTCGATGTGATCATCTTGAGGATGTTTCTCTACGTTGTTGTTGCCTGTAAGGTTTTTATTTGTGGCTTTATTAAGTGAAGGATCAACTTTACTTCCACCTGATAAGTTCTTCAAATTAACAACTTCTTCATCATCACTTTCAAGTATGCCCTTCACATTGCTATATTCTTCTGATTCTTGTGATATGATGTGGTGTAATGCACCTTGTAAACAGTCTATCAATCTATCTTCAGGTTGCTGTACTCTGCTATGGAATATGCTTGTTATTAAACTACTGTTTTTATATTGCTGCAAATAAAATGAACACTGTAAATATATTTGACGAATCACTTGTCGACTGTTCATGAGAACTGAAAAATGGATATTGATTATTTTGAATTAATTGGAATTATTAAATATAACTTGCCAGAATGTTTGATTCCTTATATTTGACTTGATTAATTAATGATGCATTGATGTTCTTACAACACAAATTATGTCTTCAAATTTAATATATTGAAAAATTACCCATTAACATAATTTTTCTCTTTTTTTGTTCATTTTGATGACTTTAAATTATCAATAAAGGTATTCTATGCATAATGCCACATGGAAATCATGGAAAGAGAGGATTATACCATTTCTTTTCAAGTGTAAGATGGTACAACAAAGAAAAGGGTGAAACTCTGTACTTTGTATTTTCTTTCAAATTCAAATGGGCAATGATTAACTACCTAGAGAAGCTACTCTTGGAAGCTGAATTAATTAATACCAAATTAAGTCAACATTTTCATTTAAGTATGATTTCTTATTTTCATGATTGTATGACAGCTATTTATCATGGTACAATTTTCACAAAACTGACCAACATATCTGTAGTTTGGAAAGAGAAACAGCATAGGTGTGTGTGTGGGACAGCCTTTCTCTATATTATACAAATTATTCTTGGTAAAAATGATCTAGTTTTAATTTTTTTGAATTGATGGTACAAAAACATGAATATGCTTTTGGTATTGTAGCTCTCATTTTTCATGCTCGGGCAGCTAACTGTAAAAAAACATCAGTCAAAAAAAGGATTTAAAATGTTCCATTTATTGTAATTGGGAATACAAATGATTGCGTGAAGTTATACATATATGTGTATTTTTCTGGTTGTAAATGGAAGATCATTGTTACATCAGTTATTAACCCTGTTTAATATATAGGTTTGTTATTAACACTGTTTAATCTATAGGTTTGTTATGAACACTGTTTAGTCTATAGATTTGTTATCAATCCTGTTTAGTCTATAGGTTTGTTATTAACACTGTTTAGTCTATAGGTTTGTTATTACCCTTGTTTAGTCTATATGTTTGTTATTAACACTGTTTAATCTATAGGTTTGTTATTAACACTGTTTAGTCTATAGATTTGTTATTAACCCTGTTTAGTCTATAGATTTGTTATCAACCCTGTCTAGTCTATAGGTTTGTTATTAACCCTATATAGTCTATGTTTGTTATTTAAACTGTTTAGTCTATATGTTTGTTATTAACCCTGTCTAGTCTATAGGTTTGTTATTAACACTGTTTAGTATATAGGTTTGTTATCAACCCTTTTAAGTCTATAGGCTTGTTATTAACCCTGTTTAGTCTATAGATTTGTTATCAACCCTGTTTAGTCTATAGGTTTGTTATTAACCCTGTTTAGTCTATAGGTTTGTTATTAAGACTGTTTAGTCTATAGATTTGTTATCAACCCTGTTTAGTCTATAGGTTTGTTATTAACACTGTTTAGTATATAGGTTTGTTATTAACACTGTTTAGTCTATATGTTTGTTATTAACCCTGTCTAGTCTATAGGTTTGTTATTAACACTGTTTAGTATATAGGTTTGTTATCAACCCTGTTAAGTCTATAGACTTGTTCTTAACCCTGTTTAGTCTATAGATTTGTTATCAATCCTGTTTAGTCTATAGGTTTGTTATTACCCTTGTTTAGTCTATAGGTTTGTTATCAACCCTGTTTAGTCTATAGGTTTGTTATTAACCCTGTTTAGTCTATAGGTTTGTTATTAAGACTGTTTAGTCTATAGATTTGTTATCAACCCTGTTTAGTCTATAGGTTTGTTATTACCCTTGTTTAGTCTATAGATTTGTTATCAACCCTGTCTAGTCTATAGGTTTGTTATTAACCCTATCTAGTCTATGTTTGTTATTAACACTGTTTAGTCTATAGGTTTGTTATTAACCCTGTCTAGTCTATATGTTTGTTATTAACCCTATCTAGTCTATGTTTGTTATTAACACTGTTTAGTCTATAGGTTTGTTATTAACACTGTTTAGTCTATGGATTTGTTATTAACCCTGTTTAGTCTATAGATTTGTTATCAACCCTGTTTAGTCTATAGGTTTGTTATTAACACTGTTTAGTATATAGGTTTGTTATCAACCCTGTTAAGTCTATAGGTTTGTTATTAACCCTGTTTAGTCTATAGGTTTGTTATTAACACTGTTTAGTCTATAGATTTGTTATTAACCCTGTTTAGTCTATAGGTTTGTTATTAACCCTGTTTAGTCTATAGATTTGTTATCAATCCTGTTTAGTCTATAGGTTTGTTATTACCCTTGTTTAGTCTATAGGTTTGTTATCAACACTGTTTAATCTATAGGTTTGTTATTAACCCTGTTTAGTCTATAGGTTTGTTATTAAGACTGTTTAGTCTATAGATTTGTTATCAACCCTGTTTAGTCTATAGGTTTGTTATTACCCTTGTTTAGTCTATAGATTTGTTATTAACACTGTTTAATATATAGGTTTGTTATTAACACTGTTTAGTCTATAGGTTTGTTATTAACACTGTTTAGTCTATAGGTTTGTTATTAAGACTGTTTAATATATAGGTTTGTTATTAACACTGTTTAATATATAGGTTTGTTATTAACACTGTTTAGTCTATAGGTTTGTTATTAACACTGTTTAATCTATAGGTTTGTTATTAACCCTGTTTAGTCTATAGGTTTGTTATTAAGACTGTTTAGTCTATAGATTTGTTATCAACCCTGTTTAGTCTATAGGTTTGTTATTACCCTTGTTTAGTATATAGATTTGTTATCAACCCTGTTAAGTCTATAGGTTTGTTATTAACCCTGTTTAGTCTATAGATTTGTTATCAACCCTGTTTAGTCTATAGGTTTGTTATTACCCTTGTTTAGTCTATAGGTTTGTTATTAACCCTGTCTAGTCTATATGTTTGTTATTAACCCTGTTTAGTCTATGTTTGTTATTAACACTGTTTAGTCTATAGGTTTGTTATTAACACTGTTTAGTCTATAGGTTTGTTATTAACACTGTTTAGTCTATAGGTTTGTTATTAACACTGTTTAGTCTATAGATTGAAGTAAAATGGTCAGTTATTAATGAGATAAATAATAACACTGTCATTGCTACATACTTGTGTCAGTTTGTTACAAAAGTAGGTATTAAGAAGTACAAATGTAAAAAATATGTTCTTTATGCACTTTTGACTTACAAACATGCATTTTTCAAAACATATAAAACAAAGAATGCATACATATAAAGATAAAATACAATTTTATATCTGATATTGATATAACATTACAATTTTATCTGAAATATTGATGTAATGTTACAATTTTATCTCACATGTTGATGTACTATTACAATTTTATATCTAATATTGATGTAAAGTTACAATTTTATATCTAATATTGATGTAAAGTTACAATTTTATATCTAATATTGATCTAATGTTACAACTATTCTTTATTTATACAACAATCAAACAAGTTAATGGCAACAAAACCAAAACAAAGATGTTACCTGATCTAAAGCATCTTTGGCCTGATCATGATCCTGAGGAAAATGTTCCATTCCACAAAACTTTCGGATGTGTTGATCACTTAAAGTCAATTCAGTAAAATGAATCAGCCTGATTATCGTCGTCTGATTCTTCTTTGGGAACTTGTAAACTTTGCCTTTGATGAAGCATGAAGATAGTTCTTTTTATGGAAAAGAATCTGAAATAATATATACAATCTCAATGTAATTTTGTACATGATGGACACTAATTTCAACATTACATGTAATATCACATGATTACTTCCAGCAGCAGCTTTGTTACACTAATCATATTTGATCAACCATTTCAAACTGTGTCAAATTATTATCAAAACATTTTAGAAAATTGTAATTCAGTTATACTCTAAATAAATGAAAATAAATAAATAAATAATGATTCCCACAAAACCTCTAAGAATTAGTTTTTAACCTATTGCTGATTACTGAGGATTGCGATATTGAAAAGTCCTACAACAAAAATTACTGTAGAAAGGGGCTGTGCCTGAGACAGCAATCGCACAAGCATTGATGTTTGATTATATTAGCAAAACATGAGTTTTGCAACAAAAATTACTGTAAGTTTTAGATTATTTATGCCTTAAAATTACTCTGTTTGTCATTAAACCTATCTCAGAAGTTTAAAGTCACTTTGAATGTCATTGAATTTCTATAAATAATAGAAATAATAAGTTTACCTCAATTCTTATGCCACTCGTTTCTCACACATAAGTAATGGTATCTTCATATTTTCTGTTTAATCTAAGCATCAGTGTTCAATGTGCAAATTTATTGATACCTAGATTGCTACGGGGTAATTACACGGCTTAAAACGTATACTATCATGCCTTTTCCAAAAATTATTTGACTTTCAAGATAAACATGACTTGCTACAATGGATGAGACTTTGCCAATTATTCAATGAATCCATCACAATGTGATTCCATTGTACCTCCAAATTGGTCCCAGTGATACTTGAATCCCTTTCTACTTCAGCCTTAAAATTTTGTTCTAGCATTTCTCTTATGAAACTATGGTTGTTAAAGCATTTAACATTAAGGATCTTGTCTCTTTGATGCTGAAGTCCTGTACTTTGATCAGTTCTAGTTCCAAACTTCTTTTTGGGAAAACAACCTTCATGATATACACAACTTATGAGTACATGTATCTGGCACAATTTTCATGACCACATGTGTCAAGTGTGTAAAAATCTTTAAACATTATCTCAATGACTAAGTGACCCATTGTCATAAACACTTTAGCAAAGGCTATGTGCAGTTTGTCACATTGTATGTATGTATTGATAAATAATGCTTTCTCTAATTAATTGCTGAAATAACTGGTATGTTACCGATTTATGACCGTATCAGGAAAAGTAATTCAGCATCTCAATGTGTATAAGATTTATCATAAATAGCGATTTCATTATAAACTGTAGATGTGCATACTTGATCTCTATATTTAAGTCTGACCTCCAAAATCAAACTCTATGTTTCCCTTCAGCTTTCCAGTGAAATAAAGACCATTACCATGGTCTTAAAAGATAATGTAAAAACTTGATGATTTTGTTATTTTTGATGAACGATGTTCAAAGTGGGTTGTGATGATTTTAAACACTTTATTCCATCAATTGGAAGTCTTTAATGCAATTAATTGTAACCATTTCAGATTTTGTTGGTCTTTGAATTAAAAGAACCTTTATTTGACTTGTAACCTACAAAGTGTATCTGATACTTACACATAAGTGCATCAAGGTGAACTCATCGTAACCTTTGAAGCTACAATACTTACATGTATTTCAACTAATTTCAACTGTATGGCACTTGAAAGGGATACTTGGATGAAAATGGTCTTTTTCAATGTCATTTGATTCATTTCGGCTCAAAACTAACAAATACCAAACTACTTTTCACTCACTACCTGCTGCTTACTCACTATTGCATGAAAAATGTTTAAATGCAATATATAGAAATAATTCCAGATACACAGGTGTTATTTCAAGCATTCAAATCCTCGCCAGTAAGATTTATGGAATCCAATATTTATATGACAGAGTCCTGCCAAAGTTTACAACAAAACCATTGTTATATTGCATACTGCTTCCATATTCTTGTTGTCCATTGTTTACTACAGTATACAATGAGATATATCTAGATCATTGGAAATTACAATGTAAGATACTTTTCCATCGCAAGTATTCTAAACCACTGAAGTCGGTCACCGTTTTTCTTTCAAAATTTCCAAACATCTTTAAATCCTTTTTGCAGTCAAAAGTAGCAAGTAGATAGCCAGTGAGCTGTAGACAGTAGACAGCATAATAAGGTAATAAACACACCTAAATGTTGATATTTTACATGTGGAAGGAATGTTAATAGGCCTATTTCCTATAAAATGTTTCATAATCCAGGTTTGGTTATAGCTGCTTAAACACTTTGAAATAAAGCTCTACATCTACACTGAAGCTAAACAGAAAACTTAAGCATGACTCAGTTAATCAACAAAGTCCATTTAACAGTAAATTGTAGGTGAAAATGAGAATCTGAAATTGTTTTGGAATTATCATAAATAGATATTTATGAATGTATTTTATGTTTTGTAAAGGCAGCTTTCAGCTTAATGGAAACCTTTTAGTGTAACCTTGGTTTAGACAGTTCCACTAGAAAGAACTTTTCTTTAACTCCATCGGTTGATGGTCAGACTAGTAGCCAGAGGTTTTGGGGTAGAAATTCTAGCAGAGACAATGAAATAAATAAGGATCCATGCTACATTAGGGCCCATGTAGGAAATCTGGAGTGATATTTAGAGTTACATCGACAAGCATTGTTGTAACACCTGGAAACTTGAATCTCGAGGACAGGTACCGGTAGTTTCCTGGCTGGGGAGTATGTAAAATACCAGCCACAATATACTGCTTGGCTACAGAAATCGCTGTAGCTTGATGGGTTAAGCGTCAGACTAGCAGCTAAAGGTCCCGAATCAAATCCTAACGGAGACATTGAAAATATATATGACCTCTGTTACATTAGCATTGCTCAATATTCATTAACAAGGTCCAGTGGCTGATACATTAATTTACAAGTGAAATATTGAAACTGAAATACAAATTTTGACAATTCAGGTTATCCTAGTTTATACTAGTTATATAAGGTAAAATATTGAATTGAGAACATATATGTGTCAATATTCTAGCTTGTATAACCTTTAAGCAGGTTTGGTGATCATGGGAGTATTACTGATTTATTTGAACAATTTGGATTTATCACAAATGTCAAAGCAGTTTTATGTTAATGCCTTTTTATAATACCAGAATCTTCTTTCCTCAGTAAAAAAATGTATTTCTTCACATAACATACAATTTCCTAGATCTACATTATGTTATCCTTACATTCCTAATAACTTAAAACCTTTTTTTAAGGACAGAAATGGTCCTTAATTTTTCTATGAAACATTAATAAAGTCTAATCTCATTTCATCAGGAACCAAAAAATGGAATATGCTATTTGAGGACATTGACAAATAAACCTGGGGGAAATATTGCAAAATGCCATTTCTTGTCACCACTGAAATAAAACTTCAGTGGTTCCAATACAGAGTTGTTCACCACATAATAACTACTAACTCATTTTTGTTTGAGATTAGAACAGTTATCTCCCCTCAATGTGCACTCTGAACCTGAAACAGTTATCCATATAATATGGGAATGTCAAGAAGTGCAAAAATTGTTACAAAGTTTAGAAACACTTTTAGAAATTCTCTAGATTCCTTTCTCTTTCAACAAGAAATCTTTTGTTTTTGGATGTCTTATAATAAATACTTACCTAGAAACCGAGTCAACAATGAAGTTATTCTAACAACAAAGCAGTATATATACAAAACAAAATGTCTACATAGCTCTTTAAGTATCAATGCTTTAAAACATAATCAAAGACACTTATACAGTTAAAAATACATTGCTAATGATAAGGATGATCAAGTATAGGCTACATTTGAAAAATTTGGTAATTTTCATTTTAGGCCAATCATGTCAACCATCTAGGGTTGTTTTGTTGTGCAAAGGACACTCAAGTCAATATATATATATATATATATAACATCTTTTTATTCAGATTTAAATTTAGATACAATTAAGCCAAACAATAATTAAAATAAATAAAACATAAAAACTAGGACTTAAAATAAAATTCCAATTCCGCGATAAAACAAATAAAATTTCCGTTTTTGTTATAGTTGTGGTGAATCCTTTGAAACAAATACAATATATTTTCAGTCATGCATATTAACATATATATCAATCAAACGAATCATCCGTTCTGTTGAATTGAAATAAATAATTAATGCGACGTACTGTGTACCTACCGGCGTGCCCGCAGCTAAGAAAATGCCCCTTAATGTTTTTTTAAATTTAGCATAAAAATATTAATATGTTTCTCGTATGAAAAATATATATACTTAATGTACAATATATAGGGCTAACATCAAAAGTATTACCCTCCGTTAAATCTCACCTAAGGCCTTGCTCTGAAGCAGACGACAATTTTCCATCTCGAACCATGCAAACGGTGCAAAATAGTCGATAACATATGTATCATTGTATATACATTCACTTTTACATTATCATTATAAGTGTATCATATTGTGTAACATGATATTGTCTTTAGTCAGTATTCAATTTAATTCACTCGACGATTTAGTTAAATGATATTTCTATGCCTGTAATTTATCGCTTTACTGATCGGAACTCTTCATGTTGGAAGATAAATTAGTGATAAGCGGAAGTGGGTTGGTTTGCAAGAAAACATCGAGAAGTAGAAAAAAAACAGGTTTACTTTACAAGATGGCTTCAGATGGAGGGGAAATTTATCCTTCCCCTTCCTCTAAAGGAAGAGAAACGGTAAATTGGTTTTCTATGTTTATATATTTTGTTGCACATCTAGATTTTAGAAGTGCATGACATACACTGATTCACATACACCTATTCCAAGATATTTCTGTGGTCAGTCCCCCGGGGCCCATGTATTCCTGGCACTATACGACTGCATAGTAACAGATGCTGTACAATCTGCCGATCGAAATGAATCTTAAACATATATATTTATGAAAACTTTGAATTTACAAGAGACAGTCTTTCTGTGGTAGTGCAAATTACAGAAAGCGCCCAATAGGCTATATAAAAAAAATATGGTACAATTTTTTGTTTCAAATGTTTAAACGAACTTAATGTGTATCTGACCATGTATTAGGGTAACAAATTGACTACTCAAAGCGATAACTATCCCTCAACTACATGACTGTTACTCATATGTAGGGTTGTGCCCAACCTTTTCAAGCCGATGTTTGTTGATGTTTAGTAATTTTATACAAGGATGTATAATACGTTGATAAGGAATTGCCTATATCTCTTTGCAACGCTTTAGCGAAGAAGTTCTAGTTAAATAGTATTGCTGTGTTTATGAACCTTTTTGCTCATAAAGTACATAACTAACCTTTCAAAAAACAGTAGATTTCCTCTATTTGCTAATTTATGAAAGTAATTTTTACCAACTAAAAAAATGCTGGAGTATCACTTATTTAAACTGAAACTACACCTTTGAATGAAAAATCTGATTCTGAATACCTGACTCCACAACATGAACATCTGTGTTGACACTGAGGAAATCTTACTTAATGCAGAGCTAGTTTTGATTTATAGACACAAAGTTGAGACTGTCTGAATAGTAATCTCCAACTATTACAAAACTTTCTGAAAAATATGAAGCCAAACAGTGCCTAAACAATTTTAATAGGGATTTATTTTTTAAAGTTTTGACAAAATTCTTTACAGTAGCTATATAATTTAATGAACAAAAATATTAAGAAAAACTCTGTACTGCTTTCCATTTACTGTGGATTTTATTTAAGGTCTCCTTAATAGTAAACTTTATTGTAACAGTATTATGAAACTATAAATGTTTCCCTTCATATATTGTTTGCAATATACTAAGATACTTAATATACCTTTGTTTCAGTCTGATTTCCTGATGATGATAGTTCGTACACTTTCAACCAGTGCCGACTTTGAACAAAGAGAAAAGGAGAAAGCAAGAATTGAGAAAGCTTTTAGACAAAGTGACAAGTGTCTTGGAGAGCTGGTGACAGGTAATTGTAAAAGCATCCACAAACTTTATATTCCTTATTATTGAAATCTGTATATCTAATAATGAATTTCCATTAATATCAGATTGATGAAACAAGTTTCAGAATTTTTCATTTTCCAAGCCTTTGGTGATGAGCTTCATAAATCTCATATAAATGGAAAGAATTGTTGGATTCCATTTATCATATAACTTTTATTTCTTTGCAAACATTCCTGAGAATAGCATTACAATAGACTGATATATTTAACTATGTCAGTCAACTTTCAAGCAGGACAACCTGTTCTCTTAGTTCAAACAACTTATATATTCCCAAGTGCAGAACTACTTTTTACAAACATTCTTTTAAATATTCATGCATGTCCCTTTGGAGTAATCTTAGTGAAGAGATCAGGAATGCAACAAAAGTTTTGTCTTTTAAAAAACTGTACCTGAAAAACTATTTTAATCCAACTTCATGAAATGTATTTGTCAATTCTAGGCTCATCTGTGATGGTACTGTATTAATTTTGTAATGTGTATTTAATTATTTCATAAATCATATCTATTATGCACAGAAAACTTTTGATACTTAATTTGATTTTTTTTTTATGCAACCAAATGATGAACTGTTCTTATCCATACTTACTGAAGTATCTTATTTAATATATTTTGTCTATCATGTATTGCCATGTCAACATGTTAATGTTTTGTATTCATCCGTAATATGCTGATGTAAATATGTGTTTTACAGGGCCATATTGTAAACTAGACGCAAGTCTAAATATGCTTTACTGTTGAGATAAAAGAATTTGTTATTATTATTATTATTATCATTATTATTACAAAATTATCTAAAATATCATGATAAAGAAAATTTTCTGTGGTGTTCTGTTGCATATTTTTCAATTTGTTTTCCATTCCAGAGAATTATGAAGACCTAACAAGAATCACACAAGCCTTTAGTACCATAAGCAAGAAAATATATGGTAAGACATTCATGATTTGTGCATTGACCTATTGAGGATATTTGGACTTACTGTGTCTGATTTGTAATGGTTGTTTGTAAGTTTTATTAATTAAAATGTATGTCAATAATTATTGGAATAAACCAATTAAGTTGTAAAAGTCCAGTGGCCCATGTGACAGATTTTCATGGCCAAAGGGTAATAAAGACAGATGAAATTTGGTGTATTTAAACTGAAATGACTATGAAAGATCTTTTTTGAAAAAGGAATAGATGCTTCATTATAAGAAAAAGTATTTGCGACCATACTGCTGAGAGGGAGATCCGTAGACGGGGAAATATTTCATATTTATTGTGTATACATTTAAGAGAATATTTTGTCATTGTTGGTAAACTATCAAAGTGTATGATGTGGGCCCTCTCTTTGTTGCCTCTTAGTATTACAATATGAAATATTAATGCTTCACAATTTCGTCATACCTTATAAGATGTTTACACCATTACAGAGTCACGTGATAAGATAAAGAAGATAAAAGAAGATTTGAGCAGCTGTAAAACATTACTCCATTGTAAACGGGATGAACTTCGTCGACTTTGGATTGAAGGAGTCGAACACAAAACTATGGTCTCCCTCCTTGATCAAATGTAAGCACAAGAAATTCACATACTTTTCTTTAGTTTCGGTAATGTTATTAATTTTTTTTAGCTCTTCAGAATTATCTTATATTGAATCTCTATTTGATCAATAGACCATTTCAGTTCTGTTTAGTAGTGATGAAGTCCATTATTTTCCTTGTGTTTCCTGATACACATGTATCTGCTATTTCATGTAAATAAGTAAATAATTTCTTATTTGCAAATTGAATTAGTGGAGAATTGGTATTGAATCTATCAGTATATAAAATGTTATCCATTTGTAACTAGAAATCATTATCACTGTAACTATTTCAGAGAACAAATCAAGGAGGTTCCCACCAAACTGGATAACTTCTTGCTGACAAAACACTATCTTCATGCCACTAATTTGGTGGTTCAAGCAGGTAGGTTAGAGTGTATGTCAAACAAGTGAAATGGTCAAAGGGAGATAATTAAGAGTACATTCTAGAATAGAGTATCAGGGATGTCCATCAGAGTGTTTGACTATCTTATGAGTTGGTTTATATAGAATGAAAATTTTCATAAAATCTGGCCTGTTAATGTAGAACTGAAATATAGGCTTTGCATTTTATGTTAGCCATTCTCATCTTTCATAATCTTCAAGTTGATAACATATATAGAGAACTGATACATTAACTCCATATTTCTATGTAACAAAGTATTTTTATCTGTACCATAGATATAAAAATACATTTGCATCCAGTCAAGTGATGTTCAACATACTTGATAAACATGTAACCGTTTTGTTTATTTTCTTTGGTGAAGATGAATGTACCTACCTGGTATATGTATCACTTGAAAATTTGAAAACTAAAACTGTTTATCAATTATCTGTTTCTTGTGATTGAACAGTTGTGCTGTTTTATTTATATTTTATCAGTTGACAAATTGGAAGACCCATTGTCAGGAGTGATGGCCTTAAGAGATCTGAAGTCAGAGCTGACCACGCGAAAGGCGGTATTTACAGTTTTTGTTCATTTTTGCACTGATTTCTGCATACTAATTAAAATAAAAAATCATCATTTATCAGTTTGGCCAGTTAACATTTGCAGATATGTCCTATTTTATGCCTGAAATGTTGCATTGAAAGTTTGGCTGCATAAATAAAGAAACGCAAAGATAATATGAATTTTTAATACCTTTTCAGTAAAGTATCAATCCTAATTTATTTAATTAAACATCAAATTGTACCCTGCAAAGATGATAAAACATCAAATTGCATGCTGCTGTAAGTGTTCTGTAACATGAAATTTCTGCCAATGAGAATTGCCCATCTTCACTCCATAAATCATCATGTCAATCAAATAAAATTTTGTATTATCAGTGACAGATATATTAATTCTAAGTATTGAATCAGGAATATAGTATTACTATTCCATCAAAAGAAAAAAGGGATTTGCTATGGATATCATCCAATTTGTTTTGTGAGATTAAACACTACCCATCTACTATAATATTGAAGATGTGTGGTACTGTTCAGGTAACTGGGAACTAAAATCTGTTTGTATCTAGTAAAAAAAGTTTTTAATCTGAAAAAACAATTATATTGAAGATGAATTAAATTGCAGCAACTACATGAAGTGCTGATTGCTGGACTCAATAAACAAATCTATGTGACAGTCCCTGCTACCCAGAAACCCAGCTATCGACGCACAGACTCTCTCACACGACAGGGGGACTACCCCTCACTGGAGCGTAAGAAACGTAAGATGATATCTTAAATGTGACTTTACTGAATAGATCTAGCATAACGACGTAAAGTTTATTGTCAAAAAACAGTTTGAAAAAGAATTGTGTTATACATATTTTCTTGTTGGTAGATATTTTGTGTCCATTGTGCTACATACTCATAACCCTGTATTACATACCTATTTACAGTTTTTTCAGATTTTGCACTTTTGTCATTGTTTTAAATCTAGATACATGTATGTGTAGGCCACTGATACCTGTATTCACTGACTTTGATTCTACTTTTAATTTAGCTCCATTTTCATTAATGTAGGCACTGAACACATGAAAGTTTGTGAAAAAGTTATGATTGCCCTGCTAACTTATTGGAATGTGCCTTATTTTAATATTGCTATGGTACATAGGATGGTTAGGTAACATTGAATTTGATACATACTGGGATACTCCAAAGAACTTTTTCTTGGTGACTATAGCATAATTTTAAGGAGTAATTTGGAGGAAATATATTTGAAAGCCATGCTTTAGAATTAATTAAGACACAATTTGTTACGTCCAATATGTTCCAGGGTCAGGACAGGATATGTTCCCTGCTATAGAGACATATACCAGAGAGGAGATAAAAGAGGATTTGAACTCTAACCCAGAAGATAATCCCTCTCACTTCATTGCTCTCTTAGTTCAATCTCTCTTTGTCCTGAAAAAAGTTCCAGAAGGAGCTGAGGTAAGATATGTTTTGTTTAATTTTATAGTTCTGTTAAGTTGAAATAAATGTGGGAAAATGCCTTTTCACAATACCATACCACCATGTTCAGGGTAGATACATTAGGGTTTACATGGCCATATTCCCTGCATATAGCTGCAGTTATGTAATTTTTCACATTTGGGGATGCTGTTGTGGACTCTCAGGCCTACCAGTGTTTACCTTTTATAAGTAAGTTTTATGTCATAAACAGTTTTGCACTATTAACCACTTAAGAATTAAAATTTCGTTCCTTGCGAAAAATCTGTATTATTAATCTTCTCTTCTCACAATGAGATATCCAAAAGATATACAGGTGTTCAGTTTGACAATATTAGTGAATTCAATGTATTATCTTAGGGTTATATTTCTAGTTTGGATCACACAGGCTGTCTGTGTGTCTGTGTTTTATGTTTCATTGTATGAATCCTAGTATCTGAGATTGTGAGCATTTAATTGTTATTTAACTCCAATGAAGGCCAGTGAGTTGAACATTGATATTAAGCTAAATGAATGATATTTGACTCAGTTTCATTGTCACAGGGATCTAAAAGTTTCATTTCACTTTTTATGTATTTTCAGTGAAAAATAATTAAGTATTGCTTATGTTGCAAATAAGCTGAAACATGCAGATTATGAATTTTGATTACATTAAATGTGAACCCTTGATCAGGCAAAGTTTATTGACATTTCAGGGGTTGAAGGTGAGGATACAACCAGAGTTGTCTGCTATAGTAGCCAGAGCCTCACAGCAGGTGGTGGAAAAGTAAGTTTCTTTTATCAGACATCACTATTTTGTTGATTTCTGTGTAAACATCATGGTGTGATCCACTATCTTTAAAATTACACCCCGATGTATACGTGTTATCTTCATGAGGGAAAATTAATAGTCTAGTTAATAGAACATTGACCTGTGTAACATCAGTTGATGATCAAATGTGTTGGATGAGACATTTCCCAGCTGTGGAAGTTTGTGTTCTCAGGAAGCTGAGAAAGAGACTACTCTGTGGTGTGATGGTTTTGTCCATGTGTAAGATACTTCACCATTATTGCTCTAGACAGCAATAAATGGGCCACCTTTATGTTATTATTGAAGTAGCCAGGCTTTGCAACAAGGGACAGCACATCAAAATGATGCTGGTTGTTCTTGGGGCTATAAGCCAACTAAACAATCAAACCAAATATCTTCATAAATATTTGTAGATAAACTAGCTATTTATCAGTAGATATGTGTACGTCATGGTATCAACTTTGATTAAACATAATATAAATATAGAGATTTGTATGGTAATATTTATTTTCTTTACTAACAGTTGTGAATGCCTTTACTTCGTTATTGAATGGAAGTTGATAATGTAAAGTACATTATAACTAAAACTTCCTTGTCAACATATTCTCAACTGTTTCTGCAGTGCAGAATTATTCCTTGTTTGAAGCATATGTACTTAAATATGTGGATTTACAAAAGAAAATGATATTTGATGAATTCTATTAATTATCTACCCTTGTTTTCAGTTCTTGCCAACAGGGGGAAATACTGGCTAATAATAACCAGCCAAGATTTCTACTGGAATTACTTATGATAGTATTTCAACAGTTCCGCTTGGTTGCACACATGCACAAAATGGTCTTGCGTAACCTTAATCGAGTCATTGTGAGTATGTCATTACAACTGCATTTACATAAGCATTTCTTCTTAAATTCATTTCATTGTTCTTTTCAAATTAACAATACTTTCAAATCTCAGGAAGGACTAACTATTTACGGACCTACAATGAATACTGACCACTTCAATTGAACAGGTTTTACATTAATTGAAGAAAATATTTAATTCACACAATCATCATTTGACATATATGTGTGATCAATCCATTTGAAATCTTTACACTTTGAAATTGCCTTTTGCTGAAGATTTTGTTACCAAGCAGGAATTTTATGCGGAATGTTTAAACACTTTGAATGCGACTAGAAAATTTCATTTAAGATTCAATTTCGGCTTTTTTCACATTTCAACTTTTAATGGATGCAACTGAATTGTTTAAAGGCAGTATGCTTTAATATATGTTATTATGCAGTATTTCATCATCAATAAGCTGGTATAAATATCCTGTTACCCCTTCATATTTATAGACTCACCCATTGTAAACTTAATGGGACTGCAATAGCTCAGTCTGCTAAAGGGTTCTTGTAGCAGTTTGTGCTTCTCTGGAAGCTTAGAAACAGAATAGTCTTTGCTGATGTGTTGTAACCTTAGGAAAGAAACCCTTATTACTCTGGATGGCATGTAACAGGCATCCCATATGTTGTTCAATGAGAACGCCACCATCTACTACAAGGAAACCCTGCCTCAATATGATCCTTGCTGTCCACTATATTAAGATATTAAATAGATGAATCAGATCAATAAAGACAATAAGATAAACAAAGCAAGAAAAGCTTGAATAAATTTGAAGTTTCAATGTATGTACATATATAATGGCAATGTTTTTCATAGAAAAATCAGCAGAATCTCTGTCACTGAAACCAGTATATACCCGGTAAATATATAAAAGTTATTTTACACTAAGTTTTAAAAACTTTGATGAACCGAGCATGACTTTTTTTTCCTTTTTATTTGATTTTAGTGGAATCAAAGTTAACTTTGGAATATGATCCTTGACATCCAAATTTTGCCAGTAGATATGTACACCTTGAAATTATGTAGATTTAATTTCTTGAAATTTTGTCAATCCCTTAATTAGATATAAAATTGTAGCAATACAGAGTTCTTCTATAAACTGTACACAATGTTAAATTATTTGATACATAACAAATTCATATATATATATTTTATTAGACTTTCTTCTTACTAAACTAGGATCTTCTTCAACAATCATGAAATTCAACTTTATCATAATTAAAGGATATCAAGTAAGGAAAATGAAAATTTAGGGAAATAAATATTTTAAAAATCAAGCTGGACCTTCAATGCTTGCAAATCAATGTATGTTGCTTAGTTATATATAGTTCGTATATAAAATTCATAATTTTAAAGATCTTAAGTTAACATTCTAAACTCTGGGATTATTCAATTTTAGTTCAGGACTTTGTTAACCACATTTCAGATATTCAGATATAACAATACATTTGTACATTGTTCAATAGAAATTTAAAATATTTTAAAGCCAACTACAGCAGAGCAACAAGAGGAGGTAACCCTTACTATCATTTTAGAATGAATTGTTGTCACCTTCAGATGTACCCAGCCAGTTAATAAGCACCAATCTAAATAATAAAATTAAATCTTGCATTTCTTTCTATAAATTTCTCTTACCTGCATTGAAATCTTAACAACAACTGAGGTACATCGCCTCTCCTTCACTCCAGGTATCAAAACAACTTTCCATCTATCTTTAAAAGATGGTGTTTGAATTCAAAGGCTAGTGAAGTTAATTGAGTTTGAACTGATATGCTGGTAAGGAGATTTTTATGCAGGAAAAAGAAAGCAATAAGTTTGTTGAAATGCTGGATCTAATTTTAATTAGATTGAGTATACACCTTTTTACGCCTTTGTTGTACAAGAATAATTTTGCATCTTTGTCTTAAGTTGTGGCAGACCTGATTCTTGCTTTATTTTGTTGTTCATTGTTTTTGGATGTGTCTGAAAATTGATCATTTTTATTCCAACACTATTAATGGTTCTTGCATGTACATGTATGTGAGGCCCTGGGATGTAGTTAGTTCTTATTGGTGTCCTTGGTAACATTCACAGAAGTTCCATCAGGATAAATCTGAAACATAATGAACAAGTCGTGTAAATGGCTGTGAAGACAGTTCAGTGAGTCATTATTATTTAGGTAACAGATTATTGTGATGTGGAATTGTGATATGTTCTTAATTATTGTTTAATGCTATTCACCTAGAAAACTTGTGAAGGGTAACAGAAAATTTTATTTTACAATTTAATGATAAATGAAGATTAATAACACTAAGTATTATCAGGTCATTAATATAAAGGTTATGTTTTTGTAGGGCCAATGATTAACTGCCTAATGGTATCTCCTAGTTTATCATTAATCTAAATATCTTCTGTATGATATTTATTTCTGTTTTAAGTAAAAGTGATATTTTTTCAGGCATTTGATACTTGCTTTTACTGAGCAATTAAATTTTGATCATTTCATTTAAAAAAAAGAAAGAAAACAAATCAATCTCCTAAAAAGATTTTTCTGAATGTTTACACAGTATACAACATGTAAGAAAGAATCAAGTAAACTACAGTGCCTTGAACATGTGATGTCATTATACTAAAATATCACTCACAATACAATCATATTTAGTGTCACCATCCTCTTGTCAAATAATACCTGGACATGGTAATTAAGAATAGGGGTGACAGGGTGTTGTATAGGGTTATCAGGTAAGCAGATCTGACAACCAGTTCCATTCTAAAGTTATATCTGTTGGCGTTGGGTGATGAGTTAATGTTTTATGTTACGTTTGAACATTGTTTTCACTATATTTCAGAACCTAAAACTGAACTTTTAGTTTTTAAATTCTGTGTAAAAGTAATTGAATAAAAGTAATGATTTGAGCTGGTCATGATATAGACAATATCAGACTGACCTGATGAAATCATGAGAGTTACAATTGGTGACACTGAATATTACAAAATGAAACTTAAAAAACAACTGTAAGTAAATATGAGGGCAAGTGATAACAACTATCCAATCAGTTAAACTACAGAATATGAAAATTTTGAGAAATGTCAAAAGGATACATGGTTTTATATGAAGTATACGCCAAGCTTACATTGATAACCGCTTGATCTATAATTACACACACAACGTACAGTAGTAGCGCAGTACACAAACTTCACATACAGCACATGATGCTTTTCACTCTTGACTGCGGAAATTTGAGCAAGTTATAAACCATTATTTTGATCATTTTTTTCTTCAGGTTAATTTATATTAATGTAATTACATGTATGTTGAAGATACAGATTTGTTTGGAGAAATGTTTCACTGTTTTTACTTTATGAAATCTACACTTTATCATGCAACATATTATTTTTAATGATAATGTGTTCAAAATAACAAAATTGTTTGTTTTCACTTCCAATGATGCAGTGTCTATAAACGTGCTAATGATAGATTATTGCTTGTAACAAAGCCTTGTTTTTGTCACTGCCATTACCATTATGTTGTAACAAACAACCTAACAAAGGATAGCACTAGACAACTAATATCTCAGCTTTGTCTTACACTGTTTGTGTTTACTGTTTTCAATTTTAGAACTTTACACGTCAGCCATGTTTTCTGTGAACTACAACACAGGAACATTCACTCATGTGTCATGTAATGTAATATTTGAACATAAGATCAGGATGATTTCCCATTAATTTTGCAGGAATGAAATATAGAATTCAAGGCAAATAATAATAATATCACATTTGTCTTGTCCAAACCATCAAATAAAAATGTACAAGTTTTGAACTAGAACCTCAAATTCGATGACAGTGAATTAAACAGTCTCTAGTGCAAAATGTTGGTCCCAAATTGAAAACTTTAGATGATAGAATCTATTATTGTCAATAAGTAATTTATTTTATTCTTAAACTGAATTGTTTACAGTACATGAAGTTGTAATACTATGTTTTAACACAAACATGATTGAATTTATAAAATATAGCCTATAATCTCTGGTTTGGGAAGTCTTTTATATTGGAGATGTCCAGTTTTCAAGTTTGAGCCATTGAGAGGTATACATGCCATATTACAACATAGTAAAGATGAATGCTGTGGTATACCCTCACAGGGTCTGCTGTAGTTCCGAACTGTGTGTAAAGCTGTTGTCAGCCTTCATTGTGGCTTTAAAAAATGCACATATATGTTTGAGGCAAAGACTTTAAAAAATAGCGATGAAGTTAATTTTGTATATTTAATAAAATAAATAAAGTTTTAATTTTTAAGATATCAATAAACAGAAACTTAAGTTTTAAGAAAACCTATGAAAATCAAGAAAGGTTGCATATAGAATTTAAATTTGTTTGCACTACAACAGAAGTGTTTCTTCTTCTCAGTTATGTATACATTTACATTTTCATTGTTAAGTGTTGTCAGGCATATCAAAATATATATTGGTATGTTGGTATATTTTCATTTTGATTGAAAGAAACAATAATCAGCATGTATTTACAAGTATATATCACTTCATCTACTGGCGAATGTGTTTGTATGACTCATATCACATCATTTTAATGTTGTCACCATAATGTTTTGAGATGTCTCTGTACATATCACATCATTTTAATGTTGTCACCATAATGTTCTGAGATGTCTCTGTACATATCACATCAATTTGAGAATGATAAAAAACATTAGGGCCCTGTTTTGCATCCATCAAAATACTTTACAACTTTTGGTTAATTTTATTCATTTAATTCATTAAATAATGAATACCAGTACATAATTATATACATTTCCTTAATTTTCATACTTTATGTTCTTTATTTTGAACTGATGAAAAATTTACACAAAAACTGAATGTTAAGGTTTTGATGGCAGCTGTTGAAAGACAAAAGTACATCACTTTATAATTGTACAAGGGTACTGATAATTGACATCATGGTCCCTGTTGAGTTTAACTATCCTTTTCAAAGTTGGTTTAAAGGATTTTGGGGATGGGGGGATGCCCAGCCTTTGGACATGTTTTTGATTTTGTGTGTACCCCGATGATAAAATGTTAAGATTTGCGTGCAAGTGTTGATAGACATTTATGTGCTACACCACTTTATCGTTTTACAAGGGTACTGATATTTGGTATTATATCATAGTGACTTTGGTGTTAATTATCCTTTTGTAGTCAGACAAAACAATTTAGGGAAAACAAACTTACTTTTTGACATGGTTTGGGATGACACTTCTCTGATAGTATTAATTACACTGTCCTTGAAGTACAATATGAGGAGGTTGGCAAACTGAACATTAACATTTTTTGTGTTACTTAAAATTTTATTTCCTGGACAATACAAAAGCCTGGTGTCATGCATGTGGTTGGTGAGAAGGACTAGTCTGGAGCTGAACATTTTTCTTTTTTCAAGATAAATGATCTTGGTTCAATCTTGCTTTGAACATTGAGATTTGTTTATATATCCCATAGTTTGCTGTGGTGATGGGTATCAGATTTCTTCAGTGAAATGACTTTGACCTTATGATAAAGCCCTCACATATAATACCAGAGAGGTATTGTTATACAGGTCAATTACACTTGTTATATATAACCCGAGATATTGGAGTCATGATATTTTACACATGTTTATCCGATAGCTAATTGGGATTTTTGCATGGCAGAAAAAGCTTACACTTAGATTTGTAGCATTTTACCGACTTGGGTTTCAAAAAATTGAGATTTGAAAATATGGTGAAGGAAATTGTGTAATCGGATCTATGTATTGAGCATGCACATACAGGAATGAAAAGAAAAATGGTAAAAAGAATTTTTGAAATAGAGATGAAAGAATACGGGAAACAGCAATTACATATACATGTGTATATCATAGGTAATAGGAATTAAACATTGTGTATGTCAGTTTCCAACCTTTTTTAATCCTTGTAGGATGTTCAGTTTACTTCAAAAAATGTTTTATAGGTTGAAATGTAGATATTACGAAACAAATTTAATACATTAAGTATTTTATTCTACCAGGGAAATAGTTATTGATCATCGCTTGCCGACAGAAGAAAAAAGGAAATATGATATATATCAAAGTAGAAAATGTTAATGTGAGAATGCAAAAAAAATCAGTTAATCAGCTTTTGTTAAAAATTTTGAAATATTCAATTTACCAGTGTAACTTGACTTTGTTTTTACAGAAATCTGGTGTCCTGATCCGTGGAGAACAGATGTATGATATGACAGATGTTTGGTCCAAAATACAAGCTGTGGTAGGTTAAACTTCTACAATCCTCATTTGATTATCAAGAATAACATCTTATTTATTTAAGTATGCCACAATCGAACAAAAAAGGAAAATGAAAACAATGATTTCTGTATGTAATATAATCTACTGGTATTTATACCCTTGTATGTCATTCTATTCTTATTTTATGATATCATCATTTTATTAGGTCATCTTTTTATGATATCATCATTTTATGGGGTCATCTTTTTATGATATCATCATTTTATGAGGTCATCTTTTTATGATATCATGGTTTTATGAGGTCATCTTTTGATGGTGTCATCATTTTATGAGGTAGGCATGCAATACTGTAAACATACCCATTTAACGGTAACTTTATTTGATCGCTTTTCATGCTAACATTTTACAATAAAATATGATGATGCTAATTGCAGTTTCTGTGTATTGATTATATATATAAAACTTTAAATTTATGGATGTGCTAATTTAGCATTGTGCTAATTTAATGTGAATGTAAGAATGTGTTAAATGTAGTATGTTTACAGTACCACTGTAATTTAAGTACATTCACTGATAACAGGACAGATATTTGATAAAGTCCTAACTGATCTTGTTACCATCACATATGTAGTAAAGGTGAATGTCAAACATTTTGGTGAATTTGCAGATTGAGTTGCTACTGCGTGAATACCTTGATGTACAAAATACTGCTGCCTCACGACAACGTGCCCCCAGCAGCTTTGACGAACCCAGTACTGATATCAGCCAATACTTCTCAAAGAAACGCCCAAACAAACCAAAAAAGGTATTTGATTAACTTTTGAAAGGTTCACAGATAGTTTCCTTATATATCCACCTCATATATCTATGAGATATTTCAAATAGATTAAAGATAGAACTTGGGTTATTATTTGACAAGTCTAACTACTAAACTGTAGATACTTTGATTTATCCCAGGCCATTGCTTGGAATGCTGTAATGTTGTTGGTTAGATATGTCAATTTTTATGCAAATTTTGTTGAAATAAATTCCACATTCTAATATCCATAATGACATGAATATAAGCCCGACATTGATTGTTAAATCATAATATGGTATTGTAAAATAAAGATGTCATTTCACTAATTTGATGGTTACATGTGCATATTTACAATATGTTATTGACAGTTCATGGAAGTTAGTTTGTCAGCTTATCCTGTGTGTTGATTCTGTCATAGAGACAATAAATCATAGAAAGACATTCAATAGGAATTAGTGTAGATCAGTGAGGAGTTTTCTAATTCTGTGTTTTTAGCCAGCCCTGTTCCGTTTTGATGCATCAATTCATGCCATGAGCACCAACAGTTATGTTGAGGATAGTAGAGCGTTTGATACGGTAAGTAAATATTTTTATAAAGTAAAAGCATCGAAAGGACACATGAGCATGAAAGTGTACATGTTTAACGAGATATTCAGCTGATAAGTGTCATTATGAAGATGAATATTGATGTTGCTTTTGTTGACGAAAGGTACAAGTTCTTTGAATAATTTTTTAAAACTATACTGTATTGTCAGGTTTTAAAAAATTTATAATCCTATTTATTCATATTCTTGTCAGTTTTAAATCAGGATGGTAATTTTGTAAATTGTTTAGAGAATGATTACTTTTATAATGTAGGTTCATTAGAAACTCTTGGGTTATAAAAAAACATGTATGAGGTCTTAGAATATTAGATATGAGTCTTTAACGCTCCACATTGAGATGTAGGTGCCCTGTAGTAATTAGCTTGTCTGTCTAGCTGTCCATCCGTCTGCCTGTCTTTTTTAGGTCATCTGACCCGAAGGGTCTAGATGACCTATAGCCATCGTGCTTCGTCTGTCGTCGTCGGCCGTGCGTCGTGCTTGGCCCATAGCATGTTGGCATGGAGCCCTACAAAGTTAGTTCAAATGAATGACCTTGACCCACTTTCAAGGTCACAGGGGTCAAATATGTTAAAATATACAAACGACTTCTTCTCAATAAGCAAAGCTCCATGAGTGCTGATACTGGGCCTGTAGGATGCTTGGAGGAAAGGCTACCAAGTTTGTTCAAATGAATGACCTCGACCCACTTTCAAGGTCACAGGGGTCAAATATATTGAAATTTTTAAACAACTTCTCCTCAACAACCAAAAGGCTCAGAATGCTGATATTGGGTCTGTAGCATGCTGGGATGAAGTGCTACCAAGTTTGTTCAAATGAATGACTTTGACCCACTTTCAAGGTCACAGGGGTCAAATATATTAGAATATACAAACGACTTCTTCTCAATAAGCAAAAGTCCATGAGTGCTGATATTAGGCCTGTAGGATGCTTGGAGGAAAGGCTAATAATTTTGTTCAAATGAATGACCTTGACCCACTTTCAAGGTCACGGGTCAAATATGTTAAAATATACAAACAACTTATCTTCAATAAGCAAAAGTCCAAGAGTGCTGATAAAGGACCTGTAGGATGCTGGGATGACATGCTACTATATTTGTTCAAATGAATGACCTTGACCCACTTTCAAGGTCACAGGGGTTAAATATGTTAAAATATGCAAATGACTTCTCCATAACCAAAATGATTAGAGTGCTGATATCGGACCTGTAGGATGCTTTGAGGAAGTGTTACCAAATGTGTTCAAGTGAATGACCTTGACCCACTTTCAAGATCACAGGGTTCAAATATGATAAAATCTGTAAATGACTTCTTCTCAGTAACCAAAAGGCTCAGAGTGCTGATATTGGGCCTGTAGGATGCTGGGAGGAAGGGTTACCAAGTTTATTCAAATTAATAAAGCCCACTGTTTTAACGGCAGACTCACTGTTGTTAGAGTTTGGCTTGCTTTTTGTCAGATGACCGTTAAGGCCCATGGGCCTCTTGTTTGTTTCTGTACTCTATCTCAAATTCTGTTGGGCCAATGGCACTCATACTTTATGCCAAGCCTCCTTGAAGGAAGTGCTTGCTTGGGGTATGTAGCTTTTCATCTCCAAAGGATAAAGGTTAAAGTCACCGTTGCTATAAATAGAAAATCAGTTTCCATGTGAAAACTAGTGTTTGTTTTTTCCAATCTGCCAGGTAAACCAAACTTCATACAGTACTTCCTTACTGAAAGTATTTGCTTGGGATTGTTTTACAGTTTAGAAAGTCAAATGTCAAGGTCACTGTTACTAAAAATAGAAAAATCAGTTTCCCAGCGATAACTCACGTTTGCTTTGGCCAATCATATTCTAACCTCATACCGTATTTCCTTAGAAAATGGCTTGCTTTGGGTTGCTTTTCAGGTCCCAGGGTCAGTGGTCCTGATTACTGTTACTCTCTAAGTAGAAAATTGGTTCAGACTTGATGCAATGCTTCTTAACCAAAAGTGCTTGTTTTAGATAGATTGCCTTTCAGGTCCAAAGGTCAAAGATCACTGTAACTATAAATTAAAATCAGTTTCCATGTGAAAACTAGTGTTTGTTTTTTCCAATCTGCCAGGTAAACCAAACTTCATACAGTACTTCCTTACTGAAAGTATTTGCTTGGGATTGTTTTACAGTTTAGAAAGTCAAATGTCAAGGTCACTGTTACTAAAAATAGAAAAATCAGTTTCCCAGCGATAACTCACGTTTGCTTTGGCCAATCATATTCTAACCTCATACCGTATTTCCTTAGAAAATGGCTTGCTTTGGGTTGCTTTTCAGGTCCCAGGGTCAGTGGTCCTGATTACTGTTACTCTCTAAGTAGAAAATTGGTTCAGACTTGATGCAATGCTTCTTAACCAAAAGTGCTTGTTTTAGATAGATTGCCTTTCAGGTCCAAAGGTCAAAGATCACTGTAACTATAAATTAAAATCAGTTTCCATGTGATAACTAGAGTTAACTTTGCCCAATCAAAATCAACTTTACACAAACTTCCTTACTAAGAGTGCTTGCGTGAGATATTGTTTTTTACATCCAGAGTTCTAAGGTCAAGGTCACTGTTATTATAAATGAAAAATCAGATTGTTGAATGTATTTGTTAGTATGAGTTGTTTTTTCCTTTTCAGTCTTTCTAGATTTTGTAGCAGAGTGTACTTAAGGTCTTGCCGTTAATCTGTCAGTGTGGGGTGTGTTTGTCTTAGAGCAGGTGGGCGGGAGGAATTTCCAGCCACATTGCGGGGCCCTTGCTGACCTGCCAGTATTCTAGTTATTATGATAATGACATTTGTTGTAGAGTGACATGTTTAACGCCAGTATGTTAGCTGAGATGGGACTAGAGAAACACCAGATGGTCTGTAAGCCAAGTGTCTACAATATCACAGGTAATCTTTACAAAGTTTAGATATCTAGTCTGTGTTGATTTACAACCAATGGAAATGATTCTCATCATATTTAAAGGATAAAAAGATATCCCAACTGTGTAATGTTCTAATGGGTAAGCACATTAACACAATAATGGAATCCGATTTTAAACAGTATATATTTTGTGATAAGGAAAAAAATTGTCCTGGTATATAGGATGAGCATTGTGTCTCAGTGATGAGTTTCATGAAAAGTAATGTCAAATACCCATTTTATGTTGAGTTTTTTTATTCTTGTTTCTAGAGTTAAAGCAAGCATTTTCACTTCATTTGTCTCTGAAATAATGATACAGAAAAATGAGTGTTACAGGCCCAGTTGGCCTCTTGTAATTATGTTGACTTGTTTGTTACAGCCATCTTTAAACCACTACAGGATTTTATCCGGGAGGTAGAAGATGCTATTGCCTGTATGGATGGATCGTCAAGTCTTCAGGCCTTTGTTACAGACTTTGTCCAGGATATCTTCCTTGGTCAAGTCCACTACTCTGTCAGAAACAGCATAGAAGCTGCTACAATAGGTAATTTGTCACAGATCTGCTGATCTTCTGTTATATATAAACTTTATCTGACAAATCATGTTTTTTTCTTTTTGTTATCAATGAATCTATTAATTTTATTGACCAAGTTTTGATATGAGGAGATAAAGGCGGGGTATAAAGCTGGCTTCAGGAATGTTTAACTTAAGGATTCTTTCATTAAAATTTTAATTTCAGAACAAACTCAAAGTAATGCCACATTAAAAAATCTCATGAACTTTTCTGACTTAATCAAGGAAGGTTCTTGGAACTGAGGATTTAAGTTTCAGTCGATGAGAAGTTGTTCACAATTTGGTGTTTTGATGATAAGGAAGTGGAAGAGGGACTGAGGTGACACTCTGTTCACATCAACACCCATATTGAGCTTAAGACATATTAGACTTCCAAAATGAAAGTTAAGATTGATAGATTTAGAAAAAAATCAGCTAATATGCATGGTTTATGAGGCAATCATGTCTCATATTTAGAAATGATGAATGGATAATGATTTTGTTGATTTGTCAACATTACCAATTTAAATCAGAAAAAAATATATTAGTATCACATGTATAAGCTGTATATTATCTTCTTCAGTATAAGAATGTACTAGTTTGATAGTTAGTATAACTGTTGTGTAATGGATGTTACTGTGTAATAGTCATATGTCCTGTTTTGTGGTTACTCTGCTGCTGCAGTGGATGAGGAAGAACAGTGTAAGTTAGCATGTTTCTGGCGGTCATTTTGGCCGGACCATTTACAGTGGTCAGCTTTGTTTATCACCATACTTTTGTTTTCCTTATTTTTCCATCAACTTTGTCCTCCTCTTGTGATAAGTTAAAAATTTCATTTTTTTCGTCCATTGATCTGATATCTCTCTCATTATTTCTGAGGTATATTTCCCTTCAGTCATAATCATGATAGGTATATTTAATGCCCCTGCTAGAATTTGGACCAGGGACCTCTAGAGTACTAGTGTAATGCTCAACCGATTAAGCTAAAGAGAAGACCTCTTTACCCGAGCAGTATACCGCTGCTAGTGTTTTACCAGGGTTACATACTCCCCTCCTGGAAATAAATCATCCTTGAGTTTGTAGGGTGTAGTGATGCTTGTGAAAGTAATGTGAAGTATATGGGCACCATCTGAAAAAAAAGGGTCATAATTTATTTCAATGTCTCAGCTAGGATTTGAACCTGGAACCTGTGGTTTACTAGCTTTGCATTCAATGGATCAAGCTAAAGAGGTGATCCCTCTAGCCAAGCAATATAGTAATGATATGAGGAAATAGAGATCACCTCATTATATGGTTCATGGTTTTTTCTCATTTCTTTTCTGTTGGTTTCTGGAATATGTGAATGACTGTATGACCTTTATATAAGTAGGTAGATAATACATATATTCAGCAGTAACACACATATATTACTGTTATTTTGAATAAGGCTGCAGAATGTGTGCATGTCTGGTCAGCTTTTGAAGCAGGGCAATATACATGTATGATAGTAATAGTAATGTTGATATTCCATAAAGTACACCTGTTCAGAACTTTCCTGATTTTGAACCTCTTGATAATCATTGTATGTCTCACAGTCTGTATTTTTTAATTTGTGTTATATTTGCTGTGTGTCAAGGTTGATTTGTACTGCCTGTTCTATTATTGCTGTGTGGAGATGTAGTTTGTAGTGATTTCCAGTAAATATGTCTGATGTTTCAGTCACCAAACAATCAAATATGATGATTTAGCTGCTATATAAAATCAAGCATTCACATTTATGATGTTTATGTATTGTTTATAAGTAAAGTGAGTCATACATATAGTAAGTTTCTGGTTGTGCAAGACCAAGTCTATAATCACAAGACATAGCTGAAACTTCTAAATGCAGGCGTGTTTTAGTTCTGTCAAAGTGTTTTAGCCCTAAACTACAACACAATACTAAAACACAGCTATACAAAGTTTTGGCAAAAAACAGGAATTAAATTGTTTTTACCACTTACTTTTATATAAAAAAATTGTAGAGGTAAAGATAAGGAATTCTGTAAATAAGATTTTATTTACCTGGTAACCCATGTACCCTGTCTATTTTACCATAATCAGCTGAATCATTCCATTAATTTGAGGTATTGAAGTGTAACGTATTTTGATAAGTAGTACATGTACGTACACTGATTGTATGCATGATGACTTGTACAGTTGTATGGTGCCTTGACTTTACGTTGAAAATGTTGTAGACTATTCAAATAAACTAACATATTACATACCTTTGAAAAAGTATTCTATACAGTACATGATACTTAGCTGGAATAAATCCAGGATGGGGAGTGGGGTGTGGTAATTATTATATTATTGTATTGATATAAAGCATGATTAGATAACATTAATTAATCAGCTGTTGGGATCTGTATGATAGTTTAATAAGTTTTGGGTAGTTAGGTAGTAATATTGATAATACACTGGTATGGAGTCACCTGTTCTATATCTCTGTTTCCCCAGTCGTTTTAATTGCCATACACATAAAGTGGACAGCCCTTCCTCTTTCCCATTCAGATCAAACAGAGTCTGTAACATATTAGTTGTCAGAACATGACTCATGTTTGCTGTAAAAGAATATTTATTTGCAACTTTTTTACTTGTATTTGTTTAACAAAAATTACCTATGATAGAGGGTACGTGTTGCTATAAGTGAAGATAGAATACAAACTGGGTTTGTTTTTCACTATAAACTAAACAAAGTGACGGTAACATACATTCCAGATTTTTGTGATCATTATCTGTGTTGTTTCTTGTTGTGGCTATCAGTATTTTTTTGTTTATATCTGTCCAGTGCTTTATTTTTTCTTACACTTTTTAAAATTTGTAAGCCGTTTATGCTATATAGATTGCACCCTCCTATAAGCTGGTTACTGAGGATTTCTGTGGTCAGATTTAGGTCAACATTACTATAAATACATATATGTTTTTTCATTAGTTACATGCCATCATTGTGTCGTGTCTGAAATGATGAAAATTCTTCCATATTATCATGTACTTCAATATCACAAATGAAATCTCTTATCACAGACTAATATCAATTTAAGGTTACTAAGGTTACATTGGTTACTTAGGTTACTTAGGTTACTAAGGTTACTTAGGTTACTTTGGTTGCTTAGGTTACTAAGGTTACATTGGTTACTTAGGTTACTTAGGTTACATTGGTTACTTAGGTTACTAAGGTTACTTAGGTTACTTAGGTTACTTAGGTTACTTAGGTTACATTGGTTACTTAGGTTACTAAGGTTACTTAGGTTACTTAGGTTACTAAGGTTACTTAGGTTACTTTGGTTGCTTAGGTTACTAAGGTTATATTGGTTACGTAGGTTACTAAGGTTACTAAGGTTACTAAGGTTACTTAGGTTACTAAGGTTACATTGGTTACTTAGGTTACTTAGGTTACTTAGGTTACTAAGGTTACATTGGTTACTTAGGTTACTTAGGTTACTTAGGTTACTAAGGTTACTTAGGTTACTTAGGTTACTAAGGTTACATAGGTTACTTAGGTTACTTATGTTACTAAGGTTACTTAGGTTACTTAGGTTACTAAGGTTACATTGGTTACTTAGGTTACTTAGGTTACTTAGGTTACTAAGGTTACATTGGTTACTTAGGTTACTTAGGTTACATTGGTTACTTAGGTTACTAAGGTTACTTAGGTTACTTAGGTTACTAAGGTTACTTAGGTTACTTAGGTTGCTTAGGTTACTAAGGTTACTTAGGTTACTTAGGTTACTAAGGTTACTTAGGTTACTTTGGTTGCTTAGGTTACTAAGGTTACATTGGTTACTTAGGTTACTTAGGTTACTTAGGTTACTAAGGTTACTTAGGTTACTACACTATGGTGTAAATGGTTGTCATCCCTTTTCTTTAATTCTACTATATAAGGTGGGTCCTGCTTCCTTTACTGAAACAAAGGTCAAAGTTACCTTACTTTCAATTACATTGTCTATACATGTTCATCTGTATGTGTGGAAACTTCTATATATGTTGGAAAATATTTTCATAATATAAGCTTATCAAGCTGAAAATTGCAGTTTCCATATCTTTAAATACATTTATTGGATTAAATGTTTATATTTCAGATTTATTATTTCCAGTGTGATTTCTTTACAGGTTTTGATTCTCTTCGTCATGTTGTTGATCATAAAACACAGAAAGACCTTGGTGTTTCACGGCCCTTACTTACAGTGAGTTTTCTCCCTTTAGTAACATCTTCTTATTAACAGTCTTACCTGAAGAACAGTTAACAAATGACTTCTCTTTGACTTCCAACTCTTTATAAATAGATGTCTGTGATGTCCTAGTACTTGGTAGATAAAAAAATTATAGAATTAAATCTGGTTACTCATCTACATATCTGTTATCTGATTGAAATATGTTGAGGGAACCAAATACTCAGGGTAAAGATATATATGTGATGTTGTAAACACTATATAATTGAAATTGATGCTTGGTAGCAGTGATATGTAAACTGTGCTGATAGCTGTATGTAAACTGTGCTGATAGCTGTATGTAAACTGTGCTGACAGCTGTATGTAAACTGTGCTGACAGCTGTATGTAAACTATGCTGACAGCTGTATGTAAACTGTGCTGACAGCTGTATGTAAACTGTGCTGATAGCTGTAAGTAAACTGTGCTGACAGCTGTATGTAAACTGTGCTGACAGCTGTATGTAAACTATGCTGACAGCTGTAAGTAAACTGTGTTGACAGCTATATGTAAACTATGCTGACAGCTGTATGTAAACTATGCTGACAGCTATTTATAAACTATGCTGACAGCTGTATGTAAACTATGCTGACAGCTGTAAGTAAACTGTGTTGACAGCTATATGTAAACTATGCTGACAGCTGTATGTAAACTATGCTGACAGCTATATGTAAACTGTGCTGATAGCTGTATGTAGTAAACTGTGCTGACAGCTGTATGTAAACTATGCTGACAGCTGTATGTAAACTATGCTGACAGCTATATGTAAACTATGCTGACAGCTGTATGTAAACTATGCTGACAGCTGTATGTAATCTATGCTGACAGCTATATGTAAACTGTGCTGACAGTTGTATGATCTGTTTTGTAGACAATATTTTCATGATATATTTTCAGAGCACGGTGATTGTGGATAAAAATATACAAGACTTACAGGAGTTAATGCAAGATCTGCCTACATATGCTGACCAATTCCTCAACATGATCTGTAATATACTTAAGGATTATCGTGATACCTGTCACACTGCATACAGAGGTAGGTCACATGGACACCTGTCATACAGCATACAGAGGTAGGTCACATTGAAACCTGTCATACAGCATGCAGAGGTAGGTCACATGTACACTTGTCATACAGGGGTAAGTCACATGGACACTTGTCATACAGCATAGAGGGATAAGTCACATATACACCTGTCATACAGCATACAGAGGTAAGTCACATGGACACTTGTCATCCAGCATACAGGGATGAGTCACATAGACACTTGTCTTTAAGTATACATGGGTAAGTCACTGGGACACTTGTCATACAGCATACAGGGATAAGTCACAGGGACACTTGTCATACAGCATACAGAGGTAGGTCACATGGACACTTGTCATACAGGGGTAAGTCACATGGACACTTGTCATACAGCATAGAGGGATAAGTCACATATACACCTGTCATACAGCATACAGAGGTAAGTCACAGGGACACTTGTCATCCAGCATACAGGGATGAGTCACATAGACACTTGTCTTTAAGTATACATGGGTAAGTCACTGGGACACTTGTCATACACCATTCATGGGTAAATCAAAGACACATGTTAAGACTTTTGAGAAGTTCTTTAGAACCCAGAAGTATAGAGCATGCTATTTTGCATTCATCATGTTGGGACAGAAGGCTATCAATCTAGTTTGTATTCCCCGTAGGAGTTTGGGGTGCATATAGCAATACCCATGTCTGTCTGTCTGTCTGTCTGTCACATCATGTTCCTCTTAGCAGATAATAAATGTACATGAGAGTGATGCATGCCTTACTGACATTTTCTCATTTAAATCAATTTTTTTTCCGGTATGAAGTAAACTTTAAATGACTTTTTGTTAGTTTACTTTCTCAAATTGTTAACCTTGACCCACATTTAAGTGTTTCATATAAATCTTTAAATGACATGTTAACTAATTGGTAAGGTTTAAAGAGACATATTTATAGTAAGGTCAAATCATATGTTATATGTACCAGGTCAGTGTATGATGTAATTTGCAATGTGCACTTGTTTGTGTTATTCACAATGTTTACTAGTTTGTTACCAGTGGTAGCATCTAGGCAATGAATAATTAATTACAAATTTGTCACATTTGTTACAGGTATGGTTCAGAATGACACAGATGAGAAGCGAATGATTAGTGCTATGTGGGCAAAAGATGAGGACATCAGCAGATTTCTGAGGTAAAGCAGCCTGTTATACAGTAGCAATACACATAAACCATTGTAATCAATTAGACATAATCATATGACTTACATTAGCTTAGATTATTATTGATAGTTACTGGTAACGAAACATAAATGTACCTGTTTAACACTATGGACAACTTTGATGTGACATTTCAGGTCTTTGGCCAAAATTTTGCTGAAAGTCCTTTGAAAACTTCAAAGTGGGCTAACTAAATACAAATTATAAATGTTACTTTATTTCAAACTTTTCCATGTGATCTTTGACCCAGAAATACTACTGTTATACATTTTATATGTTGTAATATTTTCAAGTTAATATAATTATGATGTCACATTCTCAATGTAACAACATTAATTTTGTTGCTCTAAGTACATCTGATCAAAAACTCCTATTAGGTATGTGGTAAAGACTAAATAAAACATAACTGTTCTTATGAATTATTCACAGATGTAATGATAATATCAGCAAATGGTATTATATATAACATATAAAGCTGATCCTAACAAACTAAAATATCTGGCTTATATAATAATTAATGCCCCTTGTTTACTGGTCTTCGCTTAACATTCTCTATGTATACAGGTCTTTGCCAAGTTGGCAAGTTTTACAACCAATGGAGGGTCAGGACCTGAACCAGGCTATGTGTTCAGAGGAAGAAATGAGGACTTTGAACTCCAAGGAGGTGAACATGCTCATTAGCAATCTGTCCTCATCAGACTCCATGATTCCCCAGCAGGAAATTATCACTGACTCCACACAGATGAGGACCATCGCTAACTACCATCAGAGTCTAGTATGTATTTCGGGCTTTCTTATTTTGCCACTTGTAGCAAATTTTTACTTTATCAGAAAGTTTTTCTTCAATAAATTATTTTTGTGTTCCCTTATCTCTGTGATTTTTGATATCTGTGATATTTAGTGTACTGTTCCAGATGTCCAACAACCCTGATTGCTCATTTGGTGTTGAATTTAGTAAACAAACAAATATATTTATATCAACAGTATTTACTGGTCAAAGCATTTGTCTTTTTAATGTCCACCACTGTTTAAATGTAATAAAACACAACTTGTTGCCATCATTGAATGTCATGTTGCCAGTCTCATATTACTGAAGTAGTTGTACTAAAAATGAGTTTATCATCAAGAATGACACCTGTGTGTTTTTATTTTCAGGAGTGGTTTACAGGGAGATTGGGACAGTTTGCACAATCACTGTCTTCTAAGTCAGATAAACAAGGCATCCAGAAATCTTCAGTAAGTCTTGTGTTTATTTATAAATATTAACTTTATTTATTTTACAACAAGTTATTTAAACTTTTTTTACTTATACTAATCACTCTTGTTGGCTCGGATGTAAGCACCTGAGGAATCTCACTGTGAGAGGAAACCATAGTATAAAACCCATGTGGTCGGGTAGGTGACCCCTTACCTTTTCACGTCCGTTCCGGGAATTGAACCCCAGACGGCTAGGTGAAAGGCAAGTGGGTTACCATTAATCCACTACTCAAAGGACTGCTTGTGTTTACACCTGGAGTGGCTGGCTACAATGCAATAAAGCTTACATCAAAGGAATCCTTGAATTCAATGAAATAAGCTTACAAAATACTTCTAGTATCAATTATATGTTCATGTTGAATTTAAGCTGCATTGAAAATTTGCTTTTTGCCATATTGGATTTTTAAATAAATAAACAATGATCAACTGAATATTTTTTTTTAAACTATGTATTTTCTCATTTCAGAAATATCCACCAGTATCTCACAATGCTTTAGAGTAAGTACTGTGGTGATGATATGTTCAAAAATGAAGCAATGTACTGGTACATTTAGACCTCTGTTTCCACTGGTCCGCTGGGTGGGATGGGATGAGGAATAATCTATAACGTTTTCTTTTTTAAACTGTTTCTTCCTTCTCATTGATTTTTCTTTACTATTTGTTTACTCAGAGCCATGCGTATGATTCATATACTGATTTATTTCATGAACAGGTCCTTGAACACACTGGAGAAAGATTTCCAGGATCTGGCTGAAATCTGTCTACTCCTGTTACACTTAGAAGTCAGAGTTCACTGCTTCTACTACCTGGAACTAGTTACCAGGAAGGTAGGTACAGTGACACATCATGATACCTGTGAAATGTCTGGAACTAGTTACCAGGAAGGTAGGTACAGTGACACATCATGATACCTGTGAAATGTCTGGAACTAGTTACCAGAAAGGTGGGTACAGTGACACATCATGATACCTGTGAAATGTCTGGAACTAGTTACCAGGAAGGTAGGTACAGTGACACATTATGATACCTGTGAAATGTCTGGAACTAGTTACCAGGAAGGTAGGTACAGTGACACATCATGATACCTGTGAAATGTCTGGAACTAGTTACCAGGAAGGTAGGTACAGTGACACATCATGACACTTTATGAAATACCTGGATACAAGGATAACATGTATTTGGTTCATTAAAGATGAATCAACTGGCGAATTTCATGATATCGCAATCTCAGTTCTCTCCCCTAATTTTTGTAATGGTAGTAAGTGGTGTCAGGTTTTGGTTGTAGCACATGTACTTATAAAATCATTATGAAGAATATTATGTTGCCTACAATGTATGGAATTAGTGATAGTGCACATTAATTCAGACTAATTACAGGACTGGTGTATTTTTTACCTTGACCTATTGTTCAGGTCTAACTATACAGAGCCTATTTGATGATCTTGACCCTTTTGTTTCAGTCTAACTACATGATGTATTGATGCCCTTGGCTCTATTTTTTCAGACTCACTGTGCAGGATCCATAGTTGACCTTGACCTATTTGTTTCAATCTAACTGCACAAGGCCTATTGATGACCAACACTATATTTTTTTAGCTGCCCAAAAGTTGGAGGGAGAGCATATATTTGCTACATTGTTCATCCATTAGCTCTTCCATCTTTTACTGTCCAAAGCATAACTTTGCCCACAATTATGAAAGGATCATGAAATTATGACACTGTGCATTGTACCAAATCCAGGTTCCACCACCTCTTATTTACAGAGTGCAGAGCATAACTTTAATTGCATTTAAAGTAGGATGATAAACCTTGTTGTATACATTATTTGTTTATTGGGGAAATCATTTTTGGGAAGCATTCATAATTTTCACTGATAACCTTATTCAGTCTAACTGTGGAGGACCTGTTGATGACATCCACCCTATTGTTTCAGTCAAACTATGCTGGACCTATTGATGACCTTGACCCAGACTCCAATGTATTGAAGTTAAACAAAGATCTGACAGCTATGGAGGAGATGATGTCACAGAGTCTGCAGCCTAACAAATTCAAGTCAGTAGATTTTAATACTGGCCCTTATAATGTTCTGCAGCCAATCACTGTCAGTAGATAAATAAGGATTATTACTGTGGACTTTGATGTATCTTCCAGTTATGCTACACTTGCAGTATTAATGTACTGTTGACCTCTCTACTAGAATTTACTGTATATATGATATTATAAAAAGATTTCTGGTAAGCATCATGTATAATATAATTTATGGAATCAATGGTGCACTAATGTAACAGGTGCTTGTTTTAAATTTCACATTAATTCAGCATTTATAGTGAGTCATTTTCCTTACAGGTATATATTTGAAGGCCTGGGATTCCTGGTGGCTTCCATATTGATGAACAGTATCCAATTTTTACCAAAAATCAACGAGAACGGCATAAAGAAGATGTAAGTGGTTTATGACTGTAGAATTTTTTTGTTAGGAAGTGATTCTACTCTACATGGAGAGAAAGATGAAATATGAAAACTATAAAGTGCATTTGACCAGGAAATTCTAATTAGGTTTCTCTCTTCTTATAATTTAATATAAATTTTTTATGTAAAGGCATTGTTTACTTATATGTTGTACAATCAACTTGAATTGATCAAGTTTAATCAAGTTTTAAAGAAACATCAGTAAGACTAACTGGACCAGAATTAGTGAAGATCAAATCCAATTCACTTAATCAATCTGAGCATGATTTTTGGATGTCAAAGAAGAACAGTCTCAGAAAAACTCAGTTCATATGATGGAATTGCAGAAATGTAAACATGTATAAGAGTGGTAATGAACATATCATTATAAAAGTTGACAAGTTTATCAATCTCCAACAATAACATTCTACCTTTATGTATACTGGTACATGCATGTGTATATCTTGGTTTCTCTGCTATAGGTGTCGAAATCTGTTTGCTATCCAACAAAACCTGACCAACATTTCAATGTCCAGAGAAACTGACCTGGATATGGCTCGGCAATACTATGAACTCCTCTACCTCAACCCAGATGTAGGTTTTACTAAAAAGCTATCAATATTTCTGTTTTGTTTGCCAGATCATAATCAATTTATGTCCTGACACATATGTCTTCACAAAGTTATTTCGTGGATGACTTCACATTGAAATCACATTTTTTAAAAAGTTCTTTGGTTGATTTTCATGATACTTTATGAATATTTTCACAGTTAATGTTCAGTAATGGGATTTTTTGAGTATGCTATGGGTTTTGCTATGAATTCATGATGTTTTTTGCTTCTTAGAGCTATACAATTAAATCAAATGTTTGATATCAATAAAGATGTTCTGTACATGAACAAGTTGGTTTAAATTCATGTGATGCTTAAAAATGCCTCTGTTGTTAACATTAAAGACACAAAAATAAAAGAGCTAATTAAAAATTATGCTGGTTTAATAGATTGTGGAATATGGGTTCATGTATTTATAAACAACTTTAATGATTCAGTTGAATGTTATATTTAGCAGAGAGCTCTAAAAAATGTTCAAACATGGCTTTTCTTGTTAAACAGGACGTTCTGACATCTATAGCTGAAAAGGGGGCCCAGTTTACCTACACAGAATACTGTCAACTTATCCAGCTATATCACCGGAGTCACCCAGGAGGAGATCCCAACCAGCTGGACAAACGCATGCAGAGGCTGAGAGAGATCATAGAGAAAGGACAAAACGGAGTGGCCTGAGACTGATCATCCACAATTAATTATATGTGTCTGGGAAATAAACTGTCCACTGTAGTAGAACTATTATGAAACTACTAGTTTGTATGGGGTGATGAACCAGTGATTAGTCCAAAATGATATTGTCCTGGTGATGAACAAAAGGGTACACAAAATATTGTTACACAGCACCATAGAAATACTCTAGTGATATGGACAGGTCTGCTTTCCAAGTTCCATAACTCTGTTTTAGCTAAAGCCCATGGAAAACAACAGTAATGTGCCCACATTTCCTTCAATTAACAACCACCTCTCCTGATGTTGACGCAAATGCACATGTGATAGTAGCTAATTTAAACTAATTTTCTTGAAAATATTTTTGTTAGGAAGAGGGCTATGCTTGATTCATAGAAACAAAGTGAATTGAAAACAAAAGCTTTATTATCATGAGCACACATATTCTTGTCATATACCACTTGTAGAATGCTCGAAGGAAATATTCCTGGAAGAAAGGTCTGTGATACTCCCACAGTATTACAAGAGAATGTGGAGGCTCTCCTTCTGCTGTGTATTGAGATATCAGTATCCTCTCCTTTTGATGAAATGGGAGGAAATGTTTATATTTGATAGATACGATATGTTTGCTATAGCTCAGTTGTTTTATACGATATGCAGCAGTCTGCTGTATTGAAGGCTTTTAAGAAAATCACTTGATACAGTATATATTGTTTGGTACCTCCCACAATATTTTACATTCCAATATTTACTGAGAATTGTGTTATTAACTTCAGTTCTACTGTTGGAGACAATTTAGTATGTGGACAGAAAATTTGTTGGTATCATTTTTTTCTGGGATTACCAAAATCCACCAAATTACACTTTCTAGATAATTCTCTATATATCATGTGGAAAATTGGATTTTTCTGTGAAGTCATCTCTTGCCAAAAGTAATAACATTGAATTTTGTCATTATATACATTCATTTCCTCTTACTATGTCATACCATAAGAACTGGGAAAAGATTAATAATAATATATATAAATGGCCCCAATCAGAACCATTTGAATTAGAAGTGTTTGGTTATGAAATAAAGATGGACCTGGTGACCTTTTAATTCTTAACTCCTACTTAAAGTTGTGTTTTAGTTCCAAGGTTTCTGTCAGGATTTATGCCTGAAATATTACACCAGAAAAAAAAACACAAAAACATATTGTAGAACTCTTTTTTTTATAAAAGATGATATAATATTACTGAGATAACATACATCCTTAATGCATATTACTAATGGGAGGATATCTATATTGTCAAGGGGAATAACTGCGCTGTCACAGATGGTTGTTTAGCCTAAGTGGATTGTCTGGCGTGTAGTATTAGTGTTCAGAATACAGGTTTATGTTAGTTTCGTTGCTGTTGCTTCCAGATCTGTTATTTATGTATGTTGTACCTGTATTTTGCGGCAGGTATTATGTTTAACAAAAATTACCTGTTGGTGTTGTGTAGTGCCTGATCCTTGATAGAAATAAACATAATTACCGAGTAAGCTTTCTGACATGCCAGTGCTAAAATTTCTCAGTTTTCACTATCTGCATTAAGAAGTCAAATACTTTTAGGAAGTATGTCAAAGCAGGTATAGGTGTGTACTTGCCTACTTTATTTACTTAATATTGTCATTATGTATTTATGTATACTGGTCCCAGTTTCATGAATTTTATGAGATTAAAGGAATATTCTGATGTTTATACTGATGAAAGCTGGGTTTGGGAAGCATTCGTAGGTATTCCTGAACTTCAATGCTTTTAAATAAAAGAATTAAGAAATTTGTGAAACAGGGGCCTGGTGCTTTAAGTGCAATATTTGATATTGAGTCATACTGAGTCAGTATTTTTTGTGATATGTGAGAATTTATTATTTATATAAACACAAGTTTGACTAAATAAAGAAATAAAGAAGACAATTGGTCAGATATTACTTCCTTTGTCCTATCCTGTGTTGTGCATGTGGTCAGTGTTCTACCATTGGCAATGTCACAGTAATATCATAACGTTTTTAAGAGGGCCTATATTTCTTTGTTTTTGAGAATAGATTAACCTTGTTCAAAATACTGTAGATGCCTTGAAAATTTAATTGTGAGAGAGAAAAATAGTCTATTGCAGGACTTTCATTGGAAATACTAACCTTTTGCATCAAGATTTTGGTAAAAGTGTGAAAAGTTTAATAAAAAAATAAACAATATTAACTTCTGTTCACTGCCCAGGAGCACTTCCGATGGCAATATTCATAAGTGAATCTAGAACTTTCGGTACAATTTTTTCATGAACTTTTAATCTCTTCTTCCATCATCAGATGGTGAGCCATTCCAATCTCCCTAAGTACTGGTCCATAAACAATTTTTGTTATCGCTGTTTCTTGCAGAGTAAAATGATCTATTTTGAAAATTAATGCATATTGTACCGTTTCTGAGTAAGTACTACAATAAGCTTCCTATTTATCCGCTAGTTTTTTGTGTAATTTTCGGGATACTCAAAAGAACAAAGTTTCGCCATATTTTTCTCAATACAACATATTAACATGTAATCTATGAGAGAAGTCACTCATAGAAGTAATGAATGTCATTCAATGGTTGACCAAATTTCCGTCTGTGATGGATCTCTTATGAAATGTGAAGATGGTCGGATGGCTTGTTATACATGTATAGATGCAAGGACATGTTGCTACCGTTTATCTACATACAAAGACAAAAGTCGTGTTTTACAAATACGTATCTTTATTTATTTGGTATCACAAATTGGACAAAAGAAGTAGAGATTGATAACAAACAGATACATATTACTTCAAGAACTATCAACAATTAATTAATTTTAAGTAGTCGTTTGAATCAATTGACTAGAATTTGGGAAATGTGTTTATGTACGTTCGATTTTTCACGTGAACCCTGGGGGATGGACGCCTGTAAGCAACGGGGGCTTTAAAGAAAAGACTTACGATGGCATAAAATTAACTAAAACTACATTAAGGCAGCCATATTTCATTTCATACTGTTTATGCTTGTACGATTATCGATTACAGTAGTTCAGATGGTAAATCAAAACCGATAAACACAAGAGTAGCACAATATACGATCTAGTGCAGATTACCAGGAGATGCAGCTAAGTTTCAAAACGTAAGATCGCAGTGTGAAGCAGCCGAGTTTCAAAACGTAAGATCGCAGTGTGAAGCAGCCGAGTTTCAGAACGTAAGATCGCAGTGTGAAGCAGCCGAGTTTCAAAACGTAAGATCGCAGTGTGAAGCAGCCGAGTTTCAGAACGTTAGATCGCAGTGTGAAGCAGCCGAGTTTCAGAACGTAAGATCGCAGTGTGAAGCAGCCGAGTTTCAGAACGTAAGATCGCAGTGTGAAGCAGCCGAGTTTCAAAACGTAAGATCGCAGTGTCAGTATTTTACCATATCATAAACAAAATGTCCAAGGGCTCACATAGATATACAACTGCCCATTGATCTTCTTCCTCAAATCTAAATCTATAGATCGATAAATCTATAAAGGGGGTTCGTGATTTATCTTGTACAAATGTAACCTTTAACCTTGATCAATAACTACTGAAATCCAATCAGGTTTTCAAGTTTTGTTTCAACTTTAGACATTAGGCCCATCCGTACATATGCATTACATGATGCAATACAGAGCATGAAGACTATTGTTACACATTCTGTATATAATTAAGGATTTCGCAATTTACTAGCTTGATAAATAGATTTACCTAACATACAAAGTTTTTTACTATTGTGGATACTCAATAATTCAACTAACGAAAAGAGGGGCGTAGCTTCCATAGAAAGAAAAAGCCCGGGCTTACACATAAAAATCCATGCATAGAGTATGTCGGACAAAGTTACAAAACTAAGGTTGAAAATAAATATGTAATATTTTTGATAAATAAAAAATATAGATAGAAAATTGTTGAATAACTAGGCCTAGTGCATTGCTTTCCGGAACTTTATACACGTCATACTATTCTACTTCTTACTGTCATTTCAACGTTTCCGATTATAATGTTGTTTAAGTGCAAATTACAGACGTCGATCGACAAGTTTCAAACAAAATGAAGTCTTTTTTTTAGTCAGGGGTTGAAGTTTGTTGTTAAATGAATTAAAAACCTGTCTCAGAAAACGATTCAAAACATCTTTGAAATTATGAAATTGATTTACCATCGGAAGGTTTCGACCCCCCAACTCCAGAAGGGCCCTGCCCTGGACCCGCTGGGTGCCTAGGTGGCCCCGAGACCCCTCGCCTTGGCTTACACAGTTCTGCTGGGCTAGCTACGCCCCTGTAAAAAAGACTGAAAGTTTACTCCAATAATATATCTTGATAAAAAGAGCTCGAATAGCTTGGAAATGTCTACATGTTAGTAAAAATGGAATTTGTCCTCAAATTTTGTAACAGAGTTACACTGTTTACAATATCCTTGTGTCCTTAGAATATTTCTATATCTTCCTGTCTCTATGGCAAGAAAATGTCATGGTGTACGGATTCTAGTCAAACATATATCATTCATTGGTATTTACTTACTTACGTAAAACTGTAAAGAAAAGGTTTGATCTCCGAGATATTTATACATACAGCATTTCGGTGAATTTTCTAATGAAGTCATAATTAATTGCTTTGCCTGATCAAACAGTCTTTGCTTAATCACCAATAAAATTGGTCGAGTGACACTATTAGGATTTGTCCATATATCACTAAAACCTATATTATCTAATTCTTCCTTAACAAAATTGACCCAACTGAAAACATTACACAGGTTTAACAGAAAATAATATGATTTGGATACAATAATGTTCAGAAAGTTTATTTTACACCAGTATTTTATCATTCTATATTTCTCAAAAAATCCAAATTCAGAATAAACAATACTATTATTACACGCAAACTTCTTTACTTTTAGTAGTTTTTTGAAAGTAGAGCAAACAAAGCTTACATCCCTGGACATCCAGTTGCTTCTGGATACAATTGAATTTGTTATTGTAATCACGAAAATTCCTAAATATGAAAACTGATCAACACAAGAAACCATAAAACCCTTAAAATACCATTTATCTTTACCATGTAATCTTCCACCTTTACAGAAACCATCATTTTCGTTTTATCTAGGTTTACAGTGAGATTCCATTCATTACAATAGACATCTAGATTATCAAGCAGGTCTTGAAGACCTTCCACAGATTCAGAAAATGAAACAATGTCATCGGTATACAACAGTAAATGTAAGCTTAGCTCTTTGAAGTCGTAACTATTCTTTACATATTTGAATGAAAAATTATTCAAAATCATTTATGTATAGAGAAAAGAATATCGGTGATAATATTTTATAATATATAATTTTGAGAGTCTATACCAAAAATTTATTCTATTAACTTTATCAAAAGCTTTGCGAAAATCGACAATCTGAAATTATTTGGATCAACGCTCCTTTTTGATGTACGGGGATAATCACAGCAATTGACAAGTCAGCAGGAAAAAATCTAGATTCTGAAATGTTGTTAAAAAGAGCGCAAAAACTGGCAATAAAATATTCTTACCCACCAAAAAACATTTATGAAACCTTGGTCGGATGAGGAGATGCTATGTTGTAAATATTAATTAAATATATCCCATGCTTCATGAGATATTATTTATGAAGTTTTTATTTCAAAAGTGGGCAAGAGCGATTTTTTACCTTTAATCTTGACAGGTATACTACCAAAATCTTATCTGTCCGTGGTTCATTAAACATCTTGTTCCGATAACGGACGCCCGTCCGAAGCGGACGTACAGATGATCAGACAAAGTGATATAATCATTCAAAGGAAAAGAGACTATAAAATAGATAGAACTTAATATGTTTTAGTGTTGTTTTCATACAATCCCGTTCGTAATAGGCGAAAAATTAAAAAAAAAATGTAACAATACAGCGGAATCGCTCTATCACCACGCATCCAGATTTCAAACATACACTTAAGTAAACTCATTCGTCTTGTAATACCGTTGAAAACTGGACTCCTTATATAGAGATTGTGAAATTTTTACAGTGAACATTTTCAAACGTTGAAATATGACCTCATTTATAATATCATTATATGAATGCAAAACGGTTTCACGAAGAATCGAAATAAAAAAAGAAAAGAAAAAAAAAAAAAGTTGATCAGGTTCCGACGAGTTTCGAACTCGTGACCTTCTGCGTGTTAAGCAGACGTGATAACCACTACACCACGGAACCCGCCATGATAAATAATGAAATGTAAATCTATATAAAATCAAGCTAGGGTCGCTGGTAAGCTTGCAACAACGTATTACTGCATACGGGGAGTATCTAAAGGTTACTAAAATAAATTGCTTTCGTTGAATCTAGTCATAACGTTGAAATCAAGATGGCAATTAACGCCCCATTCAAAATAGGTTTGTTTTAAACCAATAATATTGACATCAACGTAGATCAAACGCTTAAGTTTTCCAAGCAACTGTCCTGCAAACGCACAGCGGATTGTGAGAAGTTACTGCAGATTTGCGAAATGGAAAGAAGCATGTGCCCCAGACGAACTTCAAAACTTTCCTAATACGTTGTTTGGTACGTTTTATCTTAAATGATGCATTGACATCTTTAATGAAGGATATGTTTTTTTGTGTGTATTTCAGAAAAGCAATGTTGCACTTTTTGACATTTGGCATGAAGTGCATGTTTACTTTCGGAACGAGGTGATCTGTTCTAGTACGCCAGTGATTGCTGGCGGGAAGGAAGCGCCATGACCATCAAATCACTGAATTTTTAAAGTGGAGTTGTCGTTATTGTTTTTATTATTTAAACTAAATTTCGTTTTCATTCTTGATTGTCAATTAGTTGATGTCACCTTACGACAATTGTCAATTGGCATGCACAGATAGTTTCCTGAACTGATAACCAATGTTTAAAAAAAGTTTAGTTTATATTACAAGGAAAGTCCAATGGTTATAAAATCGAGGTCGTAATGACACATTTTAAACTTTGCACATATTAAAAGGCCTGTTGTTAATTGAACTTCTGGAATTGCCTTACTGTTTCTATTGGGTACTGTGGATTTATTGGACATGTTCTTGTTAAGTATCAGTTCTCACCAATACGTAGGAAAAGCATGAATTAACGAGAATGATTACTTTAATTGGTGAGAATAGATTTGCGACCACAATTCCTTCCATTCAACACATAATGCATAGTCCTCATCAATTATAGCATTATTATTGTGACATTCTATTGACTTCTTTTATATCGGTCTTGGAGTTAATAAACATCAAAACTCACGCCCTGTGTAAAGTAGGGGAAATAAGCAACCAGATGGTGGATGTAAAACCTTTTAAAATAATGTAACCAGGTTGTACTGGGTCTTGTAAAGGATGACTAGAACAACCGGGCCGGGTTCATTCATTTATTGCAGTCATAGTTGAAAGTACATCACCAATAGACAAGCCCTATAGTAGGTATCTAAAAGAAGGTGTACAAAGAACCTCGACTATGGGTTGAGGATCACGCGCCACAATCTGATCAGTTAAGATCAATTTAAGCAAATGACAGTTGCTGTATCACATTATTACAGTAATTAAGCTGGCTCTTACAGGGGAAATAAAGAATGAATTCCAGAAAGGTGCAAACCACACCTATCACTAGCCAAAGCTCTTTTCGTCCAAAACAATTTACACAAAGGACTTTCCCTCCAAAAATGCAGCCAATAAAATAAAAGGTCAATTAAAAGGTCATGTCAAGGGTCAAGTTAGTTATGGACATTACATACAAATATCATGCAGATAAGACATGGACAGTACAGGTAATACTGGACAATACATAGGCAGGTAGGTCACATGACCATACCTATACATAGAACATATACAAAACTGATACTCAGGTAAGTGGGTACCACTTTCCATATACATGACCAGTACCTGTATATAGATATAACAAGTCCTTACTCTGCATTACATATAATAAAGGTGCACTGCAATTATACACTAATAAATTCATCAATATATTGATAGTCCCTAATTTGCATAATAACTTTACAGTACACAACCTGACCTGCATGTACACTAATTATATAAAAGAAGTCAGATAATTAAATGAACACAATTATTACATGTTGTATCAATACAATAAATTACCTGAAAATAAATGGAATTAGGCGAAATAGTTCACTTGGCCACAATAAGAAGAACAAAAAGTAAAGCAACCAGAGCCTGGACCTACATTCAAATGGTAATTATGGAAAGAAATTGCCATTCTGATGTGCATATTCCACATGGATAGAATTTACTTTAATGACTGTGGGCTATTCAGATTGCCATTTAAAGGTTCATGATGCACTGCCTGTCGGTAAACAGTTCTTGTTAAGTATTATCTTGTTATCACTATTTCTGAAGAGGGACTGGATGGATCTTTCTCAGATTTCATATATAGATTTTCCTTGGTCCATAATTGTGCCTGTTTGATATAAAACAAAATGACCATCATCGGTAGTTAATTATTACGGCTAATTCTTGAGAGGAATTTCAAATTCATGTAACGAAGAGCAAGACCAAAGGAATGAATAGAAGAACTAAAAAAGAAAGCAAATAATGGTGGGCACCATGAATAATCTCCTGTTATTATGCTATTTCTGGATAAGTACTGGATGGATCATTCACTTAATTGTATATTTAGGTTATGATTGGTCTGTATTTGTGCATTATTCATTTTTGGTTTGATAAGAAAAACAATGTGGGAGACGGCAGTCATCTTTGATATGAACACTTGCAATTTGTTATTGCAATATTTTTGGATAAGCACTCTATGAATTGTTCACAAATATCAGATGTAGGTCCCATTGGTCGTTAGTAGTCCATGTTTGGATTGATCAGCAAAACAACAGACATCTATCTTAGATTTTGAGAGTTGAATTTTGTTATCCACCTTTTTTTTGAGAAGTACTGGATGGATCTATCAAAACTTTCATATGCAGGTTCCCTGTGGTTTCTAGTTGTTCTTATTTTGAAATTTATCAGAAAAAACAATGGTGGACTGGCGTGCAGCACAGCCGTCTTCAGTTTTGACAATTGAAGTTTATTATGAGTGTTTCTTAGCATATATTGCTTAATGTTAATTTTATCACTGATGAGAAAAAAAATCTGGCTTTTGGTTTTTACCACTGAAAAATGTTATTGCTCTTGGTCAGAAATTCTTGCATGGATTATTTGAAAATTTGATGTGCACATTACCTGTGTGAATAATGTTAACACATAGTTCATTTATCTGTCAATAAAAAAGATAACATACATCAAAAAACAATAGAGAGAAAAGATAACTTTTACATAAAACCAATGAAGATGACAAAATGGGCCAGAGACTAAAGTTGTTCTTTCTCGTTTCTTCTCTCCTATTTTTTGACAGGGTTTCTTTTTACTCCTTTTACTGGTATAGTACTTTATAACACTGAGGGATCCTACCACATCTTCATCAATGTCAGGAGTTTGACTTATTATAGGACAATGAAATAATATTGGTTTATAATTTGTTAGTAAAGCATTGTAATAAGTAGGTGAGCTTAAATATTCTTTAAGGAACACAGTAAATACCTGTGTATTGTGTGCACCTAGGTAATGTGCACAGATACCTTTTGGAGCTTAAAACGATAAAAGAAAGTTTCTATTTGCATAATGTGTGCACCCCAAAATTCTTGTCAAAGTTGATCTCCTGAAGCCAAGAAATCAAGCTCGGAATGTTTAGCAAACCAATGTGATGTGAAGTCCAAAACTTGAAAGTATTCTCTTCAAAATTTTTTTTCATTTCATTTACTGACTTTTAATAACAATCTATTTAATAACAGCCTTATGTTTGTGCATCTTCTTGTTTGTTTTCTTTAATCGACATCATTTACATATCCAATTATCCCTTGTTTATCTTGCATACACAAGCACTTGTCTTCACACCAGCCCTAATCAGAAGGTACAAGTCATGATCTACCTGTTCATGACCAAACCATGTTAGTACTATCTCTGTGAGTCAGCTTTTCTTTCATGTCTCTCTGTTACATGGAGCATGCGCTAGCTGACATAAATAAAGGTTATTTTTCTGTCTGTCTAGTCGCTGTCACATTTTCAAATGCTTTGTCCAGGTTTTGCATGATACTCACTTGTATAGTTCGCATTAATATAAACAGTAATTATGATATTTTTTATTTTTGTTAATAACTAAATTGTCCATTCATTTTTGTGTTGGTTTTGAGTACCAGATAACCCTGATAAACACTGATGTTGGCCCCAAAGAATCTTTGATTTTTTCATAAAAAAAAAAATTGAAAACCCTAAATCTATGTAATGTGCACACCCCCAACTTTGGACATTTATTTTCTATGAAAAATTGTGCACATTGCGTGGATTATGTGCTACTTACTTTCATTTTTTTTCGGTAGCCCTGATTGTCTTCGGGAAAACAACTCGTTCAATATGGTTTCATCTTGTCATTGGTGTTCATTATAATCCTCCTGATAAAGATAGATATTGTATGTAGAGCCTACCCATGACAGGTACACGCTCAGGGCAAGGCTTACGACTGTCGTCACAGGTGTGGATTTCGTGGCCTGCTGATTGGAACATGGGTCAGTTTGCAGAATTCGTTTTCAGTATATTTTAAACATGTTGGACACAAAACCAGTTAGGTATTCGAAATTGAGATGTATCAGTATTGGAAAGTTTTTTAGCACTATAACAAAGAGGATATCATTCCGTACATCGCCATTTTGTTTGGGTTCAAGGGATGATTGGTTTCGAAAAGGATCGGTTTAGGGAAGTTGTACTGTAATAATGTACATACGAATTTTACGAGATGTTACCATATTTGTGTCTGCCTCATGCATTTTCAAAGACTGGTCAGCAGTGGAAGGATAGGATTTTAACTTCAGTAAGTTGCCATTTTACTAAATTATCTTCATTTCATGGGAATATTTAAAATTTAAAATAGTTGAAAAAAAAACTACAATTAATTTTTCTATGCTTGGTTTTGATTGATTGAAAATGCATTGATTTGTAGATCAGAGTTGATCTGGACAGGTTGAAGGATCTTGTAAATCATTTGTTTTTGATTGCAGATGCCTTGAATTTAATATAAAGAGGAAATAGCTGAAGGTGGAAAGTAAGATATTTTGTACATTGAAATTACCAGTAAGATAGCTTATGTTGTTATAATTAGAGCATGTTATTAGAATTATTCTAGTATTTAACATTTACTAAGAGTTGATTTACAGTGAATTGTGTCAGAAATTAATGGAAAGTCATGAATTTTATTTTCAAAATATTTACATCATCTGTTATTGATGACAGCTGTAGGTGCTGAAAATTTTGGTAATCGAGTGCAATAGTTAAACCAATGTACCTTTTTCTTTGAGATATTCTCAAATGGGGAAAAAGTTCAAACCAAAGAGGAATCACCTTGAAAGTTTTTGGAATGAGAGAGATTGTAATTAAGAGAGTAGATGAAATTGATCTGAAATCTTCTATTAAATTTAGTAGATTTGTTTTCAGCACGTTTACCTGTAGATCTAGATGACTTTCAAAATCTCAAATCTTCAGGGGGTGTGTCTATTGATTGCCTGACACAAATGAAATGGATCAGAAAGTAACAGCAGAGTTAATTTCCTAACTGCCTGTGGGTTGCACAATAAGAATAAATAACAACAGCATTGCTTGATGATTTTCAGGGAAATGGATGAATGGGACCCTCGTCAAGATGACTTTAAGTGTGAAAAATTTAACACATATGATCGAGGCCCTGGACAGTTTTTACCAAGCAAAATCGAGAGAAGGTACAGTTTAAACTAATTTTGGGTCTACTTATAAGGCTCATAAGGCACAAAAAGAAATGATTAATTAACCTTATTTTCCAGATTATAAGTTGCAAATTTTTTCCTTGTGAGTCGTGCATGCGGCTTATATATCGGTGATACTTATGTGTGGACGAAAAAAAAAAAATTGACAGAAAGAAAAAAAACCTGTGTAACAGAATAAGATGTCAGTACTGAGGTTTTTTTTTAGCTAAATTGACCCATGGTGTGGTGTCTGTCTGGCATCCGGCCTCAACTTTTCCTTTAAACAACTTCTCAATAACCATTGGACCAAATGTTCTGAAATGTGGCAGGTATGTTCCTAGGATGAATCCTGACAAAGTTCGTGAAAAGAAATGACCTTGACCTAAATTCAAGGTCACAGGGGTCAGATTTGTTAAAATATTTAAATGATATCTTCTCATGAACTAAAAGGCCTAGAGGCATGATATTTGGCTGGTATGTTCCTTTGGTGAAGCTTGACAACGTTTGCAAAAAGAAATGACCTTTACCTATATTTTAAGTCAGGGGTCAGATTTTATAAAACATTAAAATGACTTCTTCTCATGAAGTAAAGGGCTGAGAGGCATGATATATATACATACCAGGTGAGTACTGCAGGTCCATTGGGCCTGTTGTTTTATGAGTACCTGGTACCTGCCCAACACGTGTTTGTAACGGAAGCGGATCGTGTAGATCAGTCGTTGTAATTGATAATTTGAAGATTGTAGACTTAATTTCCATTCTTTTTAATACAAATCACAATAAAATCTTCATGTGTCTTTCACAGTTTTTCTTCACAGCAATTACAAGATGGCATGATAGAAGTTTACAATGATCTATTGCACCCTGGGACCGATATGTCATCAGGTGATAGGTCAAATTCTAGAACAACCGCCATGCTTGTTTACAGTTGAATAACTTTGTGTAACTTACATGAATGAATAATATGGGACTATAAGAATTTTGTCAGCATGCTTGTGTCTTTAATAGTACAGATGCAGATGGAGAGATTGTTTAGTAAAATGTACATAAGATCAGTCTCTATATTTGTGCACAGACAATCTTTGAAGGCTCCCAAGCCAGATGAGTTTGATATTTACTATTTTATGTATTTTGAAAGATCCAAATAATTATTAAAATACTTCATTAAAATAAAGGATTATTTATGCATAATTCATTTACAAACATTGTTTAATGTTTCACTGATGATCTTGATCAATGGCCTTCTGTTGTCTACAAATAAAATGGTTACCACACCATAAGAAAGGATGTAGCTTACATTCCGGTGTGGCTAATGTGTGGATCAAATGGAAAAAAATCCACAAACATTGGCTCTGTGGCTTATGTACTGGTGCAACTTATAACCTGCAAAATACGGTAAACTTTTCCTGTAGTAAGATGTTTAATCATACCAACTATCAAGCATTGTGAATTGTTTGCCATTTTGATGCAGCTGTCTAATTGGACTCCAATTAGACGGTATATTTAATTAGAGTCTTGCCTCTTTTGGTTCACTTGCTTTGTTTAAACCATGAAAATTGAGCAAATCATTTAAATCAACTTCTTCCCTTCATTCATGTATAGACCGTTTCTGTTTTTTGTTTATTATAGTAAATCTGAAGGTATTCAGCTTTACATCAGTGGCATTCCGAATGATCTGACAGAAGTAAGTAGAATTGTTTATTTATCAACATTATTAACAATTTTTTATTACAAATAATTTAAAATCAATTGAAAAATTGAAATAAAGCTGATAAAGAAAGTTATTATTGAAGAGATGATTTATCAGATAACCTCAGTACACTTTTTGTAGGAACTGATTTACTCAGTGGTCAGTGACAACTTGTAAGACCTAAACTTTAATTAATCTACCGACAAAATATCTTGTACACTTACTGGCCAGACCGAGAAGTCAAGGTCAAAGTTTTTGTGATAATTTTCATTGCATGGCACTAAAGTCTTAACTGTGAAGGATAGTATATTTTGAAACATTAAATTTGATTGGACAGGCAGCAGTAAATCCTCTATATTATAAAGTACCACATATTAAACATTTTATCACATAACTGGCCTGTTACCGGGTAAGTCATGTGACTATGTCATTGATATTGTCAGACACATGTAAAATAACACTTATGTATCACCACAGATAAGTCATGTTTCAAGGATGTTGCGTAAATGTCTTGGTACTTAAAAACTTCACATCAGAATTGAAATGAGTCTTTTGGTGTGAAATTAATGTGAGAGTTCGTTTTTCAGAAATGCAGAATATGTGATAAAAATCTGAGAGGATATGGAGTTTATTAAACTCTTTAATTTAACTTACTAGTGACATATCAATTATTCATGGCTCATGACATGTCAAATTAATTATGCTTGTGTCATTTCAAATTAATTATACTTGTGTCATTTCAAATTGATTATGACTCATAACTAGTTAAGATATTGAACTGATTTGATAATTTCTGTGTTACATTATGTATTCATTAGGACAGGCAGCTGTAATTGTAATGTAAATGACATTAATGATTAAAGTGTATTTCATAATTGATTTACATTTCAGGAAGGCTTATACAACCTGTTTTCTCAAGCAGGTGAATGTCTTCGTTTGAAGAAATGTGTTTCTAAAAACCCTGATGCTGGAGATACTTATGGGTAAGTTTTTATTTTTTTGGAATTTCAGGTTTGAAATGGAGTGTTTTTATCATTTTCAAAGCAGTGCTTAGGTTGTTCTATCAAATTTTTATGAAGTCCTTTGAGTTTTTTCACAACCTTTTAAGTAAACTGTCATTTTTACAGGAGCGGTTTTGGAAAGAAACAATTAATCCATCAAATTAGACATTTTCTAATGGATTTCTTGCATTGTGTAATTATTCCTGAGATCCATGTTATAACTCATTCCTACTACTGATGTACATATCATTAGAAATTAGAAAGAAGGAACGTAAACAACCCATGGTTTAGATTATAAATTCAGTAATCTTCTGGTAAAATTTTAATATACTCCATGTATATATACCTACTTTGATAATTTTTTAATTTTCTGTAACTCTCTGTTGATATTGGTTTTTAATGTTTTTTTTTAGATTTGTTACAATGTTATCAGTATCTGATGCAGACAGAGCTCTTTCCAGATTTAATAACTTCAATATTGGCCGCTTTCGTATGCGGGTTAGAATAGCTATTTCTGAAGAGGAAATGAAGAAACGCAAAGAAAAGAAACTGGTAAAGGATGAATAAAAGACATTTGTACACCAGTATCAGACCCAATTTCTGGGAGAAGCATGATGGACATTGACTAACCAGTTTTAATTGGAAATATATATATTATTAATGAAGTGCAGTTATATAGAGCTGAAACAAATAACAGGTGTTAGTAATCAGTTATTCATTTAATGTATGAATGGTAATGCTGACAATTATTTCCATGTAGTTGTGAGTCTTCCCCCAGGAACTTGGGGGACTACATTTCTGTATTTTGCTGGTCCATCTTTCCATCATTCCTCTATCTTGTCTGAACCCTTCTCCTTCACAACTTGTCATTGAAACTTCATACTTAGGATATGGCTTCACCATGGTAAAGCAGTGTGTCATATATTAACAGTAGGTCACTCTAACCTATATTTTGACCTTCGACTTACATCATAGAACAAAATTTGCCCCAACCCAATCTTGTAGACTACTTGTCAATGAAACTTTATACAGTCTGACCTACATCGAAAATCTGAGCCATATGTTTACATATTGACTGAGTGACATGCCGAAATAGAATTCTAGACTACATCACTCTGACATCACCTCGACAAGAAAGGCCTTACCCTTGGAAATGATTTATGATGTTTGTAAAATCACTGAGCATAGCTTACATTCAGCTTTAGATTTCTTTGAATTCATTGGGAAATGTTCCCAGTACCAGTTAAAATTTTGTTCATGTCTGTGATAAGGGAAGCTAAATCATACTGAATATTCAAATACCATTTCAGCATGCAAATGTTATTTTTGTACTTTTATGCAAGTGATTACACTTGTTATTGTTTTTCTATTACTTTTAATTTATCAACTTGTGTGACCATTAGACATGTCTGGTGAATGTTTTTTTAATTGTCGAAACTTCAGGCACAAGTCTGTACAAAACGAAAAAAGACGGATATAACATCTGATTTTTGGGCATGTTAAACATGGCCAGTATAATGTTGACATTTTTTATATATAATTATTTGCATGAGTAAAATGATTTTACAACTTGAGAAGAAAATTAATTCTCAGAAGTTTTAAGTATTTTATTGTTGTGAGATTAAAAACACTGCATCAGGTATTTTTCCTAAAGATAACACACTCTTGTTGGTGCTAAATGGGTTGATGATTTAATGAGGTTATCGGTATAACCACCATATTTTCTGCATGGGTGATAGCATGATCTTATCTTTCTTAAATAAATGAATTGCTCATTTTGTGTACTTGACAACTGTCTGAGGAGGGTTTTGAGAAATTCTCTCCATCCAGTCAATGAAGTTAGATAGTGAGATGATTGTATAAAAACAAAACCAAGTGACTAGCACCTTTTAATACAAAATTAGAGTTAGATATAGTGTAGCCAAACAAAGAATTAAACTGTACCATACATCTATTTTGTTCTTCTTGAACTCTCAGTGATGCTAGGAGCCTAAATTTTGAAGCTTAGGAGGCATCTAAGGAAAATTCAAAGTGATTGAAAGAAAATCAAGATCTAGATTGGGAGATGCAATAGTGCCATGATTCAATACATTTCGTAATCAGTGTATATAGAAAATGTGTTAGTAAATTGTAGTGAAAACAGCAAGGCATGTTTTATTTATGTTGTAATACTATGTCAATACTTCACCAGTAATGAGTGTCCTATCCAGGACATTATTTTACAATTTCCTAAGAAGACAATATTTGATAGTTGTAATTAAATATGTAATCGTTTAACCTCATCTGATGCGATGATCAATTGTAATTTTTCGTAATCGATCATCTGCACTTTGATATTTTCTTGTGTTTTAGCAAAAACAAAATCATATTATGCATTATAAAGATGTCAATTGCCAATAATATTAATTCTTATGCAAATTGTTATATTAAGGATACAAAAAAAAAAAAAAACCAAAAAGCATTACTTCGATTCAGAATCTCTTTCCATGAATAATGAACACACCATCACAATCAACCAACTTTGTAATTGATTAACTACATTGAAAAGCCTGTCCAATTTTAACCTGAAATTAATTATGGATTTTAACTGATTTCTCGTCACTAGTAAAAATTATGAAACCCAAATTGACATATGATTATATCAGTATTCTAATGCAAAATGTGAGACTCCTCTGTCTCCTTCCTCACACCAAACATCTAACATAATGTCTGAATGTCTGATGTGGGTGCTTGAGGAAATCCGCCCTATGTAATTGTGTTCAGAATAGTCTGTAATGCAAGGTTGAAAACTGTAAAGAAAGATTTCTAACACATCGTGCATTTTTAAAATTTAGTTACGATGAATTGAATGTGTTTTTATTTTTGTTGATTGTTTTGTTGGGAATAAGGAAATCATGGCCTGCCTTTGATTATCCATTACAAACCATCTATAAGTGAAAACCATTTACAAAGGGAACAGTTAAGGTATCGTCTATTATGACTATAAATTTCCTGGAGTGTTAAAAGTCATTGCAGTATTACAGAAAAGGAAAAAAAACCCATGTTATTTTCAGGAATGAGACCACAGGCACTGATCACATTTTTTTCAAAGGGTCAGCTACATATTTAGAGATATAAAGGTGAAGGTTTATAGCTTTTGTTGGGTGTAGTTCAACTAAAGCAGACGATGGAAATGAAATTGAAAGTCTGTGCTGGAAGAATCTTTACATGTATTTATATACTAAAACGAAAAAGAAACGCCATGTAACCTAAAAAGATTCTTTTAAATTATATAATTTAATGTTACATTATTTCATTCATTTTTGTATACAATTTCATCTGTTTGGAACCATTTGTTGAAGGTTCTATTGATTATCAATGCTAATTATGCCAAAAATATCCCCCTTTTAGCGATGACCCTACTTGTATTGCACAACACGGCCGGACATTTCAGTATCTTGTGTGTCCTCTATGCGCAGCTGTCGCAGCCCTGATTCTTCTATGCATGGAATTCATCAGGGTGTTAACCCTTGCAATGGGGATGTTATTCCATTCTTCATGCAAGGCACGTGTGAGCTGGACCAGATTAGTGGGGGCATTTGGACGTCTCCTAACTCTCCTATCCAATTCGTCCCACAAATGCTCAATTGGAGACAAATCTGGACTGAATGCTGGCCAATCGATTGGGATTACGTTATTGCTTGCACACATAGCATGGCAACTGGGCGAAGGATTTCGTCTCTATACCTTACGCAGGTTAAATTACCGTCAATCACAATCAGGGGTGATTTAAACCCATAGGAGATACCGCCCCAAACACATACTGAACCACCACCAAACCTATCCCGTCCGAACGGTAGAGAGTGAACCGGGATTCGTCAGTGAAGAATACCCGTCTCCATTGCCTCATAGGAAAATTTCTGGGCGAGTGTGCTTGTAACCTAGCCAATCGGTGTTGGCGATGCGCAGGAATTAGGGGCAGACCAACATAGGGACGTCAGGCTCTTAGGCCATTGACGCGTAATCGGTTTCGAACCATATCAGGATGAATATGGCGGTTATGACTGCCTATAGTGTTATTTGCAGTTTCGGTAGCTGTGAGATGGCGATTACGTAAGTGAGAAAGTCTTATAAACCGATCCTGATGTGGCGTCGTGACGCGCGGACGTCCACTTCGCGGTTGGTCGATGACCCTCCCCGTCACTCGCACACGTTGGACAAGATGTTGAAATGTCCGAATATGCACACCAAAATGTGCAGCAACCTGAAGTTGGCCCTGACCCTGCAAAAGCATTCCTAAAGCCTGTCCCCGCTGGACTTCCGTTAATCGTGGCATGGATGTAAATTGCTTAATTCGAATCAAACTTTGAAAAATCAATCCGAATACTTGAACAGTATCAAATAGACTGAAAATTTCCATTGGCGAACTCAATGACCTTCCCCTGCAAGGGATTCTTGTATTTTAGCACGTGCCTCGCACAGAGCGCGGAGGTCAGGTATTGTGTGATTTTAAACACGTGTACCTAGTGACCGCGAACAACACATCAACCTGACCGAGTGTCATTATTCTAGGCCAAACAATAAATCATTTGTAGTATATTTAGTGTACCCGGTGTTTCTTTTTCGTGTTAGTATATATGCTACAGAAAGACATAATAAATTTGAACAGCAAGAATTTGGAGGTATAGTGATTGCTTCCTGGCAGAGTAGGTGTTTATAAAGATTCTTCAAGCACAGACTTTCAATTTCATTTCCATTGTCTGCTTTAGTTGAACTACACCCTACAGATATAAAAAATATCTCCCGAATAGTACCTGCGATTAGCACTGTACAAAAGAGTTCTGCACAAAGTACTATCCCTGTTCTGATACTGTATCATTGGTAATTTTTATGGGTCAATATTTTCACGATTAATCAAAAATGATCAAATGATATCATCAATTAAAATGACAAAATCAGGATGTAAAATGACATCCAACACAAGTCTATCTCATCGTTGTTAGATAATCATTCTTTTTTTTCTTCTCTTGATTTTGTTAGGAGGAAGAAGAATTCATCAAATCTTTGCCAAGTCAGAGGCAACAAGTAAAAAAAACAGGAACGAGTTCAGACACAGATAACTCATCTGGAGGTCAAACGAAGGTCAGTGTTCATAAGTTAGGATGTTTGTGTACTGCTTTCCTGAAACGAAGAGAAAAAAAATGGATATTTAACAATTTCTTAAAGTACTACATTTTCACTGTATTTTCCTAATTAATTTAGGCATAGGCTGCTGTAGAATTTCGATAGAAAGCAAAAAAATTTTCACAGCCTGCTTTCTTTCTTATCTCAATGTTTTATGCTCTCATTGTCACAAACTGATAAAATGATGATTCCATTTCAGTCAAAATTCATGCATGTCTATATATATGTGGAAACTTTGATAGCCTATAAAGAGAATGTAAGTTCACATGTTGGGTCGAAGGTCAATTTCATCACAAGTGTTTTTCCTGCTGATATATTTTGGTCAAGTTATAGACCCACTTTCTGATTGAGTTTGTTTATTTTTCACAATGAAGTCATCATTTCTGTAATGATGCACTCTCAATAATTGTTTAATGAGAAACAAGTCCAAGAAAAGGTTTTTTTTTTAAAAAAGCATCTGACTTGTTGAAGTTGGTAGATCAGCACATTGTAATGGCCACAGAAACCACCTTTAATTTTGTGACCAGCAGGGGCTTATTATCAGATCAGGGTTTGCAGCCTGATTGATGCTGTCACTTTTTAATTCTGTGACCAGCAGGGTCTTATTATCAAATGAGGGTTTACTGCCTGATTGATGCTGTCACTTTTTATATTTGTTCTTGGTGATATACACTCAAGTTGTTGTTTCCAGATGAATAGCAAAGGGAAGCAAAGAAACAGGCACGACAGGAGCAATGGTCATATAGATAAGGCCAGGTAAGTGAACTGGATAAAGGTCCTATAGATAAGGCCAGGTAAGTGAACTGAATATAGGTCCTATAGATGAGGCCAGGTAAGTGAACTAGATATAGGTCCTATACATAAGGCCAGGTAAGTGAACTAGATATAGGTTGTATAGATAAGGCCAGGTAAGTGAACTTGATATAGGTCCTATAGGTAAGGCCAGGTAAGTGAACTGGGAAGTTAATTTTGTACAGACAAGGCTTGATGAGCAATCTGGAAAGTGAAGTATTCATAGTTTGAACAAATAAAATTCTGTCTTAATTGCTTTGCATTTTTAGGTCATCTGACCCAAAGGGTTGAGATGACCTATAGCCATCGTGTGTCGTCGTCCGCCGTGCGTCGTCCGTAAACTTTTCATTCAAAAAACATCTTCTCAAATACTAGAAGGCCTAGGGGGCTAATACTTGGCCCATAGCATGCTGGTATGGAGCCCTACAAAGTTTGTTCAAATTAATGACCTCGACAAACTTTCAAGGTCACAGGGGTCAAATATGTTGAAATTTTTTAAACAACTTCTTCTCAACAACTAAAAAGCTCAGAATGCTGATATTGGGTCTGTAGCATGCTGGGATAAAGGGCTACCAAGTTTGTTCAAATGAATGATCTTGACCTACTTTCAAGGTCACAGGGGTCAAATATGTTAAAATATACAAACAACTTCTCTTCAATAAGCAAAAGTCCAAGAGTGCTGATAATGGACCTGTAGGATGCTGGGATGACATGCTACCAAATTTGTTCAAATGAATGACCTTGACCCACTTTCAAGGTCACAGGGGTCAAATATGTTAAAATATGCAAATGACTTCTCCATAACCAAATGATTAGACTGCTGATATTGGGCCTGTAGGATGCTTTGAGAAAGTGTTACCAAATGTGTTCAAGTGAATGACCTTGACCCACTTTCAAGGTCACAGGGGTCAAATATGTTAAAATATGCAAATGACTTCTCAATAACCAAAATGATTAGATTGCTGATATTGGGCCTGTAGGTTGCTTTGAGAAAGTGTTACCAAATGTGTTCAAGTGAATGACCTTGACCCACTTTCAAGGTCACAGGGGTCAGATATGTTAAAATATACAAACGACTTCTTCTCAATAAGCAAAAGTCCATGAGTGCTGATATTGGGCCTGTAGGATGCTTGGAGGAAAGGCTACCAAGTTTATTCAAATGAATGACCTTGACCCACTTTCAAGGTCACAGGGGTCAAATATGTTAAAATATGAAATGACTACTTCTTAGTAACCAAAAGGCTCAGAGTGCTGATATTGGGCCTGTAGGATGCTGGGAGGAAGGGCTACCAAGTTTATTCAAATGAAAAAAGCCCACTGTTTTAACGGCAGACTCACTGTTGTTAGAGTTTGGCTTGCTTTTTGTCAGATGACCATTAAGGCCCATGGGCCTCTTGTCCTTTTGTTACTAGCTTGTGTCTAGTTGTTAGTTTTCTTTTATGTTGAAATGGCAATTTTAAAAATGTAGAGATGATAATAGAAATTATGACATCATATTTCAGTATATTCTTTTCTGTGATGTCTCGCTCAGCAAGCTACAAGATACATGAACACAGAAGTTGTTGTAACATTTCTTGATTAGATTGGTATATAAATGTTGTAGGAGTTGTACTTGTGAGAAATCTGAATCACAATTGAATATTGAACTTCCTGTTTTTATTGTGCTCTGTTCAGAAGATTCTCAACTGCTGTGATAGAATAAGAGAGTGTATGTGATATTCTGTAAAATGATTTTTGAGGATGGTGTCTGATGTAATCTTAATACTTCAATTTCAAAATATGTTCTCAGTCATTACCTGTATTTAAATGTATACTTTTAAGACAAATGAAAAACTTGCCACCAGTTTATACTAAAGTAGATTGTTGTAACATCAGGATACAGACCTGATTAAAAAGGTATTGTCATTCATGAATCAATATGAGACGCAGTGTTTCAATAGCCAAGAAGTGTATGCACATGATACCTTTACAGTTGCTTCAACAGCATAGTTTAAACCATTGCATGCATACCTGTTAGATTTAAAAGGAGGTGCTTAAGGGTCAAATGTTATCGTTATAGATTTTGGGATAGATTGGGACATCTATTTTGGAAGTTAATTGATCAACAATCATTTACAAAACGTTGGAAATTATGTAGAAAAACTAGAAGATCTGGCATGGATTTAGTTTAAATGCCTTTAACATTGTAACCTTAATTTCGGAATGAAGAGTGATGGGATATCAGTCAAAATCCATTATCAATTTTTGGCATCAGTAGAGATTAAACATTTTGTGAATTGATTGTTTTTTATCATTGTCTCAACACTAGAATACTAAAAGTGTGTAACTTTGATTTTTGTAGTGCACAGCATTATCCTATGCCCAGCAGCCATGAGGCCCATGGTGGTTATCCATTTGAAAGGGCTGATGGATTGGCTGCAAGAGGGATGGGTTTACTTGGTGAAGTGCCAAACAGTCCATATTACCATCAGGCATACTCATACGATCCATCAGGTATAGTCGGTAATACTTATCACTATGGCAACAATGGCAGGACGATGACACATATATGGGGCACAGCTGTATATGACAGACAAGGTAACTCTGACTGGTTGTGTCATTGGTTGCATCTTGCTTGCCTGCTTTGCAGATTTACCCCAACATTTTCTGTCGATGTTGTTTCAGAAGTGTGTGAATAACTTTATTTTTATTATGGTTTTGAGGTTTTTTAATGTCTGTTTTGGAATTAGATATTTTGTTTCCCTTTTTTCTGTGTACTTAGTTTTTAACATGAAAATGTGAGCATATTTCTGGTTTTAATCCCAGAAAGTTAAGAAAATTGAAATTTAACATTTTAAGTGAATATTCTTTTTATTTATTTTATCTCAAATTAAGTTACAGTATGATATCACAATGAAAGCAGTAAAGTAGATAGTTTTTTAAAGACCAAGAAAAAGCTTAATGATTCATGTATAATGTGCCTTAAATATTTTGTCTTGTAATCTTGATTTATTGGTCAGTGTGAAAATGCATGCATACACAATATAATTGCCATTTCTCAACACAATTTTGCCCTAGCTTATTATGATTTCTGAACACATCTTTCATGTCCTTTCATGATTTGAGCTTGAGATAATGCTGAACTGTGTCAGAATAGGAAGGTAATATTTTTTTTTTATAAAAGTTCTTCAGCACCATGTTTGAGATAAAATTCATCAATTTTCAGGATTCATACATGCATGATAGACAGTAAAATTGGAAAATTTTCTTTTTTCAAGTTTTTGACTTATTTTGGGCTATTTTTTAATTTTCTGTCCAAATGATAACAGGGTCATACATGTTTCACAAACAATTTAATATAGAATAAAATCAATTTCTTCAGCACTATGTTCGAGATCGAATTCATCAATTCCTGATATGTTTTTTCATGTTTATTAGTACTGATCTATGGAAGAGTTACTTGAGAGTACTTACTTTGAGCTAAGTGAATTTGTTATTGTACATTCAAAGTTGTCACCAATATATAACCAGTTCATAGTTTGAATCCTGGCAAGTGATTGATGAATATTCTGCTTTTTCTTTCCACGCACTAACAATAGAGAATGAACTGCAATCTGCAGACCCTGCTGTGTTACTCTGTCAAACGTGTCCAACTCTGAATGAACGTTTCCAAATTATAGAGAATTTCATGCAAGGTCAAGGGAGAGGTTACTATGGAGGACAAAGAAGGGGACGTGGAGCTCAACATCACTACCAAGAACCTTACATCAATGACTTTCAGTATCAGGGTGTCTACGGACCTGACTATATGGGTGGCTATGGGCGGGGTCATGCACAGGGACCACTCCACTTCAGTCCAATGGATAGCTACCAAGGAGCTGGACGGGGACACTACACAAACAAACACCATATGGGTTATGGACGTGGGCAGTCCTCTACCAACCAAACCTTTAGAGGTGCTAGACGAGGGGGATACTTTGCACAAAATTTCCACAGTCCTGTTCCTCACCACAGCAGCATGGAATCTTTAAACTCAGTGTGTAAGTACTCATTTTGTGAATTAAAAACTTCATGATAGAGTTATTCATCTTATGTATTACCTCATCATTTGATAATAATTGATTTTCAAAACATTGATGTTTTAAGAAATCAACATCAGATTAGTTTAGAGAAATGTTCACATTTGTACTTCTTAAGGCAAACATTCTATTCATTGTGACAATTCAGTATTCAGATTGCTCGGTTACTTTGCATGTCGTGGTTTGTAGATCACCAAGACAAAGACTCAATCTGCCCTATTGCAATCACTTTCTGTCTGATGTCATGCATTGTCTGTCAAACATTGTTGGTCTGTACCTCTTGACTAGTTTTAATGAAATTTTGCAGACATCAGTCATTGCCATAGGTAAATCAAAACTGTGAATCATTTTATGGTCCCTATAGCATTTAAAGAACTCAGGTGACCTTTAAAGGCCCCTTTTGCCTTTTTGATTGAACTCTTCTTAGAACTCTTCTTATTGCTTTGTTGTAGCAAGTACAGCACAGAACAAACAAAAGAAGGAAACACGCCCATGTGCTCTCTGTGAAAAACCAGGTAAACAAAACATATACACATATATGAGGAGGGCAATGCTGGACAGGGCAGGGGAAGGTTGGGAATAACATATGTAGGGTGTGGCAGGACAGGGGAGGGGAGGGAAAGGTTGGTTAGAATGAGGGAAAGTAGGGTGAGGCAGGACGGGAAGGAAAGGAGGAGCAGGACCTGAAAGGTGGGGCAGAACATGGGAAGGTGGGTCAGACTAAGGAAGGGGAGTTGGGGCAGGACATTGGAAAGTAGTTTGTGACAAAAAAGAGGGAAAGGAAGGTGTGGCAGACTTAGGAAAGACAGGACCTAAGTTTTTTTGTGACAGGAAGAGGAAAAGGAAGGTTGGGCAGACTGAGAAGGAGAGGTGGGACAGGACTTGATGGGTGAGGAAGGTGGGTCAGGGAAGGATGGAAGGGAAAGGTTGGACATTACTGAGAAAGAATGGTAAGCAGAAGCAGAAATGGAGGGGCAGATGATGCAGGGCAGGATGGAAGAGAAATGTTAAGAACAACAGGGAAAGCGAGGTGAAGGCAGGGCAGGAGGGGAATTTGATGCAGGACAGGATGGGGCAGGATTAAATAGGTGAATGGGTTTGGATTTGTGTCATTTAAGTTGATTCATTGTTATCTGAATTAAGCATTCACATTAAAAAAAAAACAGCATGAACCATGCTTAATTTCAAAACAGAAACTAGTCAAACTTCTTATTTTAATATGGATTATATTCAACACGCAAATTTCGTTTGGCCCTATTGAATGTTTGTGGTGAAAATCTGCTTCATGTATGATTTTCTATCAAAAAAGATGCTGCCTTTAGATCACTGATACTTTAGATCTTGGATTTGTGACGTGTGAAAACATTATGTAATGTTTAATGTAACAGGGAGCTACCGATGCAGCAGATGCAAGACATCCTATTGTTCTGAAAATTGTCAGAGAAAACACTGGGATGTTCACAAGGATATGTGTCATGAAACAGAGACCCTGCAAAAGTAAGTATGGCAAAGTTTTAGCAAGTTGTATGGAAAGAAAATATTTAGCATGTATCTTGCAACACAGTCTTAACAAATTGTCTTACAGTACAGTCTTATGGAAAAGTCACATAGCACAGTCTTATGTTAATTGTCTTACATCAAAGTGTCAGGGAATTGTCTTACATCACAGTGTCAGGGAATTATCTTACATCACAGTGTCAGGGAATTGTCTTACATCACAGTGTCAGGGAATTGTTGTACATCACAGTGTTAGGGAATTGTCTTACATCACAGTGTTAGGGAAGTATCTTACATCACAGTGTCGTGGAATTGTCTTACATCACAGTGTTAGGGAATTATCTTACATCACAGTGTCAGGGAATGGTCTTACACCACAGTGTCAGGGAATTGTCTTACATCACAGTGTCATGGAATTGTCTTACATCACAGTGTCATGGAATTGTCTTACATCACAGTGTCATGGAATTGTCTTACATCACAGTGTCATGGAATTGTCTTACATCACAGTGTCAGGGAATTGTCTTACATCACAGTGTCGGGGAATTACCTTACATCACAGTGTCATGGAATTGTCTTACATCACAGTGTCAGGGAATTGTCTTACATCACAGTGTTTGGGAATTGTCTTGCATCGCAGTGTCATGGAATTGTCTTACATCGCAGTGTCAGGGAATTATGGTACATCACAGTGTCAGGGAATTGTCTTACATCAAAGTGTCAGGGAATTGTCTTACAGCAGTCTTATGTTAATTGTCTTACATCACAGTGTCAGGGAATTACCTTACATCACAGTGTCAGGGAATTGTCTTACATCACAGTGTCATGGAATTGTCTTACATCACAGTGTCAGGGAATTGTCTTACATCACAGTGTCATGGAATTGTCTTACATCACAGTGTCATGGAATTATCTTACATCACAGTGTCAGGGAATTATCTTACAGCAGTCTTATGTTAATTGTCTTACATCACAGTGTTTGGGAATTGACTTACATCACAGTGTTTGGGAATTGTCTTTCATCGCAGTGTCATGGAATTGTCTTACATCAAAGTGTCAGGGAATTGTCTTACAGCAGTCTTATGTTAATTGTCTTACATCACAGTGTCAGGGAATTACCTTACATCACAGTGTCAGGGAATTATCTTAAATCACAGTGTCAGTGAATTGTCTTACATCGCAGTGTGGGGGAATTGTCTTACATCGCAGTGTGGGGGAATTGTCTTACATCACAGTGTCGTGGAATTGTCTTACATCACAGTGTTTGGGAATTGTCTTGCATTACAGTGTCAGGGAATTGTCTTACATTACAGTGTCAGGGAATTATCTTACAGCAGTCTTATGTTAATTGTCTTACATCACAGTGTCAGTGAATTGTCTTACATCGCAGTGTTGGGGAATTGTCTTACATCACAGTGTCAGGGAATTGTCTTAAATCGCAGTGTCAGGGAAGTATCTTACATCACAGTGTCGGGGAATTGTCTTACATCAAAGTGTCGGGTAATTGTCTTACATCGCAGTGTCAGGGAATTATCTTAAATCACAGTGTCAGTGAATTGTCTTACATCGCAGTGTGGGGGAATTGTCTTACATCACAGTGTTTGGGAATTGTCTTGCATTACAATGTCAGGGATTTATGGTACATCGCAGTGTGGGGGAATTGTCTTACATCAAAGTGTCGGGTAATTGTCTTACATCGCAGTGTCAGGGAATTATCTTAAATCACAGTGTCAGTGAATTGTCTTACATCGCAGTGTGGGGGAATTGTCTTACATCACAGTGTTTGGGAATTGTCTTGCATTACAATGTCAGGGATTTATGGTACATCGCAGTGTGGGGGAATTGTCTTACATCAAAGTGTCGGGTAATTGTCTTACATCGCAGTGTCAGGGAATTATCTTAAATCACAGTGTCAGTGAATTGTCTTACATCGCAGTGTGGGGGAATTGTCTTACATCACAGTGTTTGGGAATTGTCTTGCATTACAATGTCAGGGATTTATGGTACATCGCAGTGTGGGGGAATTGTCTTACATCACAGTGTCAGGGAATTGTCTTACACCACAGTGTCAGGGAATTGTCTTACATCACAGTGTCGGGGAATTGTCTTACATCACAGTGTCAGGGAATTGTCTTACACCACAGTGTCAGGGAATTGTCTTACATCACAGTGTCGGGGAATTATCTTACATCACAGTGTCAGTGAATTGTCTTACACCACAGTGTCAGGGAATTGTCTTACATCACGGTGTCAGGGAATTGTCTTACATCACAGTGTCATGGAATTGTCTTACATCACAGTGTCTGGGAATTGTCTTACATCACGGTGTCAGGGAATTGTCTTACATCACGGTGTCAGGGAATTGTCTTACATCACAGTGTCATGGAATTGTCTTACATCACAGTGTCAGGGAATTATCTTACATCACAGTGTCAGTGAATTGTCTTGCATCACAGTGTCAGGGAATTGTCTTACATCACGGTGTCATGGAATTGTCTTACACCACAGTGTCAGGGAATTGTCTTACAGCAGTCTTAACAAATTATGTTCGTTGTATCATGAAACGACGGTAAATAATTTTATTGTGACTTCATAAATAAGTGATGTCTTGATAATGTTTTATGATTATCTTGGTCGTGAAAAACATACCGCCCGTTTCCAAATAAGTCTGTCTTGTAGAGAAATTAGATATCAGGTTTTTCGCTTAGTTTTCAGAAATGAGGGTTATATGACGAATGGAATCTTACAGTGATGCCAATGTGATTTGTTACACTCCTTAAATAATTTGGTAATCATGTATAAAGGCTCATGACATATTAAATTATTAAACCTGTTCAATAAATTCCAATTACATGGACACGAACATAGAGGATCCTTAACTTTAAATACTTGTTAAGTGTTATTTTTATTACAAGTAATTCATTAATGAAATTTCTGGAAGATTATATGAAATGAATATAATGCAATTTTGTCAGGAAAATGGAGAAAGAAGATGAAGACTTCGGTGAGATAACAATAGGGGAGGATTTGATAGAGGTATGTATTCAGTTGATGGTTCAGCTTAAAGGTTAATAGAATCTTTCATCCCCTTTAGGGCCAGTTTGGGAGATCTCAGGTTCAGGGGGAAGATAATTAAGTTGTCAACATGAAGGGATGAATGATGTTTTTTAGCTCACCTGGCCTGAAGGGCCAAGTGAATTTATGCCATGGTCTGGCATCCATTCGGTGTCTAATTTTCACTTCAAAACAACAACTTCTCATTAACGAAAGGCCCAAGGTACTGTAACATGCTGAGATGGAGGGCTACCAAGTTTGAATGAATGACTATGACCCATTTTCAATGTCACAGTGGTCAAATATATAAACACAGCCACAATGTAAGAACTGACCCTTGGGCGTGGCCTCATGCCTCTGGACTTAATTTCTGGGTGATGTTTTTAAAACAGTTGAAATCCCCACCCCATAGTCATATATATTACTTGGCATAAAAGGGATAAACACATTTGTTGTGCAAGAATTGACCCTTGGGTGTGGCACTTATTATGTCTGGGACATATTTTTTATATAACTGAGATAACAACCTGTTAACCATATAAACTCTTACTGGGAATCAAAAGAGAAAGACAGTTTCATGATATAAGAATATGCCCTATGGTTATAAAGGCATTAAAACCATTGCTGACCTTTAAGATCCAGGTGAGTAATACAGGCCCGATTGGCTTCCTGTTCTTCCTAACCCTTTTTTCCTTGTCTGAGTGCAAGACGAAAGACAAAAACACATGGATTGAATACCAACAGTGACGAGGCTTGCACCTCAGATGCTTCATGCATTGTGATTTAAACTGTCACAAAATAAAATTCTAGTTACATACCAATAAAACCTCAAATAACATTCTACTTTTGATATTTCATATGTTTTTGATGACAAGTTGTGGATAGTAACACAAGATTTCAGTAGCAGACCAACCAGTGTATGTGTGTGACCTTGTATAAGTAGTTTCACTTCCGGGTCACATCAATTGTTTTCAGAGCTTGCAAAGAGCATGTGTAGCTTATCTTAACCCTAGGATAAGACCAGAAAATCTCACTCCGAGAAAAAGAGTGGATTTATCTTTCAAGGGTAAGAGAAAACATTGCCCATTCGGATGTCTTAAAGCTTTTGAAACTCTCTTAATGACAGTTTGGTGAAGAAAAATTAAATCAGATTTTGGAAAAGACAACATTAGAGTCACATTGTTATGTAATGTCTTGGATATTATTTACTACTCTATCTCCTGTTTTAACACTTTTCTAGAAAATGGTCGCTGGAGGTGCCCTTGAAAAAGTTGAAGTGAAAAATATGCCAACGAAAACACCTCAGACTGCAAATGGCAAGTCAGGAAAGCAATCAAAACCACAAAAAATTTCTCCCAAATCAGTAAAGTCACCTAGTAGTAAGGAGAAGTCTTCAATCTCAAAGGCATCACCACAACAACAAGAGAGAGAGGAAAAAGACAGCAATGGCAGAGCACTTTCCAATTGTCTGTACAGAGCTTTTAATTGTTTATCATATCAGGAACATGTAGCGTTATCAACTTTATCTTGCCTTTATTAAAGTTTTAATTCAATGATGTTCTTGCTATTGCTATTGAAACCTGTTGAAAATGATCAAAGGTTGATAAAATATGGATACTGAACTAATACTAATGGTAAATATTTCTAATAATTCTTGAATGATTTTTATTTCCATTTTATTTTGAGAAAAGAAATGAAATGATATGGTTTTGTTTAATTTTGATTTGATTTGTATTTTTTGAAAGGAGATTTCAATGTTATTTTGAAATATTTCATGTTTTAAAGCTTCAATTGATATGGTTCCACTTCAAGTTAAGAGACGTGCAGCGGACACCAAAGAGCCCATTGTCAAAATGCCTCCTTCACCTCCAGCACCAAAGCAAGTTCGAGGGAAAGCCTTTAAGATTTCAGAACTTCCAACTGGCTTAGATATTCAGGTGAAATTCAAATATAACAAGCAACATTTATTTGATTTGTTACAAGGTCATATTATTTCATGAATATTAAAATGAAATAGATCCAATTTATTTTTGGCAAAGAAAAGAAAAGAAACTTGAATTTTCCAGACTCTACCTTTCTTGTTTATAAACTCAAAGTATCTATGATGAATAGGCAACATTTTGAGATCCTCTCACTATAATCATAAACTGGTGTGATTGCTGGGAAATCAAAGATAAGTGCAGTTCTTTTTTACAAAGTCACATGTGTTTTGCACAAGCTAGTCACAAGGGAATTTTTCTTTTTCTTTTTTTTATGTCTTGTAAATCTTTTGTTAAAGAGAGCATATAAGATTTTTCACTTATTAACACTAGACAGTGTTGTATATATTGTTTATAAAAGATCGCAATACTATCATCTGTGTTTAAATACATTTCTGTTAACTGATTATCAGGTTTTGGTATCAGAAGTAGTGGATCCACACCTGATTTGGCTCCAGCTACACTCTGAAGAAAACCACCAGGCTCTGTCCGAGTTGATGACCCAAATGACAACTGTATGTATGATTTGTAATGCTGAAGCTCATGGTCTTTGAATTACTATAGTATTAACAGCCCACCATCCAAGTCCATTACCATCAGATAGTGGGCTGTTCAAAATGTCCTGAATCTTGGTATGTTAACTGTCTGTTCATTGTCCATTCTTTAACAATTAATTCTAGTTTCCTCTATTTCTTGAATATTGCAAGATGGATCTTTCTCAAACTTCTTGTATAGGATCCCTGTAGCCCCAAGTGGTGCTCTTAAAATTCTGAAAACGATTGTAGAAATTAAATGGCTGAAATGCAGCCATGTTGGATTTTGAAATTTGGAAGTTTTTTTTGCATTTTTAATTGAGTTTAGAAGTGCTGGATGAATCTTTCTTAAAATGCTCATTCAGATTTTCCTTGGTCCCTTGTAGAGCCACTGACACTGATCACTTTGCCCATAGTCTGTTGTCTGTCTGTGAACAATTCTTGTTGATTGCTATATCTTGAAAAGTACTGGGTGGCTATTTCTTGAATTTCATTCGTAGGTTCGACTTGGTTCCTAGTTGTGCCCTTTTTGATTTCGGGACAAATATTTGACAGAAAAAAAAATTTTTTTATGGATCTTTGTCAGATTACATGTGTATGTTCTCCTTTGTCCTTGGTTATGTGATTTTGATTGTGGGACCAATTTCCCTATGGTTTCAACATGAAAAGTACTTAATTTCTTAATTTGAAGGTGGGGGTGGGGGAAGGGGGTGGGAATGGATTAATGATTTGTGAAACTGATTCACTGTCAATTCAGACCAAAAGTAAAGGTATATATAAAGAAATTTCCTCTAATACTGTACTGTATATGTTTTTTTCTAAATCCTGTAGTTCCTGAAATTATTGCAACCAGTGCTTGCTTATACTATAAACTGAGACCCCGGTTTGACCAACAATTTTTTGGTTTTTTTTGCAGTTATATGACAAAGAGACAAATGCACATGTAGCTTGCCCAGTAGTAGGTGATGCATATGCTGCTCAGTTCAGTTTAGACAATAAATGGTACAGAGCTAAAGTGGAAGCTTTTCAGGGGTCAGATGCCGTCAAAGTGACCTACTTAGACTTTGGAAATCAGGAAACTATGGCACTCACCAGACTTCGTCAACTTAAAGACAGCATGGTGGCACTACCAGCTTTGGTAAGTTAAGAGCGCCTGTGGGGTTTTATGCAGTAATGTCATTATCTAGCCTCACCAATAGAAGATGATACTTGCATTCTTAGTGTAAACGTTTGACCTTATTGTGTAACAGCTCTTTACTTGTCAGCATATTACTTTACCAAATCAGTAACTGTCATCAACAGACCCATAATCAACCAACATCCACTTAAAAAGAAAAAAAATTTGAGAGAGCAAATGGTAACAAATTGACAATTTCATATTCTCTTACATCCAAATGATAAAAATGATCTGCAATCAAAGCCTTCCAAGGAAAGAAAAAAAGAAATCACTTCAGAAAAACAATGTGTTGTTGCAGGCTGTTAAATGTAGCTTGGCGGATGTGAGCCCACTGAAGGGAGAATGGGGAGATGCTGTTAATGTTCTAAAATCCCTCATTCCTGCAACGCTAGAATCAGCAGTGATTTACACTGTTAAAGCACAATCTAAAGAGGGAGACTATTACATAGTGGACATGTTGGATAGAAATGGTAAGTCTGTCTTAAAGAGGACCAGCTTTCGTTAACATTTCATCTTAAAATTGAGATCACTCAACATGTGAAGTTGTGGATGATAAATTGGGCTTTACAAAATGCCTAGAAAAAAGGAAAAGCAAAAAAAAAAAAATAATTCTAATAATACAGCCATAGTGAAATAAAGACTTAGCATTAATGAATTTTAAGTGTTATGAAAAGTCCTTGAAAAAGTTAAAACAACTTTGTTAAAACCAGTGTGTTGTATTGATGTCCTCAACAAGGAGGTTACCCTACTTTGGTACTTTTCTACAATAGGTGAAAATGTCAGAGAAAAACTTGTACAAGCTGGAGTTGTGAAAGTTTCTCAAGGATCATCACAAGCAGCTGAATCTGTTTCTAGGTAAGGTCTTAAATAACTGGGAAGAGGGGCAAACACAAACCAGAAACAACAGTATTAGTTTAGATTTAGTTACAGCAGTCATAGCAGAAATAACAGAAGCTGATTTTAGGCTTAGTTACAGCAGTCATACCAGAAACAACAGTAGCTGTGTTTAGGCTTAGTTACAGCAGTCATACCAGAAACAACCGTAGCTGTTTTAGGCTTAGTTACAGCAGTCATACCAGAAACAACAGTAGCTGTGTTTAGGCTATATTACAGCAGTCATAGCAGAAATAACAGAAGCTGATTTTAGGCTTAGTTACAGCAGTCATACCAGAAACAACAATAGCTGGGTTTAGGCTTAGTTACAGCAGTCATACCAGAAACAACAGTAGCTGTTTTTAGGCTATATTACAGCAGTCATAGCAGAAATAACAGAAGCTGATTTTAGGCTTAGTTACAGCTGTCATACCAGAAACAACAATAGCTGTTTTAGGCTATATTACAGCAGTCATAGCAGAAATAACAGAAGCTGCTTTTAGGCTTAGTTACAGCTGTCATACCAGAAACAACAATAGCTGTTTTTAGGCTTAGTTACAGCAGTCATAGCTGTGTTTAGGCTTAGTTACAGCAGTCATAGCAGAAATAACAGAAGCTGATTTTAGGCTTAGTTACAGCAGTCATACCAGAAACAACAATAGCTGTGTTTAGGCTTAGTTACAGCAGTCATACCAGAAACAACAATAGCTGTGTTTAGGCTTAGTTACAGCAGTCATACCAGAAACAACAGTAGCTGTTTTTAGGCTATATTACAGCAGTCATACCAGAAATAACAGAAGCTGATTAAGGCTTAGGTACAGCAGTCATACCAGAAACAACAGTAGCTGTTTTAGGCTTAGTTACAGCAGTCATACCAGAAACAACAGTAGCTGTGTTTAGGCTATATTACAGCAGTCATACCAGAAATAACAGAAGCTGCTTTTAGGCTTAGTTACAGCAGTCATACCAGAAACAACAGTAGCTGTTTTTAGGCTATGTTACAGCATCCATACCAGAAACAACAGTAGCTGTTTTTAGGCTTTGTTACAGCAGCCATACCAGAAACAACAGAAGCTGTTTTTAGGCTTAGTTACAGCCGTCATACCAGAAACAATGGTAGCTGTTTAAGGCTTAGTTACAGCAGTCATAGCAGAAACAACAGAAGCTGTTTTTAGGCTTAGTTACAGCAGCCATACCAGAAACAACAGAAGCTGTTTTTAGGCTTAGTTACAGCCGTCATACCAGAAACAATGGTAGCTGTTTAAGGCTTAGTTACAGCAGTCATAGCAGAAACAACAGAAGCTGTTTTTAGGCTTAGTTACAGCAGCCATACCAGAAACAACAAAAGCTGTTTTAGGCTTAGTTACAGCAGTCATACCAGAAACAACAGTTGCTGTTTTTAGGTTATGTTACAGCAGCCATACCAGAAACAACAGTAGCTGTTTTTAGGCTTTGTTACAGCATCCATACCAGAAACAACAGAAGCTGTTTTTAGGCTTAGTTACAGCATCCATACCAGAAATAACAGAAGCTGTGTTTAGGCTATGTTACAGCAGTCATAGCAGAAACAACAGTAGCTGTGTTTAGGCTATATTACAGCAGTCGTACCAGAAACAATAGTAGCTGTTTTAGGCTTAGTTACAGCAGTCATAGCAGAAACAACAGAAGCTGTTTTTAGGCTTAGTTACAGCAGCCATACCAGAAACAACAAAAGCTGTTTTAGGCTTAGTTACAGCAGTCATACCAGAAACAACAGTTGCTGTTTTTAGGTTATGTTACAGCAGCCATACCAGAAACAACAGTAGCTGTTTTTAGGCTTTGTTACAGCATCCATACCAGAAACAACAGAAGCTGTGTTTAGGCTTAGTTACAGCATCCATACCAGAAATAACAGAAGCTGTGTTTAGGCTATGTTACAGCAGTCATAGCAGAAACAACAGTAGCTGTGTTTAGGCTATATTACAGCAGTCGTACCAGAAACAATAGTAGCTGTTTTAGGCTTAGTTACAGCAGTCATACCAGAAACAACCGTAGCTGTTTTAGGCTTAGTTACAGCAGTCATACCAGAAACAACCGTAGCTGTTTTAGGCTTAGTTACAGCAGTCATACCAGAAACAACAGTAGCTATGTTTAGGCTATGTTACAGCAGTCATAGCAGAAACAACAGAAGCTGTTTTTAGGCTTAGTTACAGCAGTCATACCAGAAACAACAGTAGCTGTTTCTAGGTAAGATAAAGGCATAAACAATAAGTCTCCCACTTGGTTTAGCAGACTTGGACTTGATTGTACGACATTGTATCACTTGCACATTTAATGTATTGCTAAAAGCCTTTCAATGTCCTATCCCCCATGTTTGCTTAGCCTTCCTAAATGACTTCCCCTCGGGGAGGGGAACATAGTATTTTTCCAACATTTATTGTTGTCTATAGTAATTACCAAGCAACAAGCCTTTAGATACAATCCTAGATCTATTCTTGTTTAGTGTTCAGTATTCATTGTCTGACAGTAAGCCCATCCCTGACATAGGATAACTCTGTAGGCCTGGGATACAGGTTTTACTATCTTACCAGAAAAGTGTACATCATTTTCTGTTCATATGATAAATTAAAAGTGAAGGAATGTTAATTGATTGAGGGTCATCAGAAATGTTTAGTGAAGTTCATGTAGGATCAGTTATAAAGTAGTTTTGTTCCAATACATTGACTTATCAATAACGATTTTTCTTTTTTCAGCCCAATTCTTTACAGTTCACTTCCCCTGAATGAAAAAGTCAAAGTAAGTAGACCAAAAGTAACGACCACAAATTTATTTTAAATAGTATACTTAGCAATTACCCTGTAGGAAATAAAAAATCATATGTATAGCAATTTCTATTGGTTTCCATAAACTTCCATGTTCAAACTCTCAGGACTGGTTCATTTAATTCACCTCTCTAGAAATAGTTAACAGTGCCTGAAAATGGAAATAAAGAAAAGCATGTATTTTTGAACAATGAATATGATTAATAAAAAATGTTTGATTATGTAAGCCATATTGTAACTGTCTTGTCTTATCGGGATTTTCATGCTTCCACATTTTTAGTTCCACCATTCCAGATTGTCTCTCTTCTATACTTGTAGGTGCTGACAATGGATGTGTCAAGTCCTGGTGAAATCTGGGTTCAGGAAGGGAATATTAAAAAAGTAGAACATGGATTAGCAATCACAGACGATCTCAATAAAAAAGTAACTGTAAACTTCCTGACACGTGTAGAGTATCATATAACCAGAACACATGATTGAAATGCAGATCCTAATTCTCACTGCTTTACTCTCCACGTATTTAGAATCTAACAACATTCCATAAAGTGTCATTTGCTGATGAATTTTTGCATTAGCCAATCAAATTACTGATTACATGATCGTGAAAATGAATGTATAAGGCGTAACAGCTTGCATAATGCTATTTATGCATTAAGTCATTTTGTCCCAACATGTCAACTAAAGCTGGAGAATGCAGATCCCTTTTCTCCTATGGGTAATGGATTGGTATATGACTTATAATCAGTTTGATCTACAAGTTGTGACACAATGCAGCAGATGCTATTGTCTATTGGACCATTCACCTTATATGAAGTATACAGGGTGCAATGGTCACCAAGCAAGGATCTGCATTTTAATCAGGTTGATAACAAGAAGAAATGTACTTCTATAATATTTGTCTCTCAAATATGATCATGATATTTATATGAAACTTTGGCATCATTCACAATAAATTTTGTAATCATTGTGTCATTTATACATAATCATCTTTCATTGTATACCTTAACATCATTCATTGTGTACTTTGTCATTATTCTTTGTGTACTTTGTAATCAATCTTAGTTTTTTCAGTCTTCATTTATTATGTATGTTGTCATCATTTACCGTGTACTTGTCATCATTAGGTTATCACAAGTGTACTTAATTATCAGTCATTTAGGAACGTCATTATTTTATATTGTACTATGCGATCACCATATCATCACATGTATACTTTGTCATCATTCATTGTGTAATTTGTCATCATTCATTGTGTTCTATGTCATCAGTAGTATATTTTGTCGTCATGTTATCATTCAAAGTTACACTTGATCATCAGAACATAGTTGGAAGAGGTCTCAATTTGTATCTGTATAGGTAAATGAACAGAAACTGAACCCTGTCACAGAGGTGAAGCCGGGTGAAATGTATGCGGCTTACAGCGCAAAGGATATCGGCTGGTATCGTGCTCGTGTGGATTCCCTTAGAGATGATGGAACTGTCAATGTTACCTATGTAGAATTTGGCAACAAGGAGAATGTCTCGCTGTCACAAATGAAAGAACTGGACTCGGCATTAAAGTCTGAACCTCTAACTGTAAGATATGTTTCAGTTTATTGAGAGTGTGATAAATATATTCTTTCTAACATTTCTTAACTGATGTTTAAAAAAAATGGATTGTTTTAACATTTCATAACCAAAATTTTGATACTTTATTTCTAACATTTCTTATCAAAGTGTTTGATGAAATGATAATTTTCTGATTTCTCAATGAATAGCTTGACAACATTACATATTCTCTCATTTTTCAATGACTAAAATATCATTGGTTTTACATGAGATGTTTATTTTTGTTAATGCCTAAGTACTTTTAATCTACCAATTCATACTCCATTGAATCAATAAATGTTAAAATCAGTGCTTTTGAATTACTGGATTATTATCTGCGAAATCAGCCATTCATGAAGTAGTATTCTTTTGAAAAAAACTAAATGAAAGCAAGATCAACACAAATATTGAATGTTGTTCCCTTCTTTAGTTGCTGTTTAATTAGATTTTCTCTAAGTTGATTATTTTCTGTATTGATAGGGAGTACATTTGGTGTTGCATGGTATTGCACCCCTTCCAGGAGAAACAACATGGAGTGATGATGCTATAACTACACTCAAGGAATTAGTGTTGTTGTCTGATGTGTCCAAAATCTCTTACATTGCTGAGGCTGTGGGTCGCAATGTCTCCTCTACCCTGGTCAGGATGACCGATAACGAAGGTATGATTTACATTAAAAATTCTAGACAGACTTTTGTCTCTGAGGTCTTTGCCTTTATAACAAGCAATTTAATGGATAATTTACCCTGGCTGGGAATATTAATGATCTTGATTAATTAATTACTTATTGACTGTAAAATATGTAAACCTTATTTCTGACCCCTTTTCCATGACCCAATTGGAGAACTGAACCATGGTTGCCAAGGTGAAAGATGGATTCTTTATCTCCATGCCTTCTGACCACCCTGTCTCGTGTCCAAGTTGGGTGTAAAACATCCATCTGATGCCTCATTTATTATTACTTCAGAATAATTGTAGAATATTTTACAGTATAACTGGATATGAATGCAGCTATTTCAATGCATGAAGTTTGATTGGCCCATCATCATCGCCTTGCGTCAGTGGTCTGTGGTCCGTTCGTCCGTAAACTTTTTTTTTCCTGGAGAAATCCTGAATGGATCTTTCTCAAATCGCATATGTAGGTTCCCCTTGGTCCCTAGTTGTGCCCGTTTGATTTTGGGACTGACTGGCAGCCATTTTATTTCTTTTTGTTATGAGCAAAAACAGAGAAGAGAAGGGAAAAGATCCAACTTTCAAAGAACTAATAAATATCAAATGATGATGGGTGTCAAGATCCCTCTGGGATCACTTGAATGTTGTGTAGAACATTGTAGGACAGTATTCTAACTCCATGTAAGAATCAGCTAACAACATGTTTGTTTCTTTACAGGCTGTGATATCGCTGATAAACTGGTAGAAGTTGGTGTTGTCAGAACAAATGTTGCTTCTACCTCTACAAAAACTGCTGCATCTCCAAAACAAAGTGATGCATCCAAAACAGAATTGAAAAAGTAAAATGCACTTTTTGAAACAAATCTCTTCAAATTAATATGGCAAATACAAACATCTATATTAAAAGAGGAAATAAATGATGTCAGTCGAAGAAGAATGTTTAATTGTATATCAACATTGTCTCACAAAATATTTATATGTTTACAGAATATCTATAATGGCCAAAAGCCTCGGTAGTGTAGCTGATAAACTCGCTCCTAATGATGTAGTTGCCATCATGATTACCGATGCCGTCTCTCCTGTCAACTTTGTGATACAACTCAACCAAGAAAGTCTAATACGACCGTTTGCTGCCTTTAGTTCAAATATCAATACAGCTATGCAAGATGTTCAAATTGGCTACAAGTAAGTTATCAACAGAAAATACTATTTTTTGTGAATTATTTGTTGTTCTTTAAAACAGTGGTTCCCATTTATTATGATATCAGACATGTTACATGCGATATACAAGCACTAGACAAATCACACAGAGATAGACTTTATCAATGAAAAATACTTTTAGCACTTCACTGTCCAAGCACTAAATCTAACAAAGTGCCTGATCACAGTCCTTCAGTAAACAAGATCAAAAATTTGTTTCTCTCAGAATTGTGGGGATCAGATTTTGCTGAAAATTTGTACTGGTTTGATGGTTTCCTTTTTTTATCATTACTTAAGATGCATACAACCAAGCTAAATGTTTTCCTGTTTGTTAAACGTAAATAAGTCATCGCTACAGGATGGTGACACTTCTTAAGAAGCAAACATTTAATTGCATTATTAAACTGGTAATTAATCGCTAGAGACAAAGTGTTGAGTGTATGATGGACCGATATGAGCTTATGCCATGGTCTGGCGTCTGTTGTCCATCATCTGCCCGTTGTTTGTTGTCGGTGTCAACTTTTTCCTTTGAAAACCAATGGACCGAATGTTTTGATATTTGGGTGGTATGTTCCTAGGATAAAGCCAGACAAAATTTGCGAGAATAAAATACCTTGATGTATATTCAAGGTCACAGGAGTCAAATTTGTTAATACCTTTAAATTACTTTTTCATGAACTAAAATGCCTAGAGGCTTGATATTTAGGTGGTATATATATACAACAGGTGAGTGCTGCAGGCCCATTGAGTTTCTTGTTATAAGAATTGATTTGTAGACAAATGGCTTTCCTCTTGCTTTACAATTGAAAGGATTTTAACTCAAACAAAATTTTGACTCCATTAAATTTGTGTCATCTGAACTTAAAATTACAAAGATATAGAGGAAAAAATTCGGTACTTGGTAATTATTTGAGTCAAACCGAATTTCAAGACAAGTTGTAACTGTATACCAATAATTGTAATAAATTTAAGGGAAAATTGAATATCATCATAATAAGTGGGTTCCACTGTATTTTATTAGATGTTGGAAACCATTATCGATAGGGAAGACTTGACCAGTTGACCAGACTCCTCCCTGCAAAAAAACCCAACAAATATCATCTTCCGCCTATATAAATAAGTGGGTTTTAACATTACACCATTATATGTATAATGTGCCTGTTTGATGTGTGAACTGATCAGAAAAACAAAATGACTGACAGACAGCCACCTGCAATTTTCAACTTTGAAATTTTGTTATCGCTATTTCTTCAGATGTGCTGCATAGATCCTTCTCTCTCCTTGGTCTCTAGTTGTACCTGTTTGATTTTGTGAATTGTTCAGAAAAAACAAATGGCTGCCAGGTGAACATCTTGATTTTGGCTGTTAAAGATTCAGTTGCTACTTCTGCAAAGGAATGTTCAAATTTTTTATCATTGAGAGCAAAAACAGAAGGGAAAATATTAAACTTTTAAAGAACAAATAACATCATACAATAATGGGTGCCAACATTCCTCTGGGATCTCTTGTGTAGTGAAAGTTGCAAATATATTGAGGCTTTCAAGTTTCTGGTCTTTCAGAAAGCATAGCTGTAGTCTAGACATTACCACCTTAATTAGTGTCCTGATCTCATCATTAGATCTGTTTGATTGCTAATTAAAATTCTGGTGTTTGATGTGTATAAAATCATTTCATCAGTACTTATTAAAAGGCATGTATTTTGTAGTATATATTTTCATGTAGTATGTATCAGATACTGATATTAGATATTTTATCTTAATGGCGCTGCCATTGTCAAAATACACTTGCCACGTATGTTATGTTTGAAAATATAGATAACTCTTTAAATAAGTAATTATATACTATGTTGTAAAGAACAAGTTTATTTATGAAATTTTAAAAAAAATTCTATTATATCTGTTGAAGGTTGGAATATATTTTCATGCAGAGCAATTAATTTGGCATATGTCAGACAAAATTCAGCATAACATTAAATTCAGGTAAACATAGATTGATCAACAAATTGTCAGTGTTTTGATATTCCAAATTTTTATACGAAGTTGCAGAAAAAAAGAAAACATGGTCAGTGTCTTCATTTTGGCTAAGGACAAAGAAAGAGTGGCTTGCCACTTTTTATCTTTCTTAACCCCCCCCCTAAATACAGCTTAAATTTCAGGACACGCACAATGTATTCTCTTTACTCTTTACATTGTAAGTTGTGAGGATCTTGGTAAAACACATTTGCATATGGTAGTTGTCATCGCAGACACAATATCAAAAGAATATATGAAAGAATGTTAATATGTTTGAAATTTGCACCCAAAAGTAATGGACTGATGTTTGATTTTATCAAAAGCACTCTTGTAAAAGGCATTTTTGAAAAGCTTGTTCTTAAGTTGAAGCAGTGGTATGTCTCTCAACATTTCTGATGTTGAACATTGGATATAAATTAAGTCATTGTTTTGGTTTTTGCAGGCCCAAGCAGGTTGGTGAGCTGATACTAGGTTTGTATGAGGGAAGTTGGTACAGAGCTGAGGTCATCAGCCTCACTGACAAGGAGGCAGAAGTTTGCTTCATTGATTTTGGCAATAGTGAGAGGAAAGAATTCTCAGAGTTATCAGCAGCCATCGAAGTCTGTGGTTCATTGCCAGCCCAGTCTGTTAAATGTTGTTTACATGGAGTTACTGCCCCAGATGTTTGGCCTCAGGAAGTCCTTCAGAGTTTTGCAGAATTGAAAGAAAGTCCACTAGAAGCAGAATTCAAATGTATGGTGAAAGATATAGCCATGATTGATATAATGGTTGGTGATGAGGGGATTTCGGCTGCAGCAGTCATCAATCAGGTACTAGAAAACATAAAATCTGGGACTGAACCACAAGTCTCTACAGTACCCACTTCAGTTCAGACAGCAAATCATGAAGTTGGGTCGAGTCCAGTGTCAGACACTAGGCCTATTATGGCTTCTGATGTTTCCATGGAAACACTACCATTTACAATTGAAGAAGCGGTTGTTTCATCCATTGTAGACTTCGAGTCTTTTTACATTCAACTTCTGAAATCTGAGAGTGAAATTGCAGAAGTACAGCAAAATATGTCCGTTTATTGTGATACAGCATGTCCTTACACTCCAGTTGAAGGTGAGCTGATTTGTGCTAAGTTTTCAGCAGATAAACAGTGGTATCGTGCTAAGGTGATAGACGTACTGGGTGAAGATCAGTTCACTACGCAGTTTGTTGATTACGGTAACTGTGATGAGGTTAACAAAGACAGTATCAGGAAACCGATTCCCTCCCTTAAGTCTCTACCCTGTCAGAGTATTCATTGCAAACTTCAGGATGTTACCAATGAAGGCCAGTCTCAAGACACGCTACAGGACTTTGCTCAACTGGTCAGTGGCTGTAAAGTCCAGGTAGAGGCAAAGCAAATTGACAATGGTGTGTACTCTGTACTCCTTACCACTGCTGAGGGAGTGGACATCAATAACAGGTTTCAGGTGGAAAGAGCCTCAAGTCACCAACTCTCTCCCCATCCTCACGAACCGAGGACAAGCAACATTAAACTCTCTGAGATAACAAGGTTTGAACCCAAGGAGAGAAACTTTGAAGTGATAATAACATATGTTGTAACTCCTGAAGAGTTCTATTGCCAGCTAACGAATCAAGAAAGTAAGTACAGTATAAGAAAAATGTTTTATCTATCCACTTGTGTAACAGACGATATTGGCAAGACTGGTAGAAGGGCAATAGGGGTTGGGTGTTATAGGGATATTAACAGAACTAAACAGTAGTCATGAAAGAAAATAATTGATTATTAATTTTTTATTTATTCTGTCTGTGGCTTCAAGTACAGAGCAGTAATTACCAGATCTTTTGGTCAGGTGAGCCTTAATGCATATAAGCAGTTTTATTTTTCGGGTCACATGGTGACCTAGTTATTGCAATCACCTTTTGTGTAGAATCAAATATTCTGCTGATTAGTAGGGCTAATAAATGCCAAATGCACTCAGATTGTAAAAATTCTTCTTCTCAACACCCATTTATGGTAGAATCAAATATTCCTCATGGATGGAAAGGTCAGAAGCTGCTTGACAAAAATGAAGAATTGAATGACCTAAGTGTCGTTTCCTCCTGAACTTTTTCTATATTTGAATTTCTTTTAATTCAGACATAATATGAGTTGACATCTGTGTTTCCTGTGCAATGTAGTTAAGTTATTCAAATTCAGGACCAAGATTGTTTCTATGTTGCATGAACAAAGACATCATTTACAGAACACAACTGACTTTGGGGGCCCTTGGGCCCTAGTTTTGCCTTATATATTTTCGGACAGATTAGGAAAAGAGAAAAAGGGCTATTGGTTATTGCTGTTTTTTGGAAAGCACTCAATAAATCTTTCTCAAATTTTAAATGTAGACTCCCCATTGTCCCTAGATGTGCTCTTTCAATTTCAGAACTGGTCTGAGGAACAATATGGTTGATAGGCATCCATCTTGGAATTGACGTTTTAAAGATTATTATCACTATTTCTGGGAGGAATTTTCTTCTTTCATTTGATTAAGAGCAAAAACAAAGAAAACATCCAACTTTCAAAGAACAAGTAAAAGATAAAACAATGGTGGATTCTTAGATCCTTCTGGGATCTCATTTAAGAGAATTTTCTGTTTTGAAAAATTCTTTGATAGTTTGAAGAAACTTGTTTATCATATACTCCTTGGATTATTTTATACAGCTTTTATTGTCTCCTCCTCCTCTCTTGTATGAGAGTGTAGAATGGTTCAAGCACTTCATTTTATCTGGTTGCAGAATATTTTTCTGTTCTGGGAGAAAATTTGTTGCCATGCTTTATAGTTCTCTCTACACATTTCATTTTATACGGGAACCAAGTTGAACTTGATTTTTACTACAATTCTCCTAATTTGAAATGAATTCACATTAAAATAATAATATTGTTTTTGACTTGTAGGCATTCAAGCCTTGTCACTGTTGCAGCAGAATATTATGTTACATTGTGCAATGGAGAATACCAACCCAGAATTTAGACCAGAAGTTGGAGAGCTCTGTTGTGCTCGGTTTACTGGTAAGATACTCTACTTGATTTTAATAACTAACTCATTATTTTTGCTCTCAAAATGATAAATATGTTGACACTGATCGTTTGATGTTAAGATCTAGAAAATAATAGAATAGAGTTTGAATTTATTAATTCTAGAATCTATTTTAGAAAAATAATCATTCATGTATTTCTGATAAATTGTAGACCTGTCATGGTACAGAGCTGTTGTCATGAAGATTTTCCAGGACGACACCCTGCTTGTTCATTTTATTGATTTTGGAAACTCAGAGATTGTAGCAAGAGAAACAGTGCGACCAATTTCACCAGAGTATACTGAGCTTCCAATAACAGCTTTCAAATGTTCCCTACATGGTAAGTTTTCAGTGTCTTACATACAGCCTTCATTGTAATAGGAATATTTTACCTTATCAAATTCATAATTTAAAATTTAAAATATCAAAACAGCTTGACTTAGTTTTGTTAGAATATCAGTTATCACTTTGGTGTTCGCTCACCTGGTCTGATTGAGGAAGCTATGTTGTGTAAAACAAATTCTCAAAAGTATGCTGTACTTGGTTTCAAAACCTTTTGAAATTGAGAAAGGCCTTGAAAATAAGCCTGTCTCAACAATAGGACATGAAATCATTTTCTAAAAAGGAAAGTTTGGTTTTTCTTCAAAATTTACATTAATGGTGCTATAGTACAATGATGTGAATTATTTGTATTGTTTGACAGGAGTGATGCCAATAGGCAAAACATGGTCTAAAGAGGCTTCAGATAAGCTTTGGACTTACTCTGGTCCCAGACTTATGATTGAGATCTTTGACAAGGTTGGCGATTTGCATATTGTGGATTTGAGTGCGGAGGACAGTAAAGTTTCCGATAACCTGGTTGATTCTGGATTTGCCAATAGGGCTCAGGCAGAGGGTAAGTCAAGTGTGAAATTAAGTTTAAAACATGCTGGTTTTTGTATATAAGTGAGCTTATTCGAAGGCATGGCATCCAACGCCCATCTGTATAGCATCAATTTTATCCTTGTGATAAAAGATCTACTGCTGAGTAATTAAATAAGATATATCTCAGATGTTGGCTCAGTCATAGCATGCTGGGATTACTCAAAGCTTGTAGTATAGAAAAACATTAAAGGAACATTGTTGTTTTAAAGTTATAGAAGCGAAGTTGTTATACGCTCTGGCAATATAGAAAAATTAAAGGATTGTATTTTTTGAAAGTGGTTATTACCTTTACATTAATACAGCATTTTAAATCAAAAGATAACCAAAAGTTTGTAAATTACAAGATGTATCAACTTTGACCAGAAGTACCAAGAAGATTAATCTCACCAGTAAATTTAGATATTGGCATTCACAGTCAAGTTAATGTAGTTTACAGACACAAATGAAACGGCTGACAATGTCAGTTCACTGATTTACTGGAAGATATTACCCATAGAATAGATAAAATTTGAGTTAGTACACAAACAGAAAACAAAATGAACAGGTTCGTGAGTGAGAAAAAAGTTTATTTAACATGAGTAAAGCTGTTGAAAAGGTAACAGGATGGCAAATGGAGCCAGCCCACTTCAGGCGAATGACACTAATTGACTGTGCTTCAGTAAGGCAGCGATACATAAAGATTTTATACCCCAAATTGTACTCACTACCTTTCAGGCATGAACACTGCAATTTACGTTTGTAACCACTTGTTATAATGGTATTATGTATATGTATGTCTATCATAATTTACCCAAACTTTTCATTACATGACACACATGGTTTTATGGTGGGGAATCCTCTTGTTATGCTTTGTCTGTTATGTAATATGATTTCTAAATGAAACAGATGAAGAAAGTATTAAATATTGGAGTACTGATGAATAAAGACAGTGGTCAGACATTGTGTGCTTAGTTTATCACTGTCAGGCACTTGTATCTGAATAATCCATATTTTAGACATATAATTTGAAATATGATAACATAGCACACTTCTGACATTGAAGGAAGGAATGCCCCGTTTAGCATATAATTCTTTTTATATATTCTAAAAGACTTTCCTTCATATCTTGAGCATTGTTGTGAAAATCAGGCCAATTAGACCTATTTATCACCAAATTATATTTATGAAAATGTTATCAACCCTATTGGTTGAAGCTAAATAAGTCTGATACTGATGTTAAAGAATGTATGGTGTTGATTTTTTTGCTTTTCCTATTCCTAAGCCTTTATAACAGCTGGTTTAGATCATGTGGGTGATTAATCAACCTACATAAGAGAGAGGGGTCCCAGTATATTTATCACTTAACCAATAAATCTGTTGGTTTGGAGAATTCTGATTAACTGTTAGGAATATTGGGTAATCGCCAGGACTGTAACAATGCACTTCAGGTACAATATATCCATCACGATACACATCCTTCAGTTTGATTTTTTTTTTTTTACCTGAAATACACTAGTTTTAGGTAATGTTTGATATACTGTGGACTTTATCAGGAACATACTGGTACAAAGTAATTACATAGCAATAATGTAATATTGTAACAAGACACAAGCATGATTCGGAAAGTAAACATGATGCATATTGTAGTAAATCATTTCACCACAGGTGATCTATTTTTAGTTGTTTGAATGAGTGTGACACATTGATATAAATCACTTCACCACAGGTGATCTATTTTTAGTTGTTTGAATGAGTGTGACACTGATATAAATCACTTCACCACAGGTGATCTATTTTTAGTTGTTTTAATGAGTGTGACACTTTGATATAAATCACTTCACCACAGGTGATCTATTTTTAGTTGTTTTAATGATTGTGACACTTTGATATAAATCATTTCACCCAGGTGATCTCCTATAGGAAGTCATTTTGATTACTGTGATGCTTTATTTGATCACCTTTACTCCTTTCTTTTTCAGCAGCTGATGAGGCAGCCAGCATTCAAGAGCAAATTGCTGCACTTCAGGCCCAACTGCTTGCTATAAAGAAAAAGGAAGGTTAGAGGTAAATAACTGGCTTAAAGCATCATGCTTACTTTGGAAAAAAATAAACATACGTGGTAAATGAAGGGAGAGGAACAGTCACCAAACTGTTAAATATCAAAGTTCTGCTGGACCTGCAGTAAGAGATAATTTCAGCAAGACATCGGATGTTTGTCGAGATGGAGACAATTTCAGCAAGAAATCGGATGTTGGTCGAGATGGAGATAATTTCAGCAAGACTGATGTTTGTTGAGATGGACACAATTTCAGAAGGAAATCTGATGTTTCTCGAGATGGACACAATTTTAAAAGGAAATCTGATGTTTGTGGGTCAAAGATCTGGTCTTAAATATGTTATCCATTATGTGTATTTAAAAGGTGAACATACTGATGTCAGTTTCATAGGTTTATAACAGTGCGCTTATCTACCCCTCATCATTTTTCCTTCTCCTGTGTCCACCCCTTGGTGCATTTTTAAGATAAAATCACCTTGTGATTTTCACCACTTGATGTATTTTAAAGACAAAATCACCTTGTGTTGAATTCATATACCAATACTTATCAATCCTAGTTTGTATATATATAAAAAAAATTTGAATAAACACATCAATTGAAAGGTAAAATGAACATATTTTTTACATATTTTTACCCTAAATACATACATTTGGCTATAAGTTAGGGCCCTCTCATTTCTTTGGTAAGGCTGAATTTTGTTTGCTATATTTAACAAAAAATGTTCCTTAAAATCCCAAAAGGATATATTTGTAATGGTTTTTAAGGTATCGAAGAAAACCATACACAGTTGATAGAAATTTACAGAACTCAAAGTATTGTATCATTTTAAAAAGACATGCTTAAAATGCATTGCGAAAGTCTAGCAAACAATTTTACTTGTAACTGTCTCTTGTTACAAGGTCAAGAAGATTAACCAATAAATTCTGTTGGGTATCAAGATATCAGTATCAGATATAGCCACTTTTTGTCCTACATGGTCCAACATAGCTCAATTGAGTTTATTTCTTGGCCTTCAAACACAGATCCTGCCATCTGTCAGACTAATTGAAAAGCTACTGTTACCAAACCAGTGGACTCTTTGCCATGAACTAACATTCCATATCTGGCGATTGTGTGCCCATTGCAGTCTTCTTTAACACAAACATTGACATTCCACTGTATGCAGTAGTTAATGGGGCTTGCCTTGGTTTGGTTCAGACCTTGCATTAAGTGAGAAATAACAGAACAGGTGACATTAAGACAGCTAATTACCCGTTTGTTATACCAGTAATAGGGGTACACCAGTTTAAATCGGGCTTTTTGTTAAGTTGTTTGTATTGCTAAGTGGCATACAGTACCAAACACAAAAGTGAGATTTTGTAAGGAGTATGACAATGATTTTATAAAACGAAAAATTGGTTTTGATTTCAATTTTCATACTGAAATTGGTGGTCTATAACTTATGGCCAAGAGTAAATAAGGTGAATATACCTACTGTAAAGAATATGTTCTGAAGAGATCAAGAATATCTCCTACATGCTAAAAATAAACAATGATGAGAATATCTACTGTAAAGAATATGTTCTAAAGGGTTATAGAATATCTCCTTCATGCTAAAAATAAACAAGAGTGAATAAAAGTATATTCAAAGAGTAGAAAATAGAAACATTTAGCACTCAATACTTTATTCCTGTATTCATTACTGACAGTGGATTAAAATTTGAAACTGAAGGAATGGTCTTCTTTCAATTTCTCATCCCCTGTGACTTCTCCCCCACCCCTCCTCAAATTAAGTATCAAGAAGGGGTATATGAAGGTTTAGAAAATTAAAATAACTGTAAAAAGTATGCCATGCTAAAAGAGTACTGAAGGAAAACGGGGAGAATATATATATATACACATTTAACAGGAATATAGCTACTAAGGTACTAAGTGGGAAAAACTGTTTTCTGATTTTTTCCTGCATATTACTCTTGTTATGGTATCTGTCAAGCTGTATCTTTTTGTATTGGCAAAGAATCAAAGGTATTTTTATATTGTACATGCAACATGTGGTGGTAAATATTAAATAAAAAATTGTGGCATTTCATTCTGTTTTGTTTGACCAAATGTGTCTGTATAGAGGTCAAGGAAATGTTTGATTTGTCATTATGTTAGCAAATAATGATACCTGTTAGCTCAAGTAAAAGAGCTGACCCTCAATCATCAGGTGGTGACCTTGTCCAAATTGCTCTACATTCTTCAGCCATCTGCAATCTATCATTAAATAGTTTTTGTTGTTGCTACTTTTTTAGAAGGTTCCTTTTGATGCCTAGTTGTATATACTTTTTTTAAAATTTTGAAATGATCAGAAAAACAAAAAGGTCGATAGGCAGTCATTGGGAAATTCAACAATAAAAATTTGGTTTTACTCTCTTGATTTTTCTCATATTTAGGTTGGTTGTTATCATTCCGTAATTGTGTCCATTTAATTTTAATTCCAATCAGAAAAACAAAACGGTTATTTTCACCATTTCTTCAGAGGAATTTCCCAATGTCATAGACAAAGCAGAGCAAAGAAAACAAATATCAACATAAAACAATGATGGGTGCTATGATCTGTGTGGAGTCTTTTGTATATTGTACCAGTAACACTGGTATGCTGACTCTGGTAAAATAACAAATGTCAGCAAAGGTATTTCTTAGCCCAATTTTCCACCGTTATTTCTGAAAAAGTTATGTTTGCTTTGTATAGTATGTTGTTGGTTTTTGTTATGTGCAATCAACTTAACATTTTACAAGTGTTGGTTTCTATGATAAAAAGCACTTTATTGTTTATCAGCTACATACAATGGTATCAGTTTTGAACATTTACAAATGTTATTTTTTCATCTTCTATTTTTTAAGTTTGGAAACCTGGATCCAATATGTCATGTTACCAGGCTCTGTTAAACCTCAGCTTCATAACAAGGACTGGCACACATTGCCAGCAGATGGTAAAATAATCCACAGACCTGATGCTACCAGATTTACAGTTTGGGCTTGTGAGAGGGATAGCAGCACAGGGCAAGTGGTTCCATGATGCAATTTTTGCATATGTTGATGGAGTTTTAATTGACTTCTCACCCAGGGCTAATGGTTTGATTAAAAAAGCGCATCTTGATTAGTACCTTTTTTGATAGACTATATCTGTATCGATACGCTTTTACTATATATACAGTGGAACCCACTTCTTATGATTTTCAATATTAAGAATTTATGCTTATTATGAAATTTTTACCATGTACCGAATATTCCCTGCAACAGTTTAGTGGAAGAAAAAATGGGTTATTGTAATACAATCTAACATTTTGTGTTATTTTCTCGTCTCTAAGGGTTTTTGTGTTAATTTTGTCATCTCTAAGGGTTTTTTGTTTATTTTCTTGTCTCTAAGGGTTTTTGTGTTAATTTTGTCATCTCTAAGGGTTTTTTGTTTATTTTCTCATCTCTAAGGGTTTTTGTGTTAACTTTCCAGTCTCTAAGGGTTTTTGTGTTAATTTTCTTGTCTCTTAGGGTTTTTTTGTTGATTTTCCGGTCTCTAAGGGTTATTGTGTTAATTTTCTCTTTTCTAAGGGGTTTTTTTTAATTTTCTCGTCTCTGAGGGTTTTTGTGTTAATTTTCCGGTCTCTAAGGTTTTTGTGTTAATTTTCTCGTCTCTAAGGGTCTTTTTTGTTAATTTTCCGGTCTCTTAGGGTTTTTGCTTTTTACTTTGTTCTGAAAAACAGAGCTAAAAGTGATTAGAAATTAACTTTTGAATGATACCACTGTGCATAGGTCAATGAGATTTACGTCTATCAGGACATCAGTATATTGAATTGATAATTTATGTTACTTTCAGTTGTAATGCAATTATTCACTAATAATATCCTATTTTTCATCTCTTATTTTCATCGAGCAATATATTGGACTATTATGGTAGTCTCGCTTTGGTTAAATATTTACAGCGATTGCGAAACAAGTTACTTCAGCTTATATTAATCAGTCTGTTGGCCCAGATGTAAGCACACAAGGTCTTATTGTGGGAGGGAACCGAAGTACCCGGTGAAAACCCCATGTGGTTAGGCAGGTGACCATTTACCTTTTCATGTACGTTCCGGGAATTGAACCCCGGACGGCTAGATGAAAGGTGAATCCGTTACCACTGTGCCACCCGACCACTCATCTCTCTGCACCATTTTGTTCTGGTACACACAAACTAAATACATGAAGCTTGTTTGGTTAATATAAGAAGCAGGTTCCACTGTCTGTAACTTGCAGGGAAAAATGCCATAAAATTTTAAATAATGTGAAGATAAAAGTCTTTGGATCCAGGTTTGTTTTTATGACCCATTGTTGGCACTTTAGCAGAGTCACTCAACAATTATAAATGTTGAAGGTTGATGTCTGTATCCTCTGTGGTAACATATGTAAATTACACAGCTTTTACAAGCTGCTTTTTGCTGGTTTGATTTTTATGTATACTTTAAAAAAAATATAAATATATCAAATTAAAATGTTTGAAGCTACTACTTTGATGTTGCAGAATTATACTTAAACTGAAATATGACAGTGTATTTACGTATGTACATGGTGTAATGATTACTAGTGTTATAAAGAATCAAAGAGAAGGTCTTACTGTTGTGAAATGATACATAGAAACTTGAAACAATGTCCCTTGTTACCGATGGTTAACCAGAATGGATATGCCCAAAATTGTGAATCAAACTCGATGTTAATGAAAGTTTAGAAAATATAAACACAAGAAGGATTTACAAGGAGACCATTACAAATTACTTAAGGAACATCATCCACTCTCGGGCACGTCTTGAATGTGGGCATATACAGACTCCTGCACACCAGTGTATGAACTGTGAAGCATCTATTAAGTAGTTTCATATTAATCTGGAATGGCGTTCCAGAGAGGCCTAATAAAGCTACTTGCACATGTGTGTGTTAACAAAGGGGAAAAATGGTTTGAGATTGCTTTTGTTTACAGTAATATGTTCAAGGAATATGATGAAGTCATAATTCACTAATCTACTATTGGTGGGAAAGCATCTCTCTAAACGATCAGTAATTACTCCATTACTGGTTACAGCAAAATTTCTAAAGATATGGAACAAAAATCAAAAACTCTCAGTGGTTTTGAAAGTATTGATAATTTTTGTTGAATCAGGAAAAAAGAAGGATTAGAAATTACGATAGTTTCCACTCTTGCACCAGAAAGTTATGATGTATAATCCTTGATGGTTTCAATGAACTTTGATTTACTACATTACATGCCTAGAGTACAGTTAACGTGTGTCTCATTAATTAAGTATTATTTTCAAAGCTTTGCTTGTGTTCACCCATTGTATTTGAAAACTGCTATCCCACCAACCTGTCTGAACTATCTTAGTGTTACAATGTCACTACTTCAGGTAGTTGGAGAACACACTCAGAAAAAAAACATGTCAAGCTTATCCTAGTATTATCTCAATAGTTAGACAAAGAAAGATAACTCTAGTACATCAGAATGGTGGAAAATTCCTTAAAAAGGACAATGTAGCCTTAACATATATATAAATACACATGTATTTCTTTGTTTTACATCATAAAGTAGCGAAATACATTGAACATTTTTGCTGAGTAAAACTCAATTTTACTTTTGTCAGATTGTTTAGTTTTTGTTACAATTAGTGGACACGATTTTTGATGCAGGAGTATATTACTATTCAACACATTGATTTTTTTGTTTGCATTTTTCTTTACTTAAACCATTTTAGCATTTTCAGTTTTCACATACTACTGAACAGGTCCATTTCACTAACTGCAAATTAACCAGTTTGCATGGTGAAAAATCTTGAGATAGCATTTAGGTACTGACAAAACAAAATCACTTAAAATCTTTCATTACAATTCAAGTATGTTTTTTCTGACACTTCCTTCTTGATACAATTACATGTAATGATAAAATATTCACATAGTAACTGTTTTGTCCTAGTGAAAGTCATATACTCGATAATTTTCAGAGTTCTTTTGTTAATGTAATGCCTTTCACAATTTTTGAAAGTCATTCCTGTTGGTATCTTTGTGTTGCTCACATTGAACATTGGGAAACTGACAAAAATGGGTTTGTCCATTAGTGTATCATGGCCAGAAGCTATACGGTATGGTATACCTGTCTTATCCGTTGAAGAAGTCTTCCTGATTTCATCCCAAACCGTTAATTCTTAAACCTTGGTCAATGTTGAAAGTTAGATTAAAGCATTGCCCAGAAGAGTTCAAGTTATAATGTTGTTCCACTATCTTACCATACATGGTGTTGTAGACAAGTTACAATGTTGTTCCACTGTCTTACCATACATGGTGTTGTAGACAAGTTACAATGTTGTTCCACTGTCTTACCATACATGGTGTTGTAAACAAGTTACAATGTTGTTCCACTGTCTTACCATACATGGTGTTGTAGACAAGTTACAATGTTGTTCCACTGTCTTACCATACATGGTGTTGTAGACAAAATACAATGTTGTTCCACTGTCTTACCAAACATGGTGTTGTAGACAAGTTACAATGTTGTTCCACTATCTTACCATACATGGTGTTGCCATATATACCGTTTCCCTTGTTTCAAATTAGAAAGTGCACAGGTATATGAAGGGGTTGTACTCATTATACAACCTGAATTCCTGGATCACTCTGAAAGAGGGTGCAGAGTTTTCCATTAAAATCAGATATGCACTGTCAACAACTTTGACAATGAAAAAATATGTTTGTATTTATATTCATAGTGTGTATGTTTTACCTAACGATGAAAAGTTCATACCAACATGAACATTTTGATTGTAGAATACCTGACACTTCAGACTTTTTTTCATGTATTTATCAAAAACTTTTCCTTGACTAATAAAAAAAATGTCTTTTTCTTGAAATATCAAAATTATCTTATAGTGAGGTATACTTCAGGATAAACAATGCTTTACTGTGACATGTACATGATGTTTTAAAGAGTACTAACAAAGTACATTGTACATCTACATTGTTACTCACTTTAAAGACATTTAAAAAATGCACAATTAGTAGCATTTATCCTCAAAGAAAGGACAATCTCTGTGAAAAAAAAAAGATTCATTTATTAAGTGTGGTAAAATAACCCAAGAATTTATTTCTATGCTATAAAGCTATAATTTTATAAATATTCATAACTAACACAATCTGTAGATGTGTTTTATAATTGTCCTGACATGGGCACACGTTTCCACTCATTTATTAATTATAATCCATATTTGGTTGTTTCTTTTCTTCAATTGGTGAATATAATATCTTAGAAATAAAGGATCCTTGACATCTGTAACAGTTGTTGTTTTAATTTGTTCAGAAATTGTTGACATGTTTTGTCGTTATAGACAGTCGCCATCAGGGCCATTGTACACATAAAAATATTCTACTCTGGTGAAAACTTTTACAGTTCACGATGTTTTACATAAAACGATCCATTCATTCACGTTGATTTAAAATATTTATTAGTGAGTTTGGAACATGCCATGCAACTACAATCGTGTATGATGACAAGATGGTGGTTATACAGTTTAACTCTTTCGAGGCCGTAGGCAACTGAAGTCGACATGCAGACAGGTCGCTTTAGGCAACTAAAGTCAACATGCAGACAGGCCGCCGTAGGTGACTAAAGTCGACATGCAGACAGGCCGCCATAGGTGACTAAAGTCGACATACAGACAGGCCGCCGTAGGCGACTGAAGTTGACATGCAGCCAAGATATGCTTGTTTCAGCAATGCTTCCATTGTTTTCGGATATTTTCCGGAAAATATTTGGCGCTGAGCTGTACGTTGTGAGAGATATTTGGCGCTGAGCTGTACATTGTGAGAGATATTTGGCACCGAAAGGGTTTAAGGTCTGTATACCCAGAGTTAGGTCAATTTTTAACAGATGTTTTTGGCTGTAGCTTCATAATTTTAGGTTGTTATTTGAAGTGTAAATGAAATTTTACTTATCTACTTTCTTGCGGGTAAAAACATGACCCAGACTATGAATTTTATGTCTGTATTACATGGACCTGATCAATTTTACCTTAAACTGAAATGTAAGTTCAACCATGAACTGACATTTCTGATTATGGAAAGGCCATATTGTTCTATTATTTTCATAAAACTGCCATCATCTGCAAAGAAATTATGATATTGACAATTTGAAACTTTAACCTTGACCTTTTGCTTATAGCCATGAAGATGGTCATCAGCATGCCATCGTCCGGTCGTACATGTCTCTATCAAATTTTATTGACAACACAAAGAGCATCTGACATTCATTTGTTTAATTGATTCTGTTTGATAGATTTTTTTCAACATTTTGTTTTATCAACTATCAAAAATCAGTATCGCACAAACACTTACGTATAATCATTTGAGTCATTCAAAATCAACTACAAAGTCACAAAAGATTTTGCAAAGGGCCACTCTTAATATAGCTTTAAAATAAAATACTACATAACTTTATATCACAAGGAGGCTTATCAACTAATGACCAGATTAATGACAGCTGGTGAAAGGAACCACCAGATTAATGACAGCTGGTGAAAGGAACCACCAGATTAATGGCGGCTGGTGAAAGGAACCACCAGATTAATGGCAGTTGGTGAGAGAAGTGGCAGTTGGTGAGAGGAGCAACCAGATTAATGGCAGCTGGTGAGAGGAACCACCAGATTAATGATAGCTGGTGAGAGTAACCATCAGGTTAATGACAGCTGGTGAGAGGAACCACCAGATTAATGGCGGCTGATGAGGGGAACCACCAGATTAATGGCGGCTGGTGAGAGGAACCACCAGATTAATGACAGTTGGTGAGAGGAACCACCAGATTAATGACAGCTGGTGAGAGGAACCACCAGATTAATGGCGGCTGGTGAGGGGAACCACCAGATTAAAGACAGCTGGTGAGAGGTGCCACCAGATTAATGCCAATTGATATTTTAGGAGACCACTTGACAAGTCATGATTTTCCACAATTGATCTTAACCTTCAGTATACTGGCTGTTTAAAATTAGTGACACATCATCTAAACCTACATATTGAAGCCATAATTTTTTTTACTAAACCAGCTTCCTACCATTTTGGAAAGACGTTTTGTGACCTAAACAGTGAATTCTACCTCGAACATCAATGTTGTATCACATAATAATTAAAATAAACCACCAAAGCGTTGTTAATATGCTGATGTAGCAGAATCAATAATACACTGTTATCAGTCAATGAAAAGAGTAGTTACATCACTTACAATCTAGTTTCTAATAATCCATTTGAACTTGCCAATGAAAAGTGACATTACATCGATGACAGTAACACTATCATCTGCCAATGAAAAGTGTTGTTACAATACCAACATGTAAAAACTTTTTTAAAAATGCATAGTAATTCACCACTGAAACAGTACTCTTTACAGCAATAGTTTTGGTAAAAGAGCTGGTCACTCCTGGCAAGATCAGCTGTACTGACATCTTTCTACAAACAGGCATCTTATTTCTGAGTATCATGAAAGTCTGAACCATCCAAAAATTTTCCATGTGTAGTCGATGATTTACTCCTCATTTCTCTTCAAGAGCAAGTCTGTTTTAAATATAGTTTTTAATGTAGGTCTTAACCATCTGAAAAGAAAGATGATAAGAAATTATTTACTTTTTTATGAAACACACATAGTAATGTGTATGTATAGGTAACTCTTCAGTAAAAGTAAGACATTTTAAAACCATTTTATTGATTCAATCTTGTGATCTGCTCGTAGTGTGAATTCTGTAGGTTGGGAAATGTTACTATTTAGTAGCAAGCTTAAGTTTAAAAAGTCATTGTGATATTACAATTTTAAAAGGGTAAATGTCCTATTGTTTTTTCAAACATTTATACATTAAATTATTGTATCTTGTCCAGATATCTCCTCCCTCAGTTTTAAAATTATTATTATTCAAACTTGGAAGTCTGAAATCACATGAGATTGTGTTCTTGTGAATAACATATCGATTCATAAATATTTCAAAAAGTCATTCCTTTCGTTCTTTTCAGCATTTCAATGTAAGTTTCCTCAGATTTTCCACTCCTCTCCAGCTTATATACTTGATAATTGAAATAAATACCACTGTTTTCCCTCTTTACCGTTTCCATATCTGTATTAATCTTGGTACAACTGACCTTTAATATTTATTTGGCATTGGAGACGGACGTATTGTTCCGCAGTACTTTTGGTTCAGATGTGTGTGACTGTTACACTCAAATAACATAATTAGCAGTGAATTTGAAGATTTCACTGAAATATGAGCATTTATATACAACACTTGTTTTTGTACATTTGTATTAAGTTTTCAATGCATTTTTTAACTGATTGAATTCTGAATTATACCTTGATGAATTGTGGGCTGGGGGCCTCTCACTGAGTAAGGTAGGTATAATGGATCATTATTCAATCTAAATATAACATTAAAAATATCATGAGTATTCCTGCCAGCTGTTCTACTGGGGGTTACCCTCATTTGTAGAAAACTAAACTGACACAATGAGTCACTGCAATGAGTGGTCAAGCTATTCCAGTAAGGTCTACAAACTTAATTGATTTGGACAGCAGTAACTTTAGTGTCTTACCTCTGTTTTCTTGTCTTCTCCTCGATCAACACAACACTGACGTATTTTTCTAAAATTGTAAAATAATGATTTCATCAGATACAAAATTGTTACAAGAATTGTTACAGTTAAACAGCACCTTGATCACCTACCATTATACAACTCAAAAACTCTGTCACAAATTCTGAATTGTTTCTCCTTTACATTCACCATATGATGGAATAAGTAAATAAATTAAACACCATCTTGCACTTTCAGAAAATCGCTGCTTTATAATGGGGTAGAACAGCTTTATAGACTTTATTTTTTTGTTTATGGTTTCAAAATGGAGAATTAATGGGGAAAAAACTATTACTCACACACAATATGATTTTGTAAATCCAATATTTTCAGCTCCTTTCTCAAAATATTCCCTGAAACAAACAATGATCAGAAAATGAACTTTAAATACAGCTAAGTGCTCATATATGCAGAAAGTCACTGATCTATACACCAAGGGTCCAAACAAACTCGAAAATCTGTAATTTTTACCTTGGTACAAACAATGTCCCAACATCTGTACTTTTTACCAACTCCCCTTACTCCTGAGTGCAAACACATTCAGACATTTGTACTATTCACCAATATCCCCATACACCTGGGTACAAACCTGTTGTAACGTTTGTACTATTCACCAATATCCCCATACACCTGGGTACAAACCTGTCGTAACGTTTGTACTATTCACCAATATCCCCATACACCTGGGTACAAACCTGTCGTAACGTTTGTACTATTCACCAATATCCCCATACACCTGGGTACAAACCTGTCGTAACATTTGTACTATTCACCAATATCCCAATACACCTGGGTACAAACCTGTCGTAACGTTTGAACTATTCACCAATATCCCCATACACCTGGGTACAAACCTGTCGTAATGTTTGTACTATTCACCAATATCCCCATACACCTGGGTACAAACCTGTCGTAACGTTTGTTCTATTCACCAATATCCCCATACACCTGGGTACAAACCTGTCCTAACATTTTGTATAATTTCTCATCAGTTTCTCGTCTAGCAGTCAACAAAGGGACAATCATTGGTATACATGTCTTTTACCAAGTATTGGTGTAGGAGTCTTATCCTAATCTATAGTGCAGGGGACTTGTTTCAACCAACGGGGTAAGTTTCTTATCCCAAAAACTGTTAGAGGTGCCTTATCCTAATCGCTGATGCCCGAGTCTTAATGCAATCACTGGTGTATATATATATTATCAGGTTTTTTAAACTATTTTGAGAACAGGTCTTTTTATCTCACTTTGGGAAGAAAATCGACCAATCAGAAAAGGAAATTGAAGGTGTTCACTATATATATACAGAGAATCAGCCATATTATAAAATAAATATGACTGGAAACTGGGCCCTTAGAATGTCCCCACCACAAAAAAAAAAAAAAAAAACCCACAAAAACAAAAAAAGCTCTGATTATCTGATGCCCTTGACATACTGTATGAATTTTTGGGCTTTGGCAATGATGTAGCTTTTCGAGAGAAATGAATTTTTGGGATGATATAATGTAGATGGGTATTGTGGAATTTTGAGGTGAAACATTTGAAGTAAAATGGTGTGTTATGTTTTTCTGGTGAATCATCTAGCACATGTTATAGGTGGATAGAGAAACAGAAGGACAATAAACAATCAAATTATTTAAAATTAGTGGACTAACTTACCATGCTTCTTCAAAGGAGCCAGTCTTTAAATTGATTTTGCTTGCAACTTCTAGATATCTCATATCTGCACGCATTATCTTTCTCCTACTCTTAACTGTCCTGAAAGAAGAAATTGTTTCACGGAGGTTCTTTAGAATAATGATGATAACTTTTCAAATTTCTTCAGAAGTAAAAGAAGACAATGCACTGGGATCTCAGCATCCACATGATCTTTCTCTGTTCTTTATAATTCCATTTTTTCCTTTTTCCCCTTTCTTTCTTCTTATTTGCTTATGATTATATAAAATTTACGAATATCTCTTAAGAATATTGATAAGAAACTTTTACAGTTCCAAGATGGAAGTCTGTCAGACATTTTGTTTTAATGACAAGTTCAAAAATCAGAGGGACACACCTAGAGACAAAAAGGAACCTGTATATGAAATTTCCATCAAGTTCCTCTAAATCAAGTGATTCCAGAGGGATCTTGGTGCCCATCATTGTTTGATCTTCTTTAAAAGTTGAATCCTTCCCTTCTTTTGTCTCTGTTCCTCTTATTTACTTTTATTTATATAAATTTGAGAATTACTCTTAAGAAACACTCAAGAAATAACAATAATAATATTCAACTATGAAATAAAATATGGAGTCCTGTCAGTATTTTGTTTCTCTATCAGTTCCGAAATCAAAAGGACACAATAAGGAACCAATATACTACAACTCAAAATGAGAAGAAATAGCAATGATAAACTTTAAGACTCATAATACAAGATGGCTGCTTGTTGGCCAGTTTGGAATTTTCTTTTATTAGTCCCAAAATCAAAAAGATACAAAAAGGGACCCAGGAATCCTTACATATGAAGTGATGCAACAAGTACTTCTACAGAAATAGAGGTAACCATCAAAAATCCAAGATAGCAACCTAACAGTTATGTTGTTTTTGTGATCAGTCTAAAAATGGAATATTACACAACTAGGGACCAAACCTTCTTCTAATGAGGCTCAAAATTAAAAGTGAGCAAGGCGAACCTACATATGAAATTGGAGAAAAACTAAAGATTCATCCTCTACTTTCATAGTCAGAAACTAAATAGGCTACCTGTGTGCCATTTTGTCACCATTTGGTCATAAGACCATCTCAGTGAAGAAAAAAATAATGCAGGCCACATTAACGATACTGTGATATGTAAGTATATATCATGTTTATTTCAGACTATATGTACACCAAGATTTTCTAAGTTTTGGGGATGTAGGTACTAAATCTAAAATTAAGTGATATATATGCACATTATATAGAAGTTAAAAATATTCAAGAAGAAGAAAAAGAATCATGTTACGAGGAAGAAATATGATATTTATTCTACTGGAGTAGAAGGACTCAAGAATTTGTGTCTTGTCAGAAAGAAAGTGATCCATATAGGGCACTCACATTTCAATGCCAGGCCCTTGATATGCTTACCTCTCAAATTTGTCTTTCTTAACAATATCAAAGACACTGCAGAGATCTTGCAACAGCTAGAAATAAATATTGAAGACATTAAATCCTTTTTCAAATATAATCAAGCACTGAAATTACTGAGAGGCTAAACATGTTGGATATTGAACCCACAACCAAACTTTGTAAATGATTATAAATGGTTTATTTTGCTACTGTAAAAAACTGTGCAGTTTTTCATGAAAAAATTAAAGGTCTAAAGTGGGGAGTGTGCACACTATGTAGTTATAGGATTTTTCAATTTTTCGTGAAAAGATAAAAGATTTTTCTAATCTGCCACAATTAACTGTTACCAGACAGCCAGAAGACTAAATGGCAGAGAATTTCCTTGTAAACAATACATCACAATGAGAAAGAGACAGCAAATTCTCTGTAATGAAAGCCTCAAGGCTGGATGGTTACATTAACCATCACACCTACCTTCTTTTCCTGCCATGAAGTCTTGTTGGATTTGCCTACAAAGCTGTTTAACATTGTAGTACATTTTGTAACACAGAGAAACAAGTTACAGAGCCTTTTACAGGCTAATGTTGGAGTAAAGGAGCCACAAGTTCTACATTTTGGCCTTTAACTGTCAGATCATATGCACCTTGCTGAGTGACAGGTACCACTGAACATAAAAATACAGCCTTCAGGCTTTCATTACAGAGAATCCCCCTCATTCATCACATTGTGATTCTTGGATGTCTGGGGCATTTTTAAAGAACAAGGTCATAAGTGAAACCAATGTACAAGATTTGCTACAAACAGTTAGAGCATTGAAAAAAAGCTCATTTGACAAGTCCATCGCTTTCTTTCACTGATAACACTAACCTCTGGGGGATCATTGATGGTATCTATTAACTCCAATGCCAGCTGTACACGACTGTCATCCAGTTGTTTGATATTGATATAGAGATCTAAAACAGAAATAGATATATGTAAACACTTAAAACAACAGTTATTGTTAGGTGACCCTCTATGTAAATTGGAATTAAGCACTTTCAACTGACACTAAGAAAAATTGCTAAAAACTTTGTAACATGTCATTGACCAGTCAAAACTGTCAACCAACAAAGAGTATCAAAATAAAACAATGACAGACCAGGAGGAGGGATCCCATGGTGTGTCTAACTTTATATCTCTGAACTATAACACTGACAAGTCAGGGGGAATTCCACAGTGTATCTAACTTTACATCTCTCCCAACTAATACACTGACAGGTCAGGAGGAATTTCACAGTGTGTCTAACTTTATATCTCTGAACTATAACACTGACAGGTCAGGAGGGGCCACGCAGTGTGTTTGACCTGACATCTCCCTTCTATAACACTGACAGGTCACGAGGGGCCCCATAGTGTGTTAGGCCTGATATCTCTCCCTACTATAACACTGACAGATCAGGAGGGGCCACACAGTGTGTTTGGCCTGACATCTCTCCCTACTATAACACTGACAGGTCAGGAGCTGTCCTGCAGTGTGTTTGGCCTGACATCTCTCCCTACTATAACACTGACAGGTCAGGAAGGGCCCTGCAGTGTGTTTGACTGGACATCTCTCCCTACTATAACACTGACAGGTCAGGAGGGGCCACGCAGTGTATTTGACCTGACATCTCCCTACTATAACACTGACAAATCAGGAAGGGCCCTGCAGTGTGTTTGACCTGACATCTCTCCCTACTATAACACTGACAGGTCAGGAGCGGCCACACAGTGTGTTTGACCTGACCTCTCCCTACTATAACACTGACAGGTCAGGAGGGGCCATGCAGTGTGTTTGACCTGACCTCTCCCTACTATAACACTGACAGGTCAGGAGGGGCCATGCAGTGTGTTTGGCCTGATAACTTAATTGTTATCAAAACCTCTTTACTACATTTTACCTTTATCCAGTATAAATGTGACAGAGGTGAGATGGTGATAGCATGGAATAACAGGTGTGAAATGCAGGTCTTATCGGCCATTTTCCACCTTATACAAGTTGTCCCATCCACCTGCACACCACATGGATATTCACTCAGTACTGTAAATACATTTCCTATCTATGACAACAGGAACCACTTCTCTGATCTTTTTCAGAATTCAAAAAGGAGCCCTGTCCTCCTTCCCCTGAGAGCAGTGATCTTACATTTAAATAGGATTGATTCCCCTTCTTCCAAATTAGGCAATATCTATCTATTCCTACAGGAGAAGTAGGACTTTAAAGAATTTACTCTATTTCCCTTATTGGGCCTACCCCTCCCAGGCCAGCATGCTGAGACCTAATATTTATACAAGATTAATTCCCCTTCATCTAAACATGATTAAACAACATTGATTCCTCTTTACCAAATTTGGACAATATCCATTTATTCATATAGGAGGAGTAGGATTTTAAAGATCTTGCAAAAATTCCCCTCTTGGGCCCTGCACCTTCAGTCCATGGGGGCTGAGAACCAATATTTCTACAAACTTGGTCCCCTTTCTCCCAAGGACGCTTCTGACCAAATCTGGAAAAAAATCTGTTCAGTATGACTAGTAGGTGTTTTTAGTAAAAAGTTGATAGACACCAGATGGACGACAGATGCAGTGCCATGGCAAAAGCTCAGCGACCTTTCAGACAAGGTGTGCTAAACAGGGTGGTCTGATGGTGCAGAGGTAATGACTTGCCTTTTGCATAGGCATCAAGGGTTTGATTCTCTGAGCAGACGTGAAAGAATATGGAGGTCATTTGCCAAACCACGTGGGTTGGCCCAACAACAGTGGCTAATATAAACCTATAGCTTGTTTTGCGATTGCTATAAATTAAAAATTTACATTTATCAAAAAATTTAAAATTCAGATTCTAAAAGTTTTCATTAATAAACTTACCTTTAAACAGTTTAGGTACATATTGAAAATTCCTTTGTCCTTTGAACTGTTTAAAAAGTGCATGAAGCGGTAAATCTTTGGGGCTGATTTTCTGAAAGAAAAAATACGAAGCAACCATAAACACTTTGTCAATAAAAAGTTTCTAAATCCTACCACATTTCTAAAGTTTTAAGTGTTTAAAGACTTTTGCCCTGTATGTAGGGCATACAAATTGTACCTACTGCCCCAATGATATAATCATAAGAGACTATTATTTCATTAATCAATAGTCTCTTATGACAAGGGACCTTCTCTTTTAAAACAGAAAAGGTTTTTCTTGTAGTGATACTTTGTGACCATGATTTCATATCTAGGTTCTGTGTGATACTGTGTGACCATGATTTCATATCTAGGTTCTGTGTGATACTGTGTGACCATGATTTCATATCTAGGTCCTGTTTGATACTGTGTGACCATGATTTCATATCTAGGTCCTGTTTGATACTGTGTGACCATGATTTTATATCCAGGTCCTGTTTGATACCAGAAAAGAGTACATTTTCTCTTTCTGATTAGAACCAAAATCAAAAGAGGACAACTAGGGACAAAGGAGAACATATATGATAAACTTGGGAATCACCCATTGTGTACGTAAGAAATACTGATAACAAACTTTCATAGTCAAAATCCAAGATTGCCTCCAGTCAGCCATTTTGTTTTACTCATAATTTCTAATCAAAATGGCACAACTAGGAACCATGGGTTATCTATAAATGAATTTGAAAATAGGTCCACCTATAACTTTTAAAGAAATACTTTCATTTTCCAAATCCAAAGGCAAGATGGCCACCTGTCAGACATTTTGTTTTCCTAATCAGTCTCAAAAATCAAAATGGCACAGCTATGCCAAAGATTAACCTACATATGAATTTTCTCTATCCAGTACTTCTCAGAAATAGTGATAACACGATATCTTAACGGACGTAGGAAAGTTGGATGTTTTACCATGGATATAGGGCAATTTGAATAACCCACCATCATGCCAAAGGTTAACCTACATATGAAATTTTCTCTATCCAGTACTTCTCAGAAATAGTGATAACACGATATCTTAACGGACGTAGGAAAGTTGGATGTTTTACCATGGATATAGGGCAATTTGAACAACCCACCATCATAGGCCTACCCCTTAGGCCCGTGGGATGGAAACTTTATAATTCACTAGTTTGGTTCATCTTAGGCTACAGATGGTTTCTCGAAGTTTTGTTGAAATCGGTTCAATGGTTTTTGAGATGAAGACGAAAAGTAAAAAGTTTATGGACACACCATGCTGGAAATGGGTAAACGCAATAGGGCACCATGTGACTTTGTCTCAGGTGGCCTAAAACCTTATAAAAGTAGGTCACATCAATATAATTTATCACTGGTGTTTTTCATACCAAACAGATTTCAAGTGACCTTGAGGTTCCACTGACAAGCCTTCAGGTATCATGACAACAATTATTACCACCATACTTGAGTCATGATTTATACTTGGCAAATTAGAGAAGACAATAAATATGTGACAAAATGCTGGTGTAATCCATTAGGCCCCAATAGGCCCTAGTATATTCCTTCCCTTTTTCATGAGACTCAGCAGTTTGCAGAGTATATATTATCATTCCCACCTAGCAGGAGTAACTGGAGTTGAACTCCTAATCAAACCTATATCTGGATAAATGATGTACCAGTAGATAAGAATACATTTCATACTTACACATGGAACAACCTTGTCATACATTTCCATGGTATTTTCTACGGTATCGTTAAATATGAAAGCACAGAGAAGTGGACGACTGCAAAATAAAATGAGGACATATTATTCAATTTACAGTATATACAAGTACAATGTTAGTATTATCACCAGTCATCATTTTTTGTGTCCATCCTCTAACCATAGAAGTCATCCATCAATTTTTGTACTGATAGGTCATGTGATCAACATTGACAAAATATTAGGGTCAATATGAGGGACATAAACCTTTAGAATCACTGACCAGGATCTCTGTGTTAATACAGCTAGTGATGGGATAACCAACAACCTATTGTAATTAGAAATGATATTTCTAATGTACTTCTAATGTAAAACATTTTAGTAAGCGAAAAATGAAAAGTTGAAATTGCCCTTCTATTCAGAAAGGTATGGCAAATGACGACAGACTGGGTCTCAGCGGTCCCTTCTGTGTTATCTCATATCTCTAGATGGATTACTTATAGAATTAGAAAACATTCCTTACCTGTGATCTCTGGTTTATTTATAGATACACAAGACATCCCTCCTGAGTGATCTCTGGTCTTTTTATAGATACACAAGACATCTCTTATGTTTGATATCGGGTTTATTCATAGATACGCAAGACACATCCCTTATGTTTGATCTGTGGTTTATTAATATGTAACCCTGGTAAAATACTAGCCACATATACCACTCAGCTAGAGAGAACTTCTCTTTAGCTCAATTAATTGAGGGTCAGACTAGTAAGCCAAGAATCCCGTGTTCGATTGCTAGTGGAGGCATTGAAATTAATAATGACCTCTATTACATATAGAAACACAAGACACCTCCCTTCTATATGATTTTTTAATTATCTTAGAATATACACAAGACATCCCTTCCTTGTGATCTCTGGTCTATTTATATATATATAGACTATGTAACGCTTCTATACAGGCAACTGATAGCTTCATATTGGCGACATTTTGGTTGTGAGAGACATGTGACTATAGCCTAAAAGTGATTTAGTCATGAGATACATGTTGTGTCCTCTGCATGACCGTAGTTCAGTATACTTACTAATAGTTTCTTGATTCCCCTGTGGTTAAAAAGTAGTGGCCTTCTCCTAAGGTACGAAATAATCTGTCCACCTCGAACGCCAGTTGAGGATTTTTCAATGAGGAATCACACTAAAAGTCAAGGAAAAAAATTTTCATGAAAAAAAGAAAAACAACACAATAAGCAATTCTAAATTAAGCAATGTCTTCTATGTCCCCCAATAGTCCAACAAACCATTACATTAATCATCTGTCAAGTTTGAAGCTGATCCATTGAAAACTACTTGCAATATCGAGCAGATACAGTTTTGGTAATTCAACAAGGGGCCATAACTCCGTGGATTATGATTAGAAAATTATGACGATCAAACTTGTCGGAGCTATCAAGGTAATGAATCAACCTAGGAAGTTTGAAGTTAATTAGTTGAAAACTATTCAAGCTATCAAACCACATGTACCCTCCCACCTACAAATTTGTTACAAAATAACCTCACGTCCTGTCCAACAGAATTCAACACAAAAATGAACTTTCGCAATCTTTTCCTTGTACAATGTCCCTGTGTGGTCACATCATCTAATCTAATCAATATGTACCCAGGTCACCATATAATTTCAAAAGCAGAATATCTAATCATTTCACAACAAAACTTCTGTATCTGAAATTTATTTCAGTTTGTAAACCTAGATACCTAAAATAATGACTTTCTGTGATTTTTACATATATACTTACCAACTGAATAGCATCAATGAAGAATCTCACTGAAAAGACAGAATAAATTAAGACAAATAAATCAAAATACTGAGACATTCTGAGTCCTTAAAACAGATTGTATGTATTTAGCTAACGGTAACCACCAGATCAGCTAATGATCAGGCAAAGACATCCTATTTTGAGATTTACTTATACAAGGATAATGTTCCTTTAGAATAAAAATGGAATTTTTAACAGGGTTTAGTAACTAGGATTTATATTTAGTTGAAACGATGATTTTTGAGAAATGTGTTTTGCTTTTTCACCAAATATAGAAATATCTGTCACTAGAAGTGAATATGATTTAATAGAAGAATGGTGATGAATTCCAACCCTCATACAATACAATAAATAATGTTATACATTTTTATGCAAGTAATGTGTTATCTAGATAAAGTTTAGAAACAAAGTTATTTTGGCTGCAAATAATATGAGGACCATGGGCCTATAACTTAACGGTCAACTGACTAATCTCAACTTAAACTGCAATGAGCCAATTATAACTATCAATTACATCAAATCTTTCCCATTGTCAAACTTATCTCAGATCTTATTGGTAGAAGGCTGCATACCAACTATCATCAAAATTAGTTCATATTTACTCCAGTTGTCATGTTCATAAATTAACATAGATATAAAACTGCAAAGGGCAATAATTCCTTAAATTATGATTGAATCAGCCCGTTTCTCAAACTCATCTAAGATCTTCTTGACTGAAAGCTGCAGACCAAAAGTTTCATAAAATTCTGTTCATGTTTACTCAAATAATTGCTTCAAAGAATCCTATGGTACATGTAAACAAAATGTAAAGGGCCATAACTGTGAAATACTTGTTTTTCTAAGTTTCATAAAATTTCATTCATATTTACTCATTTAATCATGTTAACAAGTTCCATAGTAATAAAACTGCCAAGGCCTATAACTCTGTTAATTATGATAAAATCAATCCCATTGTCAAAGGCATGAGATCTTATCAAAATAAGGCAGCATACCAGCTTTCATGATAAATGGTTCATATTTCATCAAATTATCATGTTAAAAAAACATCCACTGCTATCACAATTAAAAGGACTATGATTTTGCAAATTACTATCAAATCTGTCCCATTGTGGCAACCTTTTTGTCAGTCTCAAAATCAAATGGGCACTTGGGACCTAGGGGAACCTTCATATGAAATTTGAGAGATATCCATTCAGTACTTCTTGCGAAATAGCAATAACAAACTTTACAAGGAAATATCCAAGATAGCTGTCTGTCCGCCATTTTCATATCAGTAACAAAATCAAATGGACACAACTAGGGATCAAGTGGAAACTACACATGAAACTTGAGAAAGATCTATGTGGTAACAAATATTGTTTACGGATGGTGGTATGGATGGATGAATGAAAGACCGCAGATGTAGGGCGATTTGAACATCACACCATCTGATGATGGTTGGTTAATCATATACATTTAAAAGAGCATGTAAAATGTTCAATTACATGTAAATCTTGTATGTCAATGGCCATTGTAAACAAATATTCAAACCAAAGTCTGTGTTAATGAATAATTATTGCATTGTCTTAATTCTTGGAATACTGATACTAAAAGTTAAAGAATGATTTTCAGGAAACTTGGATGTACTTCTATCACTATTAAAACCTATCACATTCCAGTTAGAACACTCTTGTTTTTTTTAAGTCATAGAACCAAGATGAAGAGAGAGATGGTATAAAACAGACAGATGACTTACTTTCCTGCTCTGAGGTAGCTTTGATGTTTTCTTTGTCTATGTAGCTCAGAATTGCTTGTAAATCTGTTAAAGATGTAATAATGTGGAAAGTCAATTATCTATCATAGAATCAATTTCCAATGCAAAGATATCATATCTAAACTGCTCATAAAGATAGGAAAAATATGGTTTCCATGACACTGAAAAATCTTCAATGGAAAAAATAAAGATTTTAAATAATCTGATGTTATAAATCAAAGTTTACATTTAATTAATTAATAGCTGAAATGTTTCTACAGTCACCTTTTCCATGTGATTATTACAATAATATATATTTTTAACAGATCATTACCTCTGTGTGTTCTGGTGAAGTTCAGTAAGGCTCTGCACATAGACAAGGATGGTTCTGTTAACAGACAAAGTAAACTATTTAGTGAACTAAAACAATTTTGTAACCAGCATTATTATTTTATGTCCTTTTGCTTAATGTAACAAACAACATTTCACTTCATGTTGCTGAGTGCAAACAAAGCAACATTCCACTTCCAGTTACTGAGTGTAAACACAGCAACATTCCATTTTCTGTTACTGAGTGTAAACAAAGCAACATTCCATTTTCTGTTACTAAGTGTAAACAAAGCAACATTCTACTTCCTGTTACTGAGTGTAAACAAAGCAACATTCCAATTCCAGTTACTAAGTATAAACAAAGCAATATTCCAATTCCAGTCACTAAGTATAAACAAAGCAACATTCTACTTCCTGTTACTGAGTGTAAACAAAGCAACATTCCACTTCCAGTTACTAAGTATAAACAAAGCAACATTCCAATTCCAGTTGCTGAATGTAAACAAAGCAACATTCCACTTCCTGTTGCTGATTGTAAACAAAGCAACATTTCAATTCCTGTTACTAAGTGTAAACAAAGCAGCATTCCACTTCCTGTTACTGAATGTTAACAAAGCAACATTCCAATTCCAGTTGCTGAATGTAAACAAAGCAACATTCCACTTCCTGTTGCTGATTGTAAACAAAGCAACATTCCACTTCCTGTTGCTGATTGTAAACAAAGCAACATTCTACTTCCTGTTACTGATTGTAAACAAAGCAACATTCTACTTCCTGTTACTGAGTGTAAACAAAGCAACATTCCACTTCCTGTTGCTGATTGTAAACAAAACAACATCCTATGTCCTGCTGCACAGTATGTATTGGAGTAGGATTTAACAGAATTTGCTCTATTTCTCATATTTGTCCCAGCCCCTCTAGCCCCAGAGAGCTGAGACCCACTGTTTATACAAACTTGATTCCCCTTAACTTGAGAATGCTTTCAACCAAATTTGGTAAAAATACAACAATTTTTATTGGAGGAGTAGGACTTCAAGGAATTTTCCTCTGTTTCCTGTATTGGGCCTTCCCCCTCTCGTCCCAGGGGGCCCCAACACTAAATCTGACAATATCTAACGGCTGCATGTTTTTGTGTTTACAATTTTTCATGCCATTCATAAATATCTTCCAAAAATTATTTCTCGCCATCCTACACTAACTACATCTTTAAATATCCTACTTACACATCAAATCAAGAATGCATTTCTGTTTTGAGCTGTTACTATAAGTTTTACAAAAAAACATATGAAGCAACAAAAAACTTGAAGTCTGGATGATATAACCCAACAATATGACATTACTCATTTCTAGGGCCTTGATTTCACTAAAGATCTTTGTAATACAGGGAAAGTCTGGACAACGTAAGCCTGGTCCGGAGCCTAGTCTAGAAAACGTTTCTTCTGTGGGAGTAATTCCTGCAGTCTTCATATCTCTAATGAGGTCCTAGAAAACAAAAAACATAGAGCAATCATGTATTTCTATAACAGGTGATCCCAGAGGATGCCCACCATCAAAAACATAGAGCAAGGTTCCTATGTAGATTATTTCTGAATCTGAATAATGTTTCAGTAACTGCATAATTGGCTCAATTTTATGCTACAGAACGTACAGATGTAATACCCCAATAGCATTTTCATCACTACATACGTTGTTCTCACAATGAAAGGGATACATGAAATTTTACATCAGAAGTGAATAGACTGATAACTACTGAGCTAAAATTATCTGTTTCAAAACTCAACTTTTAATAAAAATCCTTGTATCTTGTATCCAGAAGTATCAAAGTGCAGCATGAATATAACAAGAGTATCAGTGAAACTGATCAATGCCCCCCGAAAAGGATTTTATTTGAAGCGAAATTTTACCATTGTCCTAGACAATTTACGAGGAACTGCGAGCCTTCACAAAAAATTTGGAAATGATCCATCTAGTATTTCTCAAGATAACAATAATTGTTTAAAGAAGAAAGAACAACAGATCACTGATGGACCATACATGGAGATTGATATGAACAACTCACAATTTGGCTGAAATTGTTCATATTCAATGTCCAACAAAATGATCTACAAACACATGAATGGTTATCGTGTGATTGTATCATTTCTACAACGTATTGAAATGGCGAACAAATGGTGATAGGGCTCCCTGCAACTGACACATCTCTACAAAATCTTCAGTGATATATAACTAATTACCACTTCAGTAACATATAACTAATTACCACTTCAGTGATATATAACTAACTACCACTTCAGTGATATATAACTAACTACCACTTCAGTGATATATAACTAACTACCATTTCAGTGATATATAACTAATTACCACTTCAGTAACAACTAATTACCACTTCAGTAACATATAACTAACTACCACTTCAGTGATATATAACTAATTACCACTTCAGTGATATATAACTAATTACCATTTCAGTGATATATAACTTATGACCACTTCAGTGATATATAACTTATGACCACTTTAGTGATATATAACTAATTACCACTTCAGTGATATATAACTAACTACCACTTCAGTGATATATAACTAACTACCACTTCAGTGATATATAACTAACTACCATTTCAGTGATATATAACTAATTACCACTTCAGTGATATATAACTAATTACCACTTCAGTAACATATAACTAATTACCACTTCAGTAACATATAACTTATGACCACTTCAGTGATATATAACTAATTACCACTTCAGTAACATATAACTAATTACCACTTCAGTGATATATAACTAATTACCACTTCAGTAACATATAACTAATTACCACTTCAGTAACATATAACTAATTACCACTTCAGTGATATATAACTAACTACCACTTCAGTGATATATAACTAATTACCACTTCAGTGATATATAACTAATTACCACTTCAGTAACATATAACTAATTACCACTTCAGTAACATATAACTAACTACCACTTCAGTGATATATAACTAATTACCACTTCAGTAACATATAACTAATTACCACTTCAGTAACATATAACTAATTACCACTTCAGTAACATATAACTAACTACCACTTCAGTGATATATAACTAATTACCACTTCAGTGATATATAACTAATTACCATTTCAGTGATATATAACTTATGACCACTTCAGTGATATATAACTTATGACCACTTTAGTGATATATAACTAATTACCACTTCAGTGATATATAACTAACTACCACTTCAGTGATATATAACTAACTACCACTTCAGTGATATATAACTAACTACCATTTCAGTGATATATAACTAATTACCACTTCAGTGATATATAACTAATTACCACTTCAGTGATATATAACTAACTACCACTTCAGTGATAACTAATTACCACTTCAGTAACATATAACTAACTACCACTTCAGTGATATATAACTAATTACCACTTCAGTGATATATAACTAACTACCACTTCAGTGATAACTAATTACCACTTCAGTAACATATAACTAATTACCATTTCAGTGATATATAACTTATGACCACTTCAGTGATATATAACTTATGACCACTTTAGTGATATATAACTAATTACCACTTCAGTGATATATAACTAATTACCACTTTAGTGATATATAACTAATTACCACTTCAGTGATATATAACTAACTACCACTTCAGTGATATATAACTTATGACCACTTCAGTGATATATAACTTATGACCACTTCAGTGATATATAACTTATGACCACTTCAGTGATATATAACTTATGACCACTTCAGTGATATATAACTTATGACCACTTCAGTGATATATAACTTATGACCACTTCAGTGATATATAACTTATGACCACTTCAGTGATATATAACTTATGACCACTTCAGTGATATATAACTTATGACCACTTCAGTGATATATAACTTATGACCACTTCAGTGATATATAACTAATTACCACTTCAGTGATATATAACTTATGACCACTTCAGTGATATATAACTAATTACCACTTCAGTGATATATAACTTATGACCACTTCAGTGATATATAACTAATTACCACTTCAGTGATATATAACTTATGACCACTTCAGTGATATATAACTTATGACCACTTCAGTGATATATAACTAACTACCACTTCAGTGATATATAACTAATTACCACTTCAGTGATATATAACTAATTACCACTTCAGTGATAACTAATTACCACTTCAGTGATATATAACTTATGACCACTTCAGTGATATATAACTTATGACCACTTCAGTGATATATATATAACTTATGACCACTTCAGTGATATATAACTAATTACCACTTCAGTGATATATAACTTATGACCACTTCAGTGATATATAACTTATGACCACTTCAGTAACATATAACTAACTACCACTTCAGTAACATATAACTAATTACCATTTCAGTAACATATAACTAATTACCACTTCAGTGATATATACCTAATTACCACTTCAGTGATATATAACTAATTACCACTTCAGTAATACCACTTCAGTGATATATAACTAATTACCACTTCAGTGATATATAACTAATTACCACTTCAGTGATATATAACTTATGACCACTTCAGTGATATATAACTTATGACCACTTCAGTGATATATAACTAATTACCACTTCAGTAATACCACTTCAGTGATATATAACTAATTACCACTTCAGTGATATATAACTAATTACCACTTAGGTGATATATAACTAACTACCACTTCAGTGATATATAACTAATTACCACTTCAGTGATATATAACTAATTACCACTTCAGTGATATATAACTAATTACCACTTCAGTGATATATAACTAATTACCACTTCAGTGAGAGATAACTAATTACCACTTCAGTGATATATAACTAATTACCACTTCAGTGATATATAACTAATTACCACTTCAGTGATATATAACTTATGACCACTTCAGTGATATATAACTTATGACCACTTCAGTGATATATAACTAATTACCACTTCAGTAATACCACTTCAGTGATATATAACTAATTACCACTTCAGTGATATATAACTAATTACCACTTAGGTGATATATAACTAACTACCACTTCAGTGATATATAACTAATTACCACTTCAGTGATATATAACTAATTACCACTTCAGTGATATATAACTAATTACCACTTCAGTGATATATAACTAATTACCACTTCAGTGATATATAACTAATTACCACTTCAGTGATATATAACTAATTACCACTTCAGTGATATATAACTAATTACCACTTCAGTGATATATAACTTATGACCACTTCAGTGATATATAACTTATGACCACTTCAGTGATATATAACTAATTACCACTTCAGTAATACCACTTCAGTGATATATAACTAATTACCACTTCAGTGATATATAACTAATTACCACTTCAGTGATATATAACTTATGACCACTTCAGTGATATATAACTTATGACCACTTCAGTGATATATAACTAATTACCACTTCAGTGATATATAACTAATTACCACTTCAGTGATATATAACTAACTACCACTTCAGTGATATATAACTAATTACCACTTCAGTGATATATAACTAATTACCACTTCAGTGATATATAACTAATTACCACTTCAGTGATATATAACTAATTACCACTTCAGTAACATATAACTAATTACCACTTCAGTGATATATAACTAATTACCACTTCAGTGATATATAACTAATTACCACTTCAGTGATATATAACTAACTACCACTTCAGTGATATATAACTAATTACCACTTCAGTGATATATAACTAATTACCACTTCAGTGATATATAACTAATTACCACTTCAGTAACATATAACTAATTACCACTTCAGTGATATATAACTAATTACCACTTCAGTGATATATAACTAATTACCACTTCAGTGATATATAACTAACTACCACTTCAGTGATATATAACTAATAACCACTTCAGTAACATATAACTAATTACCACTTCAGTGATATATAACTAATTACCACTTCAGTAACATATAACTAATTACCACTTCAGTGATATATAACTAACTACCACTTCAGTGATATATAACTAATTACCACTTCAGTGATATATAACTAATCACCACTTCAGTGATATATAACTAATTACCACTTCAGTGATATATAACTAATTACCACTTCAGTAACATATAACTAATTACCACTTCAGTGATATATAACTATCTACCACTTCAGTGATATATAACTAATTACCACTTCAGTGATATATAACTAATTACCACTTCAGTAACATATAACTAATTACCACTTCAGTGATATATAACTTATGACCACTTCAGTGATATATAACTTATGACCACTTCAGTGATATATAACTAATTACCACTTCAGTGATATATAACTAATTACCACTTCAGTGATATATAACTTATGACCACTTCAGTGATATATAACTAATTACCACTTCAGTGATATATAA